AATGAAAGATTTGTACAAAGTAGGGCACCAGTACCAACTAGTGCTTGAGAAATGTCAACCTGCCTAAAAGAGCGAAAATTGAAAATAAGAAGACGACCCCTAGCAGAGTCCTTCCGTTCCGGCGCGGCTTTCTTCCACAAACGCGTGGATTTCCAAACAGCAGCTCCTTCTGAAACAGGAGTGATAAGGTGGTGAAGCTGACTGAGCATCTATCCTCCGGGAGCTGCGGCAAAATCAGCTCTTTTAGAGGCGTGTATAACCTTTTTCGGGGTTTTTAGGATATTGTTATATTCCGTCACAATAAAAAAGTGGCAGTCTGTCCTGCATCATGAAGAGCAGCTCACTGGCTGCTGGAAGCTTCTTTTATGGAGAAAATGTGGCTCTCTTAAAGCTCTGTCTATGCATTTTTTACAGATTAAGTCTAATCCCAGATCAACTAAAGATGAAAGCTTGATATCGCGTATTACGAGATAACGCTAATCCGGACTGTCAGAAAAAGAAAGAGTACTGGTAGATTTTTGTCTATCCAAGGTACAAACAATAAAATGCACCCTTTAAAAGGTACAACAGTGGCCCTTAAGGTCCCTATACAAGTTTTAAAGGTACAGCACATTCACTTTCTCAGGGGCACACTTGTACCTTTTCACAACTTAACGTTTTTTTAAAACAGAAAAATAAAGTAAGAAGCTAGGAGCCAGGAAAAAAGACCCCACTGACAATGAGTGCGTATACATGCACTCAATAATCCTATCATAATCGGATTTCTGCAGTTATCCGATTTTTCAAATGGTCATGTAAACACAATAATCTGAACTAGAAATCCGATTAAGAAATCCAATAAAGAGAGCTGGATTTTAGCTCTGCAATCAGATTTGTCCGTGCACATAAACTCGTACTCCGATTTCTATTGGATTTCTCAGTCTGCGCGAGAACAGATGGTGGATGTCGCGAGACGCAGCAAAACACTGTTGGAGCGGCGCCGAAACCAAACACGAAATAAAGAATCTGGATATTCTTCATCTTCTAGATGATGTAAATTCATATTCTCAGGTAATGTGGCACAATGTTTTAAAAAAAAAAAGCCGCGGTACGAAGTCTGAGTTTTACATTATGTTCTTCTGTGAGTCTATTGGCTGGCTGCAAAGCAGAAATCCGATTATTGCCTGACTCATATAGACCAAGGGTTTCCCATAATCTGATTACTTAAGTGCATGTAAACGCATTGACTGGATTACTGACAAAATCTGATTTTCTGCAGTTATCGGATTATTGAGTGCTCAATGTTTATACCCAATAAAGTACTGTTTAGTGCCTTTTTTCAAAAAGTATTAAAATAATATACTGTAATCTGTAAACTTATAGGGGAATTTTACAGGTTTTTCAAAATGTCTATATAATTTAATATAATTTAAAAGTTGTGATGCAAATTTAGCCATTCAGAGTGCTTTGATATGAATTGGTTCATTGTCGAGAAACGTACTGACTTAGATCTCAATATAGTGGTGGTGATGGAAACCAGGGGTCACAATGTCTACAAAACAAATACATTTTTATTTACTATGCAGAACCACCAATGAACCTGTGTGTGTCTTCTGAGTTTTTATATGTAATGTTGAAGCTGATTTAAAATAGTGGTAAATCGGGACTATTTTGCCTTATAACACCCTGCATGTACCTCTCCACCATTAAAGGATTTAAAAGTGCATGTTCTATGCCAAAATCTTACCTCAAACCTATCAGAAAACAATGTCTCAAGCATCAGATAATACATTTATATTTCATGTAACAGCTTTCAGTGAGGGAGCTTTTAGAGGCATTACATGCTACTGCCGTCTGGTTTCTATCACCGCCACTGTGAATAATTCTGACTCCATACGTTTCTCTATAATGGCAAATTTAACATCAAACCACCCTGTAACTAGTGGTAGGCAACATGACGATATGTCCTAGTGATAAATAACACCACAACAGGCTTTCCTGAGCACTGATATCGTCACTAAGAACACCAAATATCTGCATGTTTATTACAAAGACAGCATATTCAGTCCTGTTTAATAGATTTTTTTAAATATATCATTAAAAAAATCATTGTACTCAATGTAGTATCTTTTAATGTGGCATGATTAGCTCAATTTGTGTCTTCAAGTTTATCACTTCAGAAAAACTAAATAGCATGATGTGGATAGTGTGAACATGTCTTTAAGTATTGTGATATTCTCTGCCATATCGCCCACCTCCACTGTAAAGTAATGTAAAGTTAATTAACCTGTAAAGCAAAGTCTTTGACAGCAAAACTTTGGAACAGGTAGTGTTGAATCATTTACACTGTCCACCTGTAAACCTATGCAAAATCAATTTAAATTATTAAGCTAACATATTAAAGGGGAATACCACCTATTTCTCTAAACGTCTCCATAGTTCAATGGTTGAGATGTAAACAAAGCCATTCACAGTGGTCTGATGTGAAATAGTTCATTATAGAGGAACTTACTTTGTACAGTGGTGGTGATAGGAACCAGAGGTCACAGTGTCTACAACACAAATCTAGCCATTTTATTTACCATCCAAAACCCAGTGAACATACACAAGTTTTTACATGTAATATTTACTATGGTGAAATGGTGTTAAATCCGAAAAAAAATAAGCTTTCTAATTTGCCTCACAACACCCTGCATGCATCTCTGCATCACGGATGAATAAAAAATGTGCTTTTGGTAAAAATTTTGTAAAACAATGTCTCAGGCATCAGACGGCGCGCCCGTAACCACTTAGTGGAACAGCTTTCTGTGAGGGGCTTTTAGATGCATTACACGCTTCAGACGTCTGGTTCCTGTCACTGCCACTGTGAACAATTCTGACTTGGTTAGATTCTCCAGAACAGAGCATTTCACACCAAACCACTCTGAATGACGTGTTTACATCTTAACCATTTAATTATGCAGAAATTTTGAAAAATAGGTGGAATTGTTCTAGAATTGGGGTCCGTAAATGAACTAACCTGCCGTGCTCACTGTAAATCCAGGTGTTAGATAGGTACACAACTCCTTACACTATGTGGGGTGGACAGTTCTGACCCAAACAACAGAAAATGTGAACAGATTATTTACATGTGCACCAATGCAAAACTCAGATTATTGAATTAACATACTGAGGTCTGATTTCCCACATACAGATTAAGCCCAGCTTTGGACTAAACTGCACTGCTTGTGCAGAATCACTACAGGAATTCTTTTTAGTCCAGGCTTAATCTGGGTCTGGGAGGCTAACCCAAAACTACATACCTCACCCAGTTTACTGTAAACCCAGCTCTTAGACACAGAACGTATCACACTATGTGTGGGTGGAGTGGACAGTTCTGGCCAGTTCTGATCAAAACAACAGAAAAAGAGGACAGTTAACTACTGCAGTTTTCTCAGTGATCATGAAGAAGATGCCAAAAAAATCTAGCGCTGTTAACATCATTTACAGTCCTACAGTCAGGTAACTACACACTTAGAAAGATGGTTCCTCAAGAGTTCTTTAGCAAAGGCAATGGTTCTATTTAGAACTATGAGTTTTAAACAGAACCATTTCCTGGTGATTTTTTTTTTCAGATTGATGGAGAATGTGTTGTATATTATTCTATAGAGAACCTTTTTGAAAATGGTTCCATATAGCGCTAAAAAGAGCTCTTCTATTGCTACAAGCTTTACATCGTGACCATAGCAGAACCCTTTTTGGTACCATGTAGAACGCTTTTGATTCAATATAGCACCAAAAAAGGTTCTTCTCTTGCTACAAGCCTGACACTGTATTGATAGCAGAACCCTTTTCAGTGTGATATAGAACCCTTTCTGGTTCTGGTCCTTTCTGGTTCTATATAGCACCAAAAAGGCTTGACATTGTAACCAGAGCAGAACCCTTTCTGGTGTTATATAGAACCAAATATGGTTCTTCTACTGCTACAAGGCAGACATTGTGTCGATAGCAGAACCATTTTCAGTGCTATTTAGAACCCTTCCTGGTTCTATATGGCACCAAAAAGGCTTCTTCTACTGCTACAAGCGTGACACTGTGTAAATAGTAGAACCCTTTTCAGTGCAATACAGAACTCTTTCTGGTTCTATATAGCACCAAAAAGGACTGACAATGTAACCATGAAGAACCCTTTTCGGTGCTATACAAAACCAAAAAGGGTTCTTCTATTGCTACAAGCCTGACATTGGGTCAACAGCAGAACCCTTTTCAGTATGATATAGAGCCCTTTCTGGTTCTATATAGCAGCAAACATGGGTCCATAGCAGAACCCTTTTTTGGTGCTATATAGAACTAAAAAGGGTTCTTCTATTGCTACAAGCCTGACATTGTGTCGATAGCAGAACCCTTTTAAGTGCTATTTAGAACTCTTTCCGGTTCTTCTGTTGCCCCAAGCTTCACACTGTAAACGCAGAACCCTTTTAGGGGCTAGACAGAACCACTTTCAAAAAGGTTCTATATAAAACCATACACAGCACATGCTCCATCAATCTGGAGAACCATTAAAGTATGTAAATGGTTCTACACAGAAGCACTGCCTGTACTAAAGAACCCCTGAATGGCTGAAGAACCGTGTTTTTAAGCGAGTTCACTGTCTGGCAGTTACAGCAGTTTTCAGTCTTGTGTTTGCAGCATTTACAGAACTGCCTACTGTAAGTTTGTAGCCGCTCCTACCACATGTATCATTTCACTGAACGCGAAAACGACCGCTTATATCAGCAGAAGAGATGGTCAGGTCGCAGTCCGAGCACACCGAGTAACTGTGAATGGACATTAAAGTGACTCCAGAGAGCTCGTTCAAAGTTAACGCGTGAACTCGGCTCGCCTCGACAGCTCTCTGTCCACCGCCAGCAGAGCCGACACGTCTTGCAAAGTTGTTCTCCACTCACTCGGCGGATTTCTGCCGTGAAACTGCCAACAAACCGCGGACCAAGACACGCCAAGTTGCACACGAGGAGGAGGAGCACAAACACAGAAACACTCACCGAGTGACCAAAACACAAAAGCTGCTTTGTATCCGAGGCGGGAGCTGGAGCGGCTCATAGTCAGAGAGAGAGAGTCCAGCGGCACTGACAGTCCACGGCTAACTGACTGCGCTCCTTTCTGGAGAGTCTCTCTTCTACCCTGCTGTGAAGGAGGAGAGGCACTTTCACAGGATTTTCCAGACACGTTTCCTGTTGGAGAAATAGTGTCTCGGGGACGCCCCCCTGTGGCCACCTCAACTGGGGTCAGGCACGCTGGACTGAGTCTCTGGGCAAGGAAAGAAGAAGCAGGACTGCCTTAAATCCAGCTTCATTTTTATCTGTTATACCGTTAAATAGTCTGAAGTATAAAAAGTGATGCGTTGGATTTATTTGTTTATATTATTTCCACATGAATAAAATACAACAACACAGATTTGTATGGGAGTCCACAGAGGCCATGAGGTAGTTATCATTATCTGGATTGTTATCTTGAGATCACAACTTAATTATCTTGTGATCTCGAGATAACAAAAGTTGTCATCTCGAGATCACAACTTAATTGTTTTGTGATCTCAATATAACAAAAGGTACGGAGCCCCGCTGGTGATATCCTGTATAAATGAAAATAATGCGTGGCCACGACTTAGTAAAGCATGGGAATGAGATGATTAAGTCGTGGCCATGACTTGGTAAGTTGTGATCTTGTTCCCACGCCTTACTAAATCATGGCCACGACTTAATCATCTCATTCCCACGCCTTACTAAGTCGTGGCCACACATAAGAATCTCGTTCCCACGCGTTAATAAGGCGTGGCCATGCATTATTTTTATTTATATAGGATGACACCAGCAGGGCTCAGTAGGTAATAATAGTGTTTATACTGATGTTGATATTTTATTTACCAAGTATATATTTTCTGTGCTCGTATTTATTATATGTGAAAGTGATAAATTGCCTTTTTCACTCTCGGCTTCTGAAGTGTTTGTTACAGTTTGCAGTTTAAAGGGAAATTCCACCAAAATTTCTGTGTAATTGAACTGCTATCAAGTCATTCAGAGTGGTTTGGTGTGAAAAGCCCCATTCTGGAGAAAATTACAGAGTCTGAATTGTTCACAGAGGTGGTGAATGGAACCAGACATTGTGCATAATTACATGGTTAAGATATAAACTAAGCCATTCAGACTGTTTTGATGTGAAATGTTCAGGTGTAGAGAAACTTACCAAGTCAGAAATGTTCACAGTGGGGGTGACAGGAACCAGACGTCTGAAGAATTTAATGTCTCTAAAGGCTCCCTCACACACAGTTATTAGAGTTATTACATGTAACAGTTATAAATACACTGCCTGATCCCTGAGAAATCCATTTTTCAACAGTCTTGTGGTAAGATTTTAGTCTAACACATAATTTTAGGAATACATTTATGGTGGACAGATACATATATATTTTTTTCCACTGATCAGCAGTGACACTGAGGTGTTTAAAAACTCCAGCAGCACTGCTGTGTCTGATCCACTCAGACCAGCACAACACACACTAACACACCACCACCACATCAGTGTAACTGCAGTGCTGAGAATGATCCACCACCCAAATAGTACCTGCTCTGTGAGGGTCCATGGGGGTCCTGACCACTGAAGAACTACAAAGTGCTCCTATATAGTAAGTGGAGCTGATAAAATGGACAATGAGCTTCGAAACAAGGAGGGGGTCATAATGTTATGCCTGATCGGTGTATGAAGACACCCGAAGGTTCACTGGCTACACTTGCATTGCAGACATTGCGACACCTAGTTCCTGTCATCACCACTGTAAAGAAATCAAGTCAGCAAGTTTCACTTCAGTGAACCATTTCACATCAAACCACTCTGTTCACTGATCACCATCACCAAACATCATATTCAGTCAAACATAATTTATTCTTCATCATCATTTATTCTTCATCATCATCGTCAGTCATCAGTCATTATCTCCATCATTCTCGTCACATTATTCTCCTTCATCTTTAACATCTTAATTAATATCATTATCATTAGTCATCAGTCATACATTATTTTCTCCATCATTAGTGATCATCATAATCAAACATCATTATGATATAATCTTCACCCTTAAACATTAACCTTACCATCATCATCATCATCATCATTAAACATCCTAATTTTTGTCATGTTTATTGTGACCGTTGGCTCCTGTCACCACCACTATAAAAAAAGTCGTAGTCAGCAAGTTTCACTTCAGCTCACCATTTTACATTAAACCACTTTGTTCACATCTCAATGACTGAATGCAGAAATTTTGCTCTTTAAGATCAAAGAACTGTTAGTCTGTATGCATGTTGTGGAAGTATGTACGTATCAGTGTGCACTATATATGACATATATGCACATTGTGACTCTGTCTCTATTCTTATTCATGTTGGACGCTTTAACTAAAAGTAATCACACGCCATTGCACAGTAGTTGAAGAATAAAGTGATTCAGTTTGATTAATTCAGGCTCAGTCAGTGCTGAGCACTAAGATTCCTCACACTGCGTCCATTATGTTATGGTTGAGGTCCTAAATGAAAAGTTGAAAGTGTTTGAGTATATGAGAAAACTGTAGTCCACTTGATATATAAGCATTCATTACACGAGAACACTGTAATCAAGCCTAAAATGAACGCATGAGCAACCGACGGTAAACAAATCTGCACTTTTGTAGGGCTTAATTATTATGAGCTTATTTGCATTTTGCTTTGGAAGGCTTACAGTACTGAAATTAACATCAACACACATAGAAAATTACAGTGATCTACAGAAATCAATCGTGAGCTTTATCATCATCATCATCATCATAATCTTAATGATCTTCATCATTAAACATCAGCATCATCATTAATCATTATCTTCATCATCCTCATCAAATAGCTTCATCACTGACAAATATAATCTTCGTCATTAAACATCTCCTTTTTTAACAACTACGTTGTTTAGTTTGTGTATCTTATGTCATATTACACTGCCACTTTGTTTATTTTGTTTATCATACCTAATATTGCACTGCCACTTTGTTTATTTGTCCGGTAATATTGTACATTGCACTGTCACTTTGTTTATGCATCCACGTATTACACTTATTGTTTAATGTTTAGTAGATTTTATTCTATTATTTATCTCGATTTCTTTTTATATATCTGTAAATAGTGTACGGCAATACTTTGCTCCTGTTCATGTGTCAATCAATCAATCAATCAATCAATCAATCATCTATCTATCTATCTATCTATCTATCTATCTATCTATCTATCTATCTATCTATCTATCTATCTATCTCATCACAGCAGCGTCCTCATTATTATTAGAATCATCACCATCTTCATTCAGTTATTGTCATCACCATCATCATTCTTATAACCATCTTCATCATCAGCTTCATCACCAAACATCAGTACCATGTTTATCAACTTCATCATCCACTTTTCATCATAATCAGTATAATACTGTTCATCATCAAACATTATTATCATCATTCAATTGTAATTATCATCATCATCATCATTAATCATTATTTTCATCAGCTCACCACACTTTCTTCATCATTAAAAATTGAAAATCATTATCATCAATATCATCCTCATTATCCATCATCAAACATAATTATCTTCAGCATTAGTCATTATCTTAGTCATCCTTCTTATTATTAGAATCATCACATCTTTACTCAATTATCATTATCATAATCATCCTCAGCAACGTCATCACCATTATCATTATCCTCAACTGCATCATTATAATCATCTTTGTCATCAACCTCATCACCAAACATCATTTTGTGAGTTCAAACCATGACTTTAACATGGTGGTGGTAGTATGAGAGAAGACTGATTGAAAGAGGGGGAGAACTCTGGGCAGTCTGTAGTTTCTTCCAGCTATAAGGCTGGACCCACCTCATAGCTGTGACGTAGGACTGAGGAAGAGGGAGGAGATGGGGTGGCCTTGGGGATTGCAAACACTTGGTCATAGGAAAGGAAGGTGAAGATGTGAATTCATAGGCTGTTAGATTAGAAGAAGGAGAGGTTTCAGGCAAGTCCCTCCCCCCAAACTTCAGTTATAACATAACTACATTATTTATCGTGTCCACTGATCATCATCATCACCAAACATGATCACTCAAACATCATTTATTCTTCCTCATCATCATCATCATCATCATCAGTCATTATCTCCATCATCATCATATTATTCTTCTTCATCTTTCACATCTTCATTAATATCATTATCCTCAGTTAAACATTAGTTTCTTTATTATTAGTGATCATCATAATCAAACATCATTATATCATTAAACATTAATCTCACCATCATCATCATCATCATCATCATCATAATCTGCATCATTTTCATCTTCACCAACACCACCATCACTGCCAACATCATCATCATCATCATCATCATCATCATATTCATTATTAAACATTAAAGTTTACCATGTTCACCAACTTCATCATCTGCCTCATTATCTTCATCTTCACCCTTATCACCACCATCATCATGTGTTATCTTCCTCATCAAACCCTATTACTTTTATCCAGTTTCATTAATCATTTTCATGATCAAACATCATCATCATCATCATCATCTTCTTCATCAAATATCAAAGATTTTATCCTCCTCATCAAACATCATTTATCATTTTCATCATTATAAATGAACATTATATATCATCAATCATCATCATTTGTGTTCTTTTTGATCTTCAAGGTCTTTATTACCTTCCTCCTCATCATCATCATCAGCATCATCAAACAACGCCATCACTCAAAAATCATTTTGATCATAAATCGTGATTATCTTCACTATCTCCACCATCAGTCATCATCTTCATTATTACAATGTTCTTCTTCTGCTTCATCATCTTCAACGTTTGAATTACATTCATCACGATTATTAACATCATCGTGATCAAATATCAAAACTCAAAAATCATTTTCTTCATCATCTTCATCATTATAATAAATAATTATCGTTTTCATAACTCCTTTTAAAAACCTTTACGCTTTTCTTCTTCCTCTTTTTGCTTGTTTACATGTCGATTGACGTTGGCTTCCTTTTCGCCAGCGTATGTCCACGAACTTGCCATTTTCCCGTTCCACCTTAAGTGGTGCACAGTTACATTCTAGCGCCTGAGGCGTTCTAACAGCAACAGCTGCACCATTTAAGGTGGAACGGGGAAAATTCGAGCAAGAAGCTGGTTCTTGTTTACAGTGGCTGTGCGGTTGCCGAGCAACCCCGCTCAGCGGCGCTCTCATTGGTCAGAAACTTCTGGAACGAGGCCGGTGGCTGAGTGGCGAGGAGAAGATGAGGAAGTTCTGGAAAGTTCGCGGATTAAGCTATATATGTCTCCGGGTCGGCGCCGCTACGCAGCCAGGATACAACAGCGAGAAGTAGGAGAAGACGTGGCTGCCAGAGTCCTGCTGATATCGCTGAGCCTTGCACGGCTTTGCCGGAGCGGAGCGGAGAGTCGCCATGGCCGTCGTGGGTTTTGACTTGGGCTTTCAGAACTGCTACATCGCCGTTGTGAAAAGCGGGGGGATCGAAACGGTGGCGAATGATTTCACTGACCGCTGCACGCCGTGAGTAGTTAGCGTTAGCGAGCTCAGCCGGACATACAGAGGCGGTGGGTTGTTGAATTTTGCCTCGTCATGTTTACCTCAGTGTGTGCAGTCGGGCTGCAGCTAAAACAGTGACGAGGCTGAAGTTGGCTGCCTATTCGCCAGCTTGTGGTTCGAATTTTCCCGTTCCACCTTAAATGGTGCAGTAGTTACATGTGAATGTAACATCTAAATGTAACTGCTGCACCATTTAAGGTAGAACCGGAAAATTCGAACAACGTGCTGGCGAATAAGAAACTGTCGCCAGGCCTAACGGTCATTATGGGCTCATACACAGTCAGCAATGAGGTCGAATACATTACCAGCTCTAGGGCTGAAAAGATTAATCGTTTTATATCGTTTTTATATCGAAATCTCGATTTAAAGATGTGCAGTTTTCAGATCGAAAGGGCTGCAGTTTTTTTATTATAGAATACATTATAAATAGTGTTGTTTTATGTTTTAAATTGGGAAAATTAGGTTTGTAGCACAGAACTTAGGAACCGGCTGCAGACGAGTTACACCAATCACATGTTCGTTTGGTGTATGTGACGTCACAACCATCACAACTGACTGGTAGTCCGACGCACATACTCAGTGTTCAAGCATCATGCCAGAAAAAAATGGATATTCTGATCTTCTTGGCCAAACAAAACAGGCCTGGAAATGAATTTATAGATAATAATTGCATTTAAATTGTAATCTCAATATTAGTCGCAGTTTTCCCCCTAAACTGTGAAGCCCTGATCAGCGCCTAATTATAGACCCTGCTTTGTAGACTCTAGATCTGTATCTAAATTTGCTGAGTACTAAGCAGTGACCTTGATTATTTACTCCCCATCAAAAGTTTGGAATCACCTGTCTTATTAATAACTGTTGTCCAGTAATAACTTATACAGTGCATATTGAAATGTTAACCAGGCACCAGAACGTAAAGCCATGGTTTGCCATTTTAAAGTGTGTTGGAAACAAGAAAAACACAGAAAGCAAAATAATAAATGATATTAAATAATACCCAGTAGTTTTTTATTTATAGTAATTTCTTGTCTCAAAATTAACTGTGTGATCAGTGAGATTTGGTCGCCACTTTACGAAAATGAAGTATTCTGAATATAAATGTAATTTTAAGTTAATTCTTGACACTCTACAGGTTTCTTAGTTATTGTGGAAATATCTGTGGCCCCATGCATCATCAAAACATCTCCAATTCCTACTACAAATTGTTTGAAACTTGTAAAATTGTTGGAAACAATAAATCTGTCCATATGTCTTTGTGACTTCACTGCTTGAAATTAGGCTGACAACATAAAATATGTATGTCTCGCTGCTGTCAGAACAAAACGTTGTATCTCCAAAATGATAACTTTACAGGAGGGAAAAAAAATCATACTTTACTAATGCAAGTCAATGTAATGCAAGTCAATGTAACCAGACTTTTTTTCTTTTTTTTTCTTTTTTGGGTTATTTCCTTTGGTCCATTCATCATGAAATTTACACACAGTGTAAACATATTAACATAAGCATATGCACATATAATGTACTCATTTATATTAAAGCTGTATGCTGCACAGAAGCAGGTCTATAATGGTCTATAATGACCAGGCTCTGCTTATCTATCGGGCCCTCAGCCTAATTTCAAGCTGTAATTCTGTGAATTACCGAATTACGTTAGTAGGTTCAGGATTCTGGCCTTGTTGTAATGATGCTGTAATGACATCAGAGGCATTGACCTGTTAACACGCTCTCCATTACAGAGCCGTCGTGTCGTTTGGCCCAAAGAACAGATCTGTTGGGAATGCAGCAAAAAACCAGGTAAGGCCTGATGAGCATGAGGCCTGTGTTTACACTAGACTGCCCCTGGGTCACTGGACCTAGCAGCTGGCCTCTGTGTTTCTATAAATAACCATGACCTACTTATGTTTGTTATGTAAGGCAACACCTTTATTTCTGTGTGTGATCTCTTCCAGGCTATAACCAATCCTGCCAGTACTGTGTGTAATTTCAAGAGGCTGCATGGCAGACTGTTTGAGGATGCTGTCGTTCAAGCAGAGATGGCCAATTTACCGTATGATTTAGTACCACTGTGTGATGGCAGAGTCGGGGCAAAGGTAAAAACACTGGGGGAGGGGCGGTGTCCAGACAAAGATGATGGTCTAGTCTCAGGTTGAAGTTCCCATACCCAGTAGGATTGTGCAGTATATCAAAGGCCCAATCCCATTTTATTTCAATCACTTGCCCTTACCACTTAGCCCTTATCCCTCCGTTTTGCGGGTTCACGTCTAGGGGTAGGTGTCCCGATTTTTATTGGGATAGAGGTGTAGGGCGAAGTGTTAGGGCTAAATGGCCCTTCAAACGGAGGTTTTTCAGAGACACATTCCAAACGGATAGCTGCATAAGCAACTAAAGAAACCCACAAATGTGAGTATTTTCTCTGTTAAAAAATTACGATAACTGTTGTATTATCTTAGTTCAATGTTGTGTCGATGTATTATGGTCCTTTTCTTTATAACAAGCATAAAAATCGCTAGTAGTTTGCTGGTGTCTCAGCAGCTAGCTAGCTGAATTTCCCGTTCCACCTTAAATGGTGCAGCAGTTACATTCTTGTACCTCAGGCCACAGAACTGCTGCACTATTTAAGGTGGAACGGGAAAATTCGAACAAGGAGCTGGCGAATAGCTGACCTCAGCTTCATACCACTGAAGAATTGGGGTGGGCGGTAATAAATAATTGTCACACCCCCCTCTTTGAAGGCAAATGATGCCCTGAATTAATTTTTTGCTTAAAGTTCAGGGAACTTCACCCTCCTCTGCTATCACTGCAGACTGGCAGGGTCACCTACAGAGCAGCTCTGGTAGCCTGTTAATGAAGTAATGTTCTTTATTTGAGGGTCCCATTTCATAGGGGAGGATTTCAACCACTACCCCTTGTAACTCAGTTCCAAGGGGCAAGACACTCGAAAACAAGGGGTAGGGATAAAATAAGAAATGGGTTTGGGCCAAAGTGTTGAGATTGACACAGTGCTAAATATACAACGCACTAAACATGATATTATTGGTTAATATTAGATGTTTCGCACCCCTGATGCATAGTGATGTAGCCAAAAAATCAGAAGATGTTTTAGAGGCTGGTAAAAGTCATAATATGTTGATTGATGAATTTGCAAGGTAAAAAAGGTCTTTTTTGACTTCAGGTTGACTTTGAGGTTGTCACAATTTGAGTGTTTTTCTGGCAGTTCAGATGAGAAGAGACACTTTGTTTGGCACATCAGCAGTTTGGTATTAAGCGCTATGATGCTACATTTGCTATAGGTATTGAGGTAAACATTCTGGCATCGTGACAGTGCTTTTACCGAGATATCAGGAAATAGGTCTGTTTGAGTTTGTAGAAACCTTCTCATCCAGAGATTCTTCTGAAATCAAGGGTCACAATAGTAAATTTGACCCCCTTTTACTGAAGTAACAGTCTCTACTCTTCTGGCAAGGCTTTACAGTAGATGTTAGAACATTGCTGTGAGGATTTATTTGAATTCAGCCATGAGAGCATTAGTGAGGTCGGGTAGTGATGTTGGATAATTAGTTCTGGATCACTTCAACTCATCCAGGAGGGATTCAATGGTGTTCCTTCACTCCAGAGCACAGGTCCACTGCACCAGTGCCTAATGCTGGAGGGGCCCTTAGACCCCTCTAATCAGTGCCTGGCATTGGGCATGGCGACCTTAGGCTTGTGTGCAGCTGCTCCAGAGTCCCATTCTATTTGCCAAAGCTTTTTTATGGAGATTATATAATCTGTGTGTGCAGTTGAACACCTGTTTTAGCAAAGGGTTCCAATCAATCATCACTATTGAACGAAAGCCCGTTTAAGATGTTTTAGAAATAACAGAGACTGTGGCAAATGTGAGAGACTTCCACTTGAGATTAGGTGCTGATTTATTAGCATCTTTTAATGACAGTAATTCTACTTAGAGATGAAAATACATACATGTAATCTATACCACTCAGTGTCTGTAACCATATAAACTAAAAAAAGGTCCCTTGTGGAAGTTCCGGACTTGATTTGCATCTTTGTTTGGAAAAGAGCCTCTTCCTTGTATCCAAAACTTTTAACCATTCCTGTTTTATGTTTAAAGGTGGTTAAGAAGTGCTTTCACATAGTCAAAAGGCCCATATCCTACATACCATACATGTTTGCATTTAAATTTCCAGTTATGGTCCATTTATAGTGTTTATGTTCATTTTCCAACCTATCTTTATTCCTTAGAATTAATCATACTGTTTTTTATTATTGTGCCTTGAAGACTGATGTATGTAAATGACCTCTGTTCTGATTGGCTGCCCTGTATTGTGCCACATTTAAAAAGCAGGACTGGCTGAAACACTTCAAATATTATAATTTATAACGTCTTATAACTAAACACTTCTTATAAAGTTTGAATAGGTGGATGCAAATGACATCACAAATACAGTCATTTCAAAATGGGCTGTTTTTGCTGCTTAGTCTTCAGATATGGACTGTATGGGCTGGGGAGTGAACGGTACCACACTGAGGAAAATTCGGTTTTCCATGATATGAGCCCTTCAATAGAATGACTCGCTCACTGATTCTTTTACTCTCCAATGATTGAGATCCTCTGTAAAGCTTTTAAAGCTCTGTTCGATATCTGTTATTAGTTTGTAACAACAGAATGAATGTGTTTTAATTTTTAGGTTGTGTACCTGGAGAAGGAGCACCAGTTCACTATTGAACAGATCACTGCCATGTTGCTGACTAAGATGAAAGAAACTGCAGAGGCCAGTCTACAGAAGAAAGTAGCTGAGTGTGTCATCTCTGTAAGTTTTCTCCTGCAACTTTAAACACAGACAGTCAGTTTGAACGTTTTGGGCTTAAAGGCTTCACAAAATAATCTCGTCCTTAATTTGTTTGCTAGATATTAACATAGTGAAACATGAAAGAAAAAATAGAAATTGAGAACATGTCTTATTGTACACAGAAAATATGTACAATGTTGTGCAAAAGTCAGAGACCCTTCATGTATTTAAATACCCTATTAAAACTGCCTTTAAATACATGTTATTTATTTCCCAGCGTCAGGCATAAAGAGGAAAATTTGACAGAAAATATGTAGAAGCCTCGAAATCTAATATACAACCAGATACTGAATTTTCAGTATTCAGTGTGTCCAATTTTTGCCTTTATTACAGCTTTCATTTTTTCAATTGACTTGCTTTCAGTTTCTCAAAACCTGCAGGGATATTTTTCCACACCTCCAAAATTCAGTCTTAGAAGTTGGTTGCACTTTCTGATTCTCATGACATTCAGTAATGTTGAAGTTTTTTCAGATCAAAGGAAGAGTGGAGTTTGATGGAATCCTGGAAATGTTAAAGTTACAAAACCGGAAGTGAGCTTGGTTTTCACCAAAGTAGCTGAGCAACTTAAAAGTGTTTTTCTGTGTTTAACATCTCCATCCATATTTCCATTGTGGCAGTTTCACACAAATGTTTTGATATGAAGAAGGCTGCCGTTGTGCAGCCAGTTTTATCTCAGCACAGCTGTCCTTATGGAGAGGGATGAATTGTTTTCACATTAGGGGGTTCTCACGTCTCCCCATTCACCCCTCATTGCTCACTAGCAGCTCAACATTTCACACACAGAGAGCAGACAGTGTCCTAGTTAATCTGATAACAGAGGTATAGGGACAAATATTTTATTTCATCACATTAGTTCAAAATATCCAAGTCAATTTCCATTCAGATGGGGGGGCCTGCAGAAAGACGTTAATATCTCCTGAAAAATTAAGAACTTGAACTTAATGGCCATTTTGACTAGAAATTAAATAACGAAGGTCTCGCTCTGACTTTTCCATAGTATTGTACTTTTTTCATTTAGCTAACCTTGAGAACCTGCACACCATTCCCAAAGCTTCCAAATCACTGTTCTCTACATTTTATCTCCATACACATTACACACTCACAACTGTGGCAAACACCAATCACACGGTTTGTGTTTGTTTGTGCGCCCTTTCTTTTTTTTTTTCCTTCTTTTCTGTTGGCCATGCGAATGATTTTATCATGCATAGATCCCTTCATTCTTCACTGATTCAGAGAGGAGGTCTGTACTGGATGCTGCCAAGATTGCTGGCCTGAATTGCCTGAGGCTGATGAATGACACCACTGCAGGTATGTTAGGGATTCATTACGCTCATCCTGCCAATTACTGTGTAAATCCCCCCACCTTCCCCCCAACCAAATGTTCGTGAGTCATACTGACATGCTTGCATCATTTGTCTTCCCAGTGGCACTGAATTATGGCATATACAAGCAAGATCTGCCAGGTCCTGAGGAGAAGCCTAGGATTGTGTTCTTTGTTGACATGGGGCACTCAGCCTTTCAAGTGTCTGCCTGCGCATTCAATAAAGGAAAGCTGAAGGTGAGCAACAGTGTAACGCAGTCACAATGGCTTTTTTTCCACTGTAGAGCCGAACGGTTACCACAGGCCATGTTGCGGCATTATGCATCGGCACGAACCTGTGCGAACGGTTAAAGGTTCTTCTTCTCTCTGTTGTGCTGCTGAACTAGAACTAGAAAGTACAGAAACTACTGCGGCTCAGAGATGGTGTTGCATGTTATAAAGTTGTTGTACAGTACTGTGCAAAAGCCTTAGACTCCAGAGAAATTATATTGAAAAAAAAAAAAACTATCTATTGAAGGCAGTAAACATTTATTAGCTCTGACAAACACTAATATTAGACACTAGTCTATAGTGTTTATATTGACTATTAGAATTAATACAATTAACAATACAATATGTAGTATTCATGTGTTACCTACATTCCTACATTTTTCATCTTCTTTTGTTCCCTGAGGTCCACTTACAGCATTTGCGTAGTTTTATGTACCAAAAAAAGTCCGGATTCATTGTTACAAGAACATTTTCCAATTTCACTGAATCCCTCAGAATTAATCAGCCTGTTTGTTACTGTTGCTTAAAGACTGATATATACAAATGATTTATGTTCTGATTGGCTGCCCAGTAACAAAAAGCAGTTTGGACCGAATCACTCCTTATAACTTCAGTGTGAGTGGGTGAAGCTAAAGTCTCCTAGAGTGAATGAATAGGTGAATATACGTAAACATGTTTGTTTTCATGACATCACAAACAGCAAATTTAAAACAGGCTGTTTTTGCAGCTTAGTTTCCGTGTGGGGTGTGAATGGTGTGTTTTGGAACTTTAACATTGACCATCAAACAAATTCATTTTAAAAAAGTGTGGAAATTTTCCACAATATGGGCCCTTTAACCATAACCTCTACTCATGGCAACCTGGTATTTGCAGTTATCATCCAATACCTTGTTTGGCTAATCAATACAGATAGTGTGCTTAATCTGTGTGATGGCTGAGAGCATCAAGGAAAAGTCAAGAACCAACCCTGTGGTCTAACCAGCTCACAAGATATCAACTAGTCTTATTGAAAACTCATGTTTATGCTAATTTTTATTTGTTTGAATGCTATATAGTGTTTAAGTGGTTAAAATGTACTTACTGATTAGGTAAATGGTTTTAAACAATTTGCTTAGCTCTGTATGTTAGTGGTTCTCAAAACACACATTTCTACTCTATCCCTATATGTGCTAAGTTGGGGTCAAGCAAAAATGTGGACCATCAGGGTGTCTTTGAGGACCAGTTTGAGAACCTCTGCTACTGTTGCTCGCAGTTCTCGTATGGACGGTGTAGAGGATTTGGAATCTTGAGATTTGTTGGACTGTTTTTTGGTTTTGAAATGATGGATGAGGCACCTTAAAAATTGATGTAAAGTTGGGATCAACAGTCATAATCAGCCAGGATTGGAATCGCTCTTGTGTTTGCCCATTACCTGTTACTGGCAATAACATGATTTATTTTTGTTTTGGCCAATCTGTCTTATGATTTTTCTGATGTAAATATTATGAGCCAACCAAGCAGACACATGCTGCATTCAAATCCATTAATTTAACCTGCAAGGTGAAAACTTTGGGTAAAGAGCAAAGCAACAAAGTTGGTCTTCTTTGCATCTTGATGGAAAAAAAGAACCAAAAATTGGCTGATTTGGCTGTAAAGTAATTGGAAGCGGCTAAACAAATTCAGGATCAGTGCACCCCTATTGTAAAGCCAATCAATAAACACTTATGTCATTAACTTATTAATGTCTAAACAAAAAAGCAGCTATTTCTGCCTTTAAATGGCCTTTTCTCCTTTAATAAGGATGTTTTAGTGTGACTTCACATTTTGATGTGTAATATTGTGATATTGTGACTCTAATTAAGCAAATCAGCAATAAGCCCTTAGTGATCTGAATGAGCTCTAATGCCTGTTCAGAAACTATCACAGTGCTGCATGGAGCTTCTTGTATACAGTGATAGGAAACACAGTATCCACCTGCTAACCTATTTTACTGCAACCAGCATGGACATGCACACTCACCAACTACTCTGGAGGCAGATTTTAGTGAAAAACTCACCAACTAAGATTTTCTTTACAGCGGTGGTGATAGGAACCAAAGGTTGCAAGGCTTACAGTGCAAATATAGATATTTTAATTACTGTCTGTGACCAGTGAACCTACATGTACCTTCTGAGTTTTATACGCAATGTTGATAATGATAAAATAGCCGTAAATCTAAAAGTTCTAATCTAAAAAGCTTTCGTTCGGTGCTGTTTTGTCTTACCACCATGAATGGATTGAAAAAAATCCAAAGCCTTATTTAGAAACTATTGGAAAACAAGGTCTCACATCATTGTATGCATAATCACTTCATGTAAAACTTTCTGTGAGGGAGTATTTAGAGGTATTAAACTCTTCAGACGTCTGGTTTCTATCACCATCACCGTGAACAACTCTGATGTGTAAGCTTCTCTTGAACAGAGGATTTTACATCAAACCACTCTGAATGAGTTTGTTTACATCTTAATAAATGAGTTATGCTGACAATTGTACAAAAAAGGAGGACAGAGATAAAGTCTCTGAATGTATTGTCAGTGAAACATTGGGTTTGATAGTGTTTAACCATCCCATCCTAACGGTTCTGATACATTGACTATGGTTAGCTGGCTATACAAAGGCAACTATCTGTAATCTTTCCGTGCCGAACCATGGGAACAGTCAGTCTCCGTGCTCAGGACCATTCGGCTCTACGGTGGAAGAGAGAGTAAAGTTTTACCTATAGGCTGGAACATCAGAAAGACCAGTGAACCTTTTTTTCCTCCGCAGGTTCTCTCCACTGCATTTGATCCGTATTTGGGTGGCAGGGACTTTGATCAGAGGCTTGTGGAGCACTTCTGTGTAGAGTTCAAGTCCAAGTACAAGCTGGACGTTAAGTCCAGAGTTCGAGCTTTGTTGCGGCTCCAGCAGGAATGCGAGAAACTTAAGAAACTGATGAGCAGCAACTCCACAGACATCCCTCTGAACATCGAGTGCTTTATGGACGATAAGGACGTGTCGGGGAAGATGAATAGGTACTGGTCTCAATGATCTCATTGAATACTGTCTCTTCCAGAACGTTTTGGGAAGCAATCACGTTGATAGAGTTCAGAATGCTTAAGCTTTAAATATATAAAAAATTGAAGCACATTTTTGTGTCTCGTGGGCTGGGAGAGGCCTTTTCAGCATATAAGATATTGTGTGTCCAATTTATTTGACTGACAGATATGGAGCTTCCCGATAAGCGTTCACTGTGCTCTTAGGGAACTGTAGTTCTCTGAAACTGCTGCCAAATTCCACCAGATATCTACAAATGCCTCAAAACATGTGCCTGACTTTGATATTGTAAAGAAAAGATATATTCAGAGTGCGATAATGTCAAAACACGGTACATGCTGTAATAAGAGGGTGCACTGCTTTTAAAAAAGTACTCCACTTGATTTGGAGTGAAGCTTAAAGGGTTGGAAACATGTTGCCTCCATTACATTTAGAGACAAAGCTCTATATTAGGCTTGTTGAACTTCAGACCCGCAGGGCTACACCACTGCAGTTGTTTTTCATTGTCTAAAAAACCCTGATTCAGCTAATGAAGGGGTTATTAGCTGATTAAATTAATGAAGTATGTTTAAATGCAAGAGGTACTTGAGCTGTGATCCAGGACTGAAGCTTAAATCCTCTGCTTTTAAAAGGGAATTTCACAGATTTTTCTAAACCTTTTGCATAATTCAGTCTTTTTTTAAGATCTTCTTCAACATTTTTAGTACATAACTCAGATGTAAACAACGTAATTCAGGGTGGTTTGTTGTGAAATGCTCTGTTCTAGAGAAACTTACTGAGTCTGAATTGTTCACAGTGGGGGTGACAGGAACCAGATGTCCAAAGTGTTCTTTGCCTCTAAAGCTCCCTCACAGAAAGTTATTAAGTGAAATGGTTATGAATTTGCCACCTGATGCCTGAGACATTGTTTTATGTTTGTTGTCAGAGAAGAATTTGGCCTAAAATTTATTTTTTCAAATTTATGCATGCATAGTTTTTTTTTAAATGTGCCACTATTGTACATACAATGTAATGTATGTCAATGTATGTCAGAGCTAATAAACACTTTGGGTTACTTGTTATTTTGGAGAGTAAATAAAATGGCTGTGTTTTGTGTAGATGTAGCAACCCCTGGTTCCTGTCAGCACCACTGTAGAGAAATTTGAGCCAGTAAGTTTCTCTATAATGAACCATTTTATATCAAACAGTTATTTACACCTCAACGATGGAATCATACAGAAAAAAAAATTCCCTTTTAAGTGTATGAACCAATAGTCAGTTACATGAAGAAGCATATTTTGCTTTAACCAGAAATGAGAAATCTGATAATATTTATCGCCATCATGATAAATTGTCACATTACAGTAGAATATGTTGTTTTGTGCATAACATAGATATCAGAGAAGAACACTGACCGACTGCATGTTTCATCACAGAGAGTATAATCAGTCCAGCTTAATTGTGTTGAGTAGATCACAGTATGTGAAACAAATTCAGAATTCATAAACATTTACAAAACAAATAAATTGGGACTTGCAGATATTTTAGTGCAGTAATCCAAGCTGACATCAATGTTCTGCTCTTACAGAATACAAAATATACATGGGTGTTGATAGTATATTCTTTTTTGTTATTTCTAACATATCCAACCTCCAAAAAAATGAAATATTGTGATGAATATTGTGTATTATAGGTTTTTCTTTTCATTTTTGCCATATCACTACCCCTAGCTTTAACTTCTTTGCTTTAAAAATTGTAAGCAACCATGACAAAAAACAACTTGTCCCTGTAGAACTGCAGTGAAATGTCAATCAACAGTAAAGCAGAACAAGAGCTGAATCAACAGTACAGAATGAAATTAAACACAAGAGAATGAGCTCAATATGAATGGCTATGGTGGAATTGAGAAAGATAAATATGCTGATTACTTTCTTCATAAATATGCCTCAGTATTAGTAAAAGTATTTGCAAAACTCAAAATTTTACTTAAAGGGCCCATGTACTACATTTTTCTTGTATTCTGTTTTTTTCCTGAGTTCCGTCTAAAAAATTGTGTTTTATGTACTAAAAACAGTCAGAATTTATTTTTACATGACTAGTTTCCATCCTCTCTTTATCCCTTACAATTACAAAGGTTGTTTTTGTTACTGTGTCTTTAACATATATGTAAATGAGCTCTTCTGTGATCCGCTGCCTTGTAATGCGCCTTATTCAAAAAGCAGTTGGGGCTGAAGAATTCCTTATAATGTCAGTGCGACTAAATGGGGCTAAACTGCCGTAGGCTGAATAGGCGGATGTACACTAAATGGCCAAAAGTATGTGGTCATTTGACCATCACATCTATATCAGCTCACTGGAAATCACATTGAGTATATTGTTTACTCAAATATAGGTATTTTCTAGCAGTATGATGCCGTTACATGAGGAAGCTTGATGAACCTTCTGATGCCGAAAATAAAAAGCTGTGTTCACCTGCCTACAGGGCCAAGTTTGAGGAGCTCTGTGCTGACCTGATTGAGCGAGTGACCGTTCCTCTAGTGGCTGCTCTGGAGCAGGCTCAGGTGCAGCTGCAGGACATCAGCGCGGTGGAGATTGTTGGAGGAGCTACACGCATCCCTGCTGTGAAGGCCCAGATCAGCAAATTCTTCAAAAGGGATGTGAGCACCACACTCAATGCAGACGAAGCGGTGGCCAGAGGCTGCGCCTTACAGGTAGGGAGTTTTTTCCTCCGTACGGTGACAGCAAGATGAGCTTTCAGAGGCCCCAGTGGAAATCAGCTTGTTATCTACAGCTCGGCAGTATGAAGACTTCAGCGATGAGATCAAAAGAAGGCTGTGTCGCATTAAGATTCAGAATCAATCCAAATGCGAATTGACTTATCTTGATATGAAAGTGCAACAACTCGTTACCCAGTGATTAAAGACTGCCAAAGAGATTAAAAAGGAACAGAAAATGCAGGGAACAGGTTAGGATGAGTCTTGAAGTTGGTGAAATACTGGAGGCCAATTGCTTATCTCTGATTTTCATGGAACAGCTGGCATCCACAAGTTCCGTGTATTAATAGGATTTGTTAAGGTGCACAACCAAACGTACGAAAGGTGGGAGCTCAGAGGTCCGAATTCATTCTGAGCGTAATGATCGTCTTCCTTTCCACAGTGTGCCATGCTCTCCCCTGCATTCAAAGTGCGAGATTTCTCCATCACAGATGTTATCCCATTCCCCATCTCTCTCTCCTGGAGCAGCGAAGCAGATGAAGCCAAGTCGTAAGTACAGCTCGCAGTGTGCAAAACACCCCTGGCTTTCACAGCAATAACAACAGTGGATAGTTTGCGAGCGATGTCTTAATTGGAGCTGCAGTATACATCTGCTTGAACGTAATGTATATTTTATGCTTGGTGCTGTGCTCAGACTGTTTTGTAATTGTTCTCTCCCTCCAGTTGTCATGAGATATTTGGCAAGAATCACCCCTCTCCTTCTTCCAAAGTTATCACATTCCACAGGAACAAACCCTTTGTTCTGGAAGCTTTTTATTCAGATCCTGGATCTCTGCCATTCCCTGAGGCCAAGATTGGTGAGAATCACACAATTATATAAGGGGGAAAAAAAAATGTTTCTTCTTACAGCAGCCTGTTGTAGCTCCCCCTCGAATAAATCTCAAGTAGATCTTGATGTGGTAAAAGTTTGATGTGGTAGTCGCAGAGAGCAAAGCAGAAGTATGAGAATCTTTATTTTAAAGACCTCAATTCCAAAAAAGGTTGGGACAAAGTTTGTTTTTGCTCATCTGGGTTTTTTTTTACATCTTGTATTTGAACAAAAACAGTACAAAGACAACATACTTGCTATTTTACCATATCAACGTCTTTTGTTTTTTGTAAGTGTAAGCTTATTATGAAACTGATGTATGCTACACATTCCAGAGACAATTTAACTCTAGGAACATTGAAAAACGTTTAAAAAAAAATCTTAAAGCAGTCACACTCGGGTATAATAGGAGAATCCAGGAAAGGCTCAGGACTTTATAAGCATGGACAGATCAAGGCACGACTCATTGCTAAAAAAAAAAAAAATGTTAGAGAATCCAGAGCAACGTTTCTCACTGAGTGATTGTAGGGCTTTTAGGTATTTTACCCTCTACAGTGCAAAATATCATCAGAAGTTTCAGGCAATCCAGAGAAATCTCTGCATGAGAAGGACAAGGTTGGAAACCACAACTGAATGCCTCTGACCTTTAATAACTCAGACAGCACTGCATTAAAAACCAGCGTGCTTCTGTGATGGATATCTCATAAAATATACACATCATAATGCATCATATTATGAATGTACTGTGCACAGTAGAAGCCATATGTATTAGTGCCCATGGCATGGATAACTTGCACATCATCCTTGTATATTTCATCATGACAGTGCCAAACCACATTCTGCACGTTACAACAGCATAGCTGTTAGCATTTCACGTACTGCCCTATCTTTTTCTGGAATTGAGGTTTGTAGATAATGGAAAAAAATTAAATGAAAATCTCTCAGTGTCTCCCTGCTGTATATGGCGTGCCTCTCAGTGATATGCCCTTCCGGCTCCTCAGGTGAGTATAAAGTGCAGAATATCCAGGCCCAGGACAATGGAGAGAAATCAAAAGTGAAGGTCAAAGTCCAAGTAAATGCCAGTGGCATTATGGATGTGACCTCAGCCACCATGGTGATGAGGGTCAGCGCTGCAGATGCTGATGGAGACCTTGGGGAAAACACCATTGAGGAGGTCAGCACCCAGGATGGTCTGGATGAGGCGGACGGACAGGTACGTGTTATTACATTTCCTTGTGGCATTAAATGCAGTTGATAAATGCGAACGAATCACAAACAATGAGCTATTTGACTTCAGTTCAGTTTTCAGTTTTATTTGTGACTTTGCTTTGTATAACAGTATGTTGTGCTCCATGACTTTAATTAGGGCCTCACCAATTCTGGCTGATTTTAATTGGGACCTGATCAATATCTTAAGAAATTTATCAGCAAATGTCCCACTGATTCTGAGGATTTTGCCTCAATACTACAAAAATTGTTATTTAAGACTTTGCCAGTTTTCAGCTGTTAATGTCTGTTGAAATTATTACTTTAAATATAAAAAAAGAAACTCAGTCATGATACGATATCTTGGTGAAAAGTGAAAACATTAAATTTAGCCAATATATCTAATTTTTCTCATTATAAGAGTGCTGTAAGAATATTACACATCTTTTCTTGAAAATGTCTTTTTTAAATTAATTTTATCTAGAGAAATGGTCTCATTCTATTGGCACATAATAAATATAATATAATAAAATAAATGACTTAAAACAATTCTACAAGTAAGTTAAACAGTTTCTTAAAATGAGAAATAGTAGATACACTGATCAGGTATAAATTATGACCACCTCCTTGTTTCTACACTCATAGTCCATTTTATCAGCTCCACTTACTATATAGGTGCACTTTGTAGTTCTACAGTTACAGACTGTAGTCCATCTGTTTTTCTGCATACTTTGTTAGCCCCCTTTTACCCTGTTCTTCAGTGGTCAGGACCTCCATGAACCCTCACAGAGCAGGTACTATTTGGGTGGTGGATCATTCTCAGCATTGCAGTAACACTGATGTGGTGGTGGTGTGTTAGTGTGTGTTGCGCTGGTCTGAGTGGATCAGACACAGCAGTGCTGCTGGAGTTTTTAAACACCTCTGTGTCACTGCTGGACTGAGAATAGTCCACCAACCAAAACTATCCAGCCAACAGCGTCCTGTGACCACTGATAAAGGACTAGAGGATGACCAACACAAACTGTGCAGCAGCAGATGAGCTATCGTCTCTGACTTTACATGTACAGGGTGGACCGACAAGGTTGGAGTGTCTGATAGAGTGGACAGTGAGTGGACACAGTGTTTAAAAGCGCCAGCAGCACTACTGTGTCTGATCCACTTGTACCACACACTAACACACCACCACCACATCAGTGTTACTGCAGTGCTGAGAATGATCCACCACCCAAATAGTTCCTGCTCTGTGAGGGTCCATGGGGGTGCTGACCACTGAAGAACAGGGTAAAAGGGGGCAGAGAAACAGATGGACTACAGTCTGTAACTGTAGAACTACAAAGTGCACCTATATAGTAAGTGGAGCTGATAAAGTGGACAGTGAGTGTAGAAACAAGGTCATAATGTTATGCCTGATAGGTGTATATAGACTAGATATCCCTTGCCAAGATATCATGTTTTGCAGTCTATCAGTCGGTTAAATACAGCTTAACTAAAATTATTGGAGTCTGTTTCATTTTCAACCATGTAAAATTATATAGACCACTGGTTATCAAAATGTTTGGCAAAAAAAGTGACAACTTTCATATCAGTTAGACCCCAGTTTCAATGAAAGAGTACCAGACTTGATGTGTTTGAATATAACCCTAAGAAGGGGGGGAATGTTTCTATGAGGGTGACAGTGGGCGAATCTTAGAGATATTTGTAATGAAGTGAAAGAATGCAATGTGTATGTGTTTAAAATGTAATAGTCAGTTCCCTGGGACTGTGATTCTAGGAGTCCCAGGAGTCAAATGATCATACTCCACTAGACAGAGAAAACCAGCCCACAGCCCAGTGTCCCCCCATGGATAAAGCGCCGAATCTTTCACACTCACTGGCCGTAAGTGAGCTCCATCTCTCACTTACAGCTTAGTGATACAGCGTGTCTGAGTGCGCGTATGAGTGCGTCTGCGACTGTGTGTGCCTCTGATGTATTTAATAATTTGTCACATTAATCTCTCTGTGGATGACATGCATACATTATCTGTCATTTTGACTTAGAGAGATGTTGTACAAGAATACTAATGCGTGTTGTGGTATCTGTCTTGACAGAACGGAGAGTTCAGTGGCCAGCCCCCCAATGCAAAAAAAGCCAAGATGAAGGTCAAACACGTGGGACTGCCTATCGAGGAGAAAATTACACTGCAGCTCCCAAAGGATCACCTTAATACTCTCACAGAGCTGGAGGTAGTGCTTGGTTTTAAAGGTTCATGTTGTTTGCCTAGATTAGATGTGTCAATAAAGGCAAGAGAGGCTCCTCTGTGCAATATGTTTTTTGAGGATTTATAACATTCACTTGTTGGTATTTGCAGCACTGACATATTTTTAAGCTTCAAATAACTAGGGCTGGCCCAAACAGCAGAAGTTTTTATTAGTCACCCATCTGCCAAAACAGATATATTTCAGTTTAAATCAGTGTTTCAGTGCACACCGGCTGCACTAGGCAAGCATATTACGTTTGTGAATACGTGAGCTCTATGCATTTTTAATCATGGTCTAACTCAGTAAAGATCTAGTCAAATTCTAGACTCCCACTGTCTGTAGTTTCTAAACTATATTCAACATAATTGACTTATTATTGTGGTAGAGGCATAGCAGCCCGTGGCATGAACTAAACCAGCTTTCATTTTACAATAACTGTTGTATCTAAATGCCTTTTAGGTTTTGGTGGCTTAAAAAAGACAAAGTTTTTGAATACTGAATAGAGAAATGAATACCAACCTAACACACGAAGACTGAAGAATTCCAGTTATTAGGGCCAGCCCTGCAAATACCAAATAAAAAAGCCTCAAAAGACAAGCTTGTATTATAGACATTATATGGAAAAAGTGAAAGACAAATCAAACACATTGTCCTCTCACTGGCACAAAGGGGCCATACAAAGCCCCAGGCTAGGACAGGCTATTTTAATCTGTCATATTTAGCACTGATCACTCTCAAACACAGGGCCAGATGATCCAGCAAGACCAGCAGGAGAAGGAGAGGAACAATGCCAAAAATGCAGTGGAGGAGAGCGTGTACTTCTATCGCCACAAACTGGAGGGTCCCTATCAGACGTTCCTAAGCGCTAATGTAAGCTCACCAGCCTACCGCTTTTCTTAGGCCACACTGCCATTGCTTGCAGAGTGACATGCCTTCTGTTTGCTCAACAAGGCCTCTTTTATTTCTAGCTTGAAAGGGGTAAAGAGGTATTCTTGATAATGGCACTCATCTTGAAATTCGAGATCCATTTATTAACAATTGTGTCGAGTCTCCCGGGAAATCGAAATGTCTTTTTTATTCTTTTTTTTTTTCATTCTACATCATCCACTTTTCTAAATGGTTCCCTTAGAGGTTTCATAAAAGGTAGAGATCCTGAGTCTGGTGTTTAATCTTGGCAGTTTATTTAAATGGAAAGTAGATTCGCAGTACAGGCATGTCTTTTTTTTTCCTCCCCTTTCAGGAGCAGCAGAAGTTCTTTGAACTTCTGAATCTCACAGAGACTTGGCTGTATGAAGAAGGAGCAGACCAAGACAAGCAGACGTATCTGCACAAACTGGCAGAAATCCACGTGAGTCATTCAGACGTGTAAACACATCTGTTTATTCGCCGTATCACTGTTAAAACACATGCTGCTAATTTGTCTCTTAGACTTTCAATTAATTCGCTTTGTCCCCTCAGAGTAAAACGGGTTTTATCGGCATAGGGTTATGTCCCCCATTAGCCTGCAGTGTAAGCACAACGCTGCATTTTTAATATACTTGTAGCATTTTGACAGCATGCTGCATTTTGGCGTGTCGTGCACTTGGAGGTTTAAAGGCTGGAGCCACTCGCGCTGAGCTTTCTTAATCCCACTGCAGCTCTCGCCGCACAGAACGCTAATTGGTTGCTGTGTACTGCAACACCCAACGCAGGTTTCTGTGTCTCTGAAAGCAGCGAGGCATAACGCCACATTGTTTTCTGCTTTCCAGAAACTGGGCATGCCTGTTAAAGACAGATACCAGGAGTCTGTGAAGAGACCCAAGCTGTTTGAGCAACTCTCGGCCAAAATACTGCAATACAGTACAATCATGGAGGAGTATAAGAATGGGGTGAGATGGCTTTGGTATTTTTACTAGAATTCTCGTGAGACACTGAGCTGAGAAATTGGAGCCTGAATTACTTAAAATGTACCAAAATGCTTTTGTGTGTAAAGATACCATATTGTCTAGCTTTTTATTCCATTTAAATAATTCCCTGTGGCGTATTAAACATGGTAATTTTTTATTTAATTAAAAAACTCTCATGTATTTCTAATTATCTATTCCTCAAGGCATATGCCCTTTGGCAACGCACTAGCTGTTTTGCTGTTTTTAGTGTGCTTTAGACTTGAAGTTATACATATTAATTAGCCATCTCTCTAATACACTAACAAACCTAATTCTGGAATACGTGAAACTCACCTACAGTCCTATGTGTAAGTTTGGTCATGTTTTGTTGATTTTTCTAAGTGAAAATAGCTTAACACACCCTGTTCAGTAAACAAACTTAAATGTGCCTTTTTCTGCAAATTTTAGTGCACAATTTCTAATTATTTGTAGAGTTTAATGTAGTTGGAAAAAATAAAACAGTATGTTCAAATTCTGCAAGTAAACAGTAGTTTAGAAGTGTGTTCCCTGTAGAAGATGTCTTAACTTATTTTCACTTAGAAAATCAACAAAATGTGTAACTTGACCAGGGGCGACCACACTTTTGTACATGGCTGTATAAAGAGTAGAGGCTATTTATGCATCTACAGCATGAAATCTCATTTGTTTTGGACCTCATAGCAGATTATGGTAGTTATTGTGCACACATTTAAGTTTGCAAATACACAAACAGCTTGGTTTGCTATCATTACTGTATTAGCCAGCTAATAAGTAAAAGAAAAATTGAAGACACTGCAAAAATGATTTATTTGCATTAGTAGTGGGTGGTATGGCCAAAACTGTATATCACAGTATGATTAAAACTTCTAAAGTTTTAATTATATATCATGGTGTGTATATATATTTTCAAATATAAGTATTTTAGATGCTAAAGTAAACGTTTTATAGTATTTTTTGTATTTTTGTTGTCCCTTCACTTTTAAATAAAACCCATTTTTAACAACCAAATTAATATGAAATATTTGTATTGTGCAAAGTGGTGCAAGTTATATATATATATATATATATATTAGTCCTTCAGAAAGCTGAGCTGTGTCTAGGGACTGATGCTGGCTAAAGTGATAGAACTGTCTTGTAAGTAATCTTAGGTGTCAAGAACTGTTGGCTGTCTGACAACAAGCACTGGCCTTTCTTACTCCTGTTCTTACAAGCAAGGCATGGGAGATAAAGCAATCCTTACACGAGGATATGAAAAGTAGCTCATATATAACCTAATTGGTCTCTTATACTGAAACTCAGAATACATGACACGATTGGAGCCATTTCTGATTCATTTTTCACTAATAACCACAAGGAAATGTCTATTAGGAATTTTACATTTAATAGTATGTTTTAGGAGATTTTCGGAGTACAGAGAACAAATTATTTAATGTAGTTTTTCGGATATTTTGAATGCTTGCTTGCTGGCATTTCCCCCCAACTATCAAGTGCATGTTGCTGTTTTCTACCTTGTATAAACTTATTTCAGTACATTATTGTCACAAGAATCTGGTTTATCAGAAAAAACTAATGCAATTCCTGATTAAAAGTGTTTAAGGTCTCTTTTGTCATCTCTAATTGAAATCCATTCTATTCCAGTGTAAGAGCTGATTTTATTGTTTTCTTGTCATGAAAACAGCAGATTACTCACTGTATAAAATGGGCAAATTATACCTTGTATAAAATTGATTAGCTTTGTTTAAACAACAAAGGCAGTCAATTTTAATCTGGCACTCATAGTTGCTGTAGAAACACTCAGGAACATAACTAAGCCTCTGTCCCATAGAGTGAAAGCTACAAGCATATTGATGAGCCGGACATGGAGAAGGTGAGGAAATGCGTGTGGGAGACACATGAGTGGATGACCACCATGAGGAACTCCCAGGAACAGCTCAGGCCCGAGGACGAGCCTGCAGTTCACAGCACTCAGATCCACGAGAAACTACAGGTGAGGAAAAAGCTCTCGCTGCCGTCAGACAGTCGCTGCATGTTCCCAGCAATCAGAGTCTGTAGACACAGTAGGCGTCTAAAAGTGCTTTTAAAGTAGTCTCTTTGTGCATTTTCAACAGAGAAATCACAAAGTCAGAATTGTAACTGGGTATTTTGGAAACAGCAGAACTCCTACGGTAAATCTGACAGTGAATCAGTGATTGGTTTGATTGAATGATGCCCATTTTTTGTCCTTGTTTGTTCTGACAGACTCTGCTGAACGTATGCGAGGAGATTGTTTCAAAACCCAAACCTAGAGTGGACTCTCCTGCTGAGGAGAGCATGCAAACAGAGTGTACCGTTAATAAGAGTCCTGAAGACGTAACCATGGAATACAATGATATTTTACAGAATGGAGAGAAAAGCAGTCATGAAGGAGACTGAACAGAATATGAATGTATGCCATGTGTTTATATGTCATATTGTTTTTGAAAGAGAGATGTTTAACACTTGTCTTTAAATAGGGTACGGATGTTTAAAATCATTCTTTGTTTTGTTAAGTTTTCCATTTTGGTTAAATGTTTCTGCCTTTTTGTTCGTCTGCCTTTGATAGTGACGCTGAGCAGTTTCTTTACTGAGTAAATTTATTTATTGCAAATAAACACATAGTGAGTTTTGCCAGAATTTGCATTATACAAACCTGTCCTGTGAAGCTTAAAGGGGAATTCTGCCAATATTTCAAAATTTCTTCATAATGCAGTAGTTGAGATGGAAACAAAGTCATTCAGAATGGTGCACTGTAGAGAAATTAGCTGGCATGGAAACGGGTCACGATGTCGACAACACAAATACGACCATTTCATTTAATATCCAAAATGACCAGTGAACCTACATGTCGTATTAGTTTTTATATGTACTGTTGATAATGAAAAAATAGTGGTAAATCCAAAAATTTCATTTTCTTTGGGTACGATTTTGCTTTACAGCACCTTGCATGTACCCCTCCACCAAGAACGGATTAAAAAAATTAGGCCAAAAACTTATTTCAAAACTGTTGTAAAACAATGAGTGTGTTTACATGCACTTAATAATCCGATAACTGCAGAAAATCAGATTTTGTCAGTAATCCGATCAGCATGCACTTCAGTAATCAGATCATGTGAAACTCTGGGTTTACGTGAGCTGGATTTCTGCTTTGCAACCAGCCATAAACTCAGAGAAGACGTGGCGTAAACGTAATGTAAACTCAAACTTTGTGCAGAAGCTTTTTTTTTATAAAAAGATTCTATTTCTAGATCGGAATATGCTGTTTACATGACCATTTGAATAATCGGATAACTGCAGAAATCCGATTATGATCAGATTATTGAGTGCATGTAAACACACTCATTGTTTCAAGCATCAGGCAATCTATATCCGTTTCATGTAATAATGTTCTGATGAGCTTTCAAATGCTTTGGACATCTGGTTCCTATCACTTCTGTTGTGAACAGTTCTGACTCAAGTTTCTCTTGAACAGCGCATTTCACATCAAACCATTTTGCATGACTTTACATCTTGATGATGTAATTGTGCATAAATTTAGCATAAATTCCCCTTTAAGAACGTTGCAAACCTCAATGCATGTTCTGTATGTGTTATCAACAGAGCACAGAATCACTGCAAGCAGAAATAAAACATCAGTAGCTCAATTCTTCTGTTTTTCTCACTTTTTTTTGGTCAGTCCTGAAATGAGCTTGTGCAACTTGAGTAAAATCTCATGTCTCTGGGCTTTGCTTTGACAATACTATCTAAGCCAAGAGAAACATTTCAGAAGTTATCCAGTGAACGTATTGCAGCACCCCTAAGACGAAAGACCATTTTTATAGCATCATCAATTTTGAATAGCTTTGTTTGATCTGAATATTCTTTCCCAAAAAAGAAAAAAAAAATGTATTCCCAGTAGAACAACATGTGGTATGTAAAAGGCTTAAATTGATGATATGGTCTCTTTGGGCTGTAAAGGGGATTGCGAACTGCCCAGAGTCTCCTTAACGTACCTAACTGAGCAGAACTCATTTATATTCCGGAGGGTTTCTCATCCACAGAGCTGGCTATGAAGGGATCGATCCCTGCAAGGGAGAGATCGGGCTTCTCGCATGTAGTAGGAGCATCAACAACATCGAAGTACTTCAAAGTGTGGTAGGCCTTGGGGCCCCCATGGTTCAGGGTCTTGTTAGCATGTTTGAATATTTCATGGCGAAGCCTGCAAAGCCAGAGACAACAAACCCAGTTTCTTACTACTGATTCACAAGCCTCGGGTCACTTTTCACCTTATCGGAATGGAAAGCGGATTTTACCGATAGGAAAACAAACTCACCACTTCCCATGTTCAGGATAAAAAGAGCTGTTAATCTCCTCCTCGATCTCTCTGTCTGAGAAGCTCGGCAGTGGGTGTCTGACCTTGTTGGGGGATTCTGACTGCAATTACAACAGAAAAGCTTATGCTCAGTGTACAGACATGCGCACACACTTTGAAAGGAAATACTTTTGTGGAAAAAGCTAATTCACACAATTTCCCTCTTACCCCAAATGTTGCTGATTAGCTAAGATACGTTTGGTGTCTGAAGCACGGACAAAAGTACAGGTTTGAAAATGCCTGCAACTGTTTTTTTTTTTAGCTATGAAATGTAGTTTTGTCCTTTTTAATACAGGGTGATTCGAAAAGATTCATCTGATTTCAAAGCGGCATATTTTTACAACCGTGATGCGCCTAGGAACCAATCACATTCCAATTGAAAGAGGGGGTCATAGAGTTTCTGACTGTCAGGAGAAGATTTCTCCCTTCAGTCTGAGAGGAGATGCGACCTCTGAGCAGAAAGCGTTTTGCGCTCTCCACTTCAATAAGAGTGAATCCGTCATACCCGTGCGGCATGATTTTCGTCAGTAGTGAACCTCCAACAGCTCAGAGCATTCGGCGTTGGTTCCAGGACACTGGATGATCTCCGAAATTGCACTGAAAGAGCCGTGAGTGCAGCGACACCCAACATGCTCAATCGAGTGTGGGATGAATTTGACTATGGCGTTGATGTTGTCCGAACAGCTGGAGGAGGTTCAAATTGAGCACTTATAAAATTACATAAACTTTATGCTCAAAACCGTTTACAATTTACTGCACTGTTCTGTAACGATTTATAAGTGAAATAAATCATTTTGAAATCGGATGAATCTTTTTGAAACACCCTGTTGATAACAGTGTCAGAGACCACATAAGCAAGTCTGTTTCAGATTACTTGAAGCCTAAAACTAGAGTTTGAAATCTTATCTGTTGTGTTACGCTGTGTTCTGTAGTGCCGCATTGTATCCCAGCCACATTGACCTGACAGAGTACAAAATTGTTTATCTTTTTCATTTATTAGTGCTTATCCCCTTAAAATCCCAGGCTTATTACATACTAAGTCTTATTATTCAGTAACTGCAGGGACTTCAATGCAAACTGGCTGAGGTATTCTTAGATTATAGAAGTGTATAATAAATCTTTAGGCCTGCCAGTGGGTCCTGCCCATTTAAGGGGTTATGACTACAATACCCAGCATGCATTTACATCATACAACCATAGACCTCTGAAGTTGTGTCCTCATTCTGTAGTCAGTGTCATCATGCCAAATCTGGGTCTAAGCTGATTCCTTTGTGACAACAATTTAATTGAATTGATACACTTTAGCAGTAGCAGGCTACAGTTTGAACAGCTGCTGTTATTATATAATAAAGTTTAATTGTAGACTTATTTTCAAGCGACATCATTTCGATGTGCAAGAGTGTCGGATTGCTATTAGCATGGCTAACGTTGTAAAAAAGAAAAAGAGCCAAACTGAGGTAGCTAGACAGCCAGCTTGCTACCTTTAACTTTTAGCAACTTTTTTTCTGTCATTTGAGTAATATATTTGCTTACAGTTATCCAGCTACAGTTATACAGTTATCCAGCTACAGTTATACAGTTATCCAGCTACAGTTATAGTTACCCAGCTACAGTTATACAGTTATCCAGCTACAGTTATACAGTTATCCAGCTACAGTTATAGTTACCCAGCTACAGTTATACAGTTATCCAGCTACAGTTATACAGTTATCCAGCTACAGTTATAGTTACCCAGCTACAGTTATAGTTACCCAGCTACAGTTATACAGTTACCCAGCTACAGTTATAGTTATCCAGCTACAGTTATACAGTTATCCAGCTAGTTATGCAGTTAGCCAGCTACAGTTATACAGTTATCAGCTACAGTTATGCAGTTAGCAAGCTATAGTTATCCAGTTATCCAGCTAGTTATGCAGTTATCCAGCTAGTTGTGCAGTTATCCAGCTATCCAGCTAGTTATGCAGTTAGCCAGCTACAGGTATAGGGTTATATAGTTATATACATAGAGTTATACAGTTATGCAGCTACAGTTGTACAGTTATACGACTACCAATTAACATTATAGAGTTATTTATATATATATATATATATATGTATGTATATATATATATATATATATATATATATATATATATATATATATATATATATTTAAGATATGGTTTCCTAGCAGTACAGTTAGCTACATTAGCCTCATAGATACAGTCCAGAGCTAAAGAAACGTCATACACCAAGCATGTTTTGGCTGTCTGACTGCATTTGATGGAAGAAAAATCATATAAAATTCCACCAAGATATTTTAATCTTGAACCTATTGCTTCAACACCCTCATGCAACATCATGCGAAGAATATAAGCTTATGAACTTAAAACTTGTCTACAGTATGAATAGTGTTGTCTATCGTGGGTACCTCAGTTCTGGTGTCCCCATTGCTGCCAGAGCTAAGAACTTCTGACAGCGTCATCTTCCCATCCAGCGTGCAGTGGGAGGGCATGCTCAGAGGATCTATAAGAACTTCATAAGGAACGGCAGGGTGCTTCCAGGAGGATTCAGCGTGGAGGCTCCATCTCTCAGGCTGCCCAAAAGTACCTGTAAAGTTATACACCTCTCATGGCTCGCAGCACAGGCAAAACATCTATAGCCTATACATTTTTTGAAGTGAACACTCTAGACTTTGAAGCCAATTCCTTTTGAAATATGAGGCACCCTCCAGACTACGGGAGAAAAAAAGCTTTATGTTGTGTTTGAAATGGTCCTCGTATAACTGTTCCATGCACTGGAAAATCAGGACCACTATACAGAACACAGAAATGGCCCATAATCTCTATTCTCTACATCAGGACCACTGTACTGAACTCTATTACAGGTGACTGAAATGGTCCCTAATCACTATTCTCTACATTAGAAACCCAAAAGCACTATATAGAACAAGAAGTGTCAAAAGGAAAAGAAATGGCCCCTAATCATTATTCCCTATTTTAGAAAAACAGAAGCACTATATTCATTTATTCATTCATTCATTCATTCAACCTTTATTTAAACCCGGAAATACAAAATATGACACTATTATAAGGAACAGAATTTGTGACTGAAGTAAAAGATTTTGTGCACTAAAAGTTATACAAGTTTGCTCGACTATGAACTTACACTGTGGTATTTAGTGTTGGCTGAGCACATTGTTAATACAAATTTAAACAAATTCACAGGATATTCTTAACTATGTATTTATACAAGTAGCTTGGAGGCACTCTAGGTGAATCATATTAAGTGAAATGTGAAAGTGATATTAAATCTAGTCGATCTATCAAATATTCCTTATTCTGAGATTGTAGTAACAATATGATTGGATTATTTAACTTATTTCTAGACATTTTTATTTGTTTATAAAGGGAAATCATTTTCTTCTGGCAGACAGTTTTGCTTGTTTCAAGCATTATTTTTTGAAACAGTCTAAATGATCTGCCAATAGAATAAGACGATTTCACGAGATAAAATGACTTAAAACAAGTGAAAACGTCTAGAAATTGGTTGAATGATCATATAATACAGGGTGATTCAAAAAGATTTCAAAGCGCCATATTTTTACAACCGTGAGGCACCTAGGAACCAATCACATTCCAATTGAAAGAGGGGGTCATAGAGTTTCTGACTGTCAGGAGAAGATGGCTCCCTTCAGTCTGAGAGGAGATGGAGACCCCTGAGCAGAAAGCGTTTTGCGTTCTCCACTTCAATAAGAGTGAATCTGTCATAACTGAGCAACGTGATTTTCATCGGCAGTGAAGCTCCAACAGCTCAGAGTGTTCATCGTTGGTTCCACAACACTGGATGATCTCTGAAATCGCACTGAAAAAGCTGTGACTACAGAGACACCTGACATGCTCAATCAAGTGTGGGATGAATTTGACTATGGTGTTGATGTCTGTACAGCTGGAGGAGGGTCATATTGATCACTTACATAATAAACTTTATGCTCACTTAAACCATTTACAATTGATTGCATTGTTCTGTAATGATGGATCTTTTTGAATGACCCTGTATTCTTATGTTATCCAGACTACATTTAAGAGGATTCCATGTGCCAAGATTTCTTTTTTGCAGTGTAAGAGAGAACAGCCAGCAATGGCAAGCTCATAGGTTCAAATCCCAGGACTGATCTAGGTACTCTTGTGCTGCTCCAAGACTGGGCGTAGTTTGGAAGCAATAGTTAAGAAGCAAAATGGCCAATTTCTCTTATAAGCAAACCAATACAGTTTAACTTAACTTATACACTTAGCAGGGCATACTTTCAGCATGTCATTAAGCATCTAATCATATAGATTTTTTCAGATTTCTCAGATCATAAACCTTAATAAAGCATCAAAGATCAAAGCCAGTTATTAGCTTTACCTATAAACTCCCCATGGACGCTCCACAGACGCACAGTGCAGTCCGTGGAAGAGGTGAGCAGAACTTGATCATTCTCAATGATCTGCAAGCTTTAAAGTTAAAGGAGGAAAAATCAGTGAAGTTGTAGCTTCTGAAAAAAACAGAGGGCCTCATTCATCAATACCTTCCCAAGTTTCTTCTTAAATTGTTGTTGAGAAAGATCCTAAGATAAAGCCGGCATCAGATTCATGACGTGTTCTTAAACCACAGAATTGTTCACACCTTTGTGCTCTTGAGTGTGTGTAGATTCTGTTCTTAAAAACTGCGTAAGTGGGCTTTAAGAAGAAATTTCTTAAGGACAGTTGGTGAATGAGGCCCAGAGTGTTTGATTAAAACTGAATACATCTGCCTACCCAGTTATGCTGCTGATATGTGCGCGCCAAAAGTTCACGGCTGGAATAAAAGCAAAGATATCAAGATCAACTCAGAAAGTCACAGCATGGTACTTTACTGAATTCGAGCCAAATATTTCTGAATCAAAAAGAAAGCATTAGACTTACTTTCGGGAGGCTTTTGTTCGAGGGTCAGGGCGCACTGCTCGATGTCATAAACATAGATGTAACCTACATGATCGGCGGCGAACAGCAGGCGCTCGTCCTGAGTGACTGCCAACTTTGTAATCTGCTGCTGGAGTCTAGACTGGAAAAACACCAAATTCCCTTCACTTAAGACCCTTCGCTGGTCTTTCTTCTCATATGAGCCATATGAGAGCATTTATCACACATACCGCTTTGAAAGATGTCAAACATTTCCCCCCATTCAACACGTTCCAGAAATGGACGTGACCTTCAATGGAAAGATGGAAGAGATGTTGAATAACACATTTTCCAGGATCCTGCATTGTGCACCAATCAGGCATAACATTATGACCACCTCCTTGTTTCGAAGCTAATTGTCCATTTTATCAGCTCCACTTACTATATAGGTGCACTTTGTAGTTCTACAGTTACAGACTGTAGTCCATCTGTTTCTCTGCATACTTTGTTAGCCCCCTTTTACCCTGTTCTTCAGTGGTCAGGACCCCCATGGACCCTCACAGAGCAGGTACTATTTGGGTGGACCATTCTCAGCATTGCAGTAACACTGACGTGGTGTGGTGGTGTGTTAGTGTGTGTTGTGCTGGTCTGAGTGGATCAGACACAGCAGTGCTGCTGGAGTTTTTAAACACCTCATTGTCACTGCTGGACTGAGAATAGTCCACCAACCAAAAATATCCAGTCAACAGCGCTGTGGGCAGCGTCCTGTGACCACTGATGAAGGACTAGAATGACCAACACAAACTGTGCAGAAGCAGATGAGCTATCGTCTCTGACTTTACATCTACAAGGTAGGAGTGTCTAATAGAGTGGACAGTGTTTAAAAACTGCTGTGTCTGATCCACTCGTACCAGCACAACACACACTAACACACCACTACCCACGGGCAATTAAAATGTTTGTTTCAGGAATTATAATGAGTTGCTTATAAGTAATAATTGCAAAAAATGTGTCCCTTTGTTTGTACTTACTTCAAAAACATTTCAGTGTTTACCTTGAGGCCCAGAAGAGAGGAGAGAAGCGGCAGAGGAGATTGCAGCATCTAACGCTCGAGTCCTTAAGAAGACCAGACTCAGCACACTTCTGTCCATAACTATCAGAAAAAGAAGCATCAAGAGCAGTTCAGTAAATGACCACAGAGATATTCAGTAAAGAGGTTTTTGTCTTGGTTTAATTTATGTCCTATAAATGATCCCGAAAGAAACTAACAGCCTTTGGTTGTTTGTTTTTTGGTATTACTTTCTTTTATCTTTTCTTTTGAGTTTTAATCCCCTTTTTGGTTTATTATAATTGCTACTTCATTGCTTATGCTCATTTATTTATTTTTCGAAACTAGGCTGTTTTAAATCTTGTTCTCAGGCTTGTTAAATGAATCATTCTGAACAATAATTATATCAAAAACAACACAGACATACGATGAGCATCAGAGTGTGGAGGCAGCGGTGAGAGAAAGCGGCACTGGATGTGTCCTGATACCAGATTCCACACAATGATCTCTCCATCATAGCTGCCGGTGGCCAGCAGATAGGGGGGACACTGGGCAATACAAAGGATGTCCTCTTTGTGTCCTTTCCTCTGTAGATAAGACAGTCCATGAATCAAACAATCCAATCTACACTGAGTTGCTAGCTTATTAGGTGTCCTCACTTGTCGGCCACTTTGTAGGTTTAATGACAATTATATAACGGATAGTTCCAGTCCCAAAATTGGCTGAGCCACATTCGAAGCCATTGTAAAATCCACGATGTACGCACTCATTTGACCACCTCACAACAACTGAATTGTGTATTACTGCACTGCAGCACAAAAACAACCCTTGTGCTGTTAATGGAATTGCTCACATGGACCACCGAGTACATTGATGAGGTAAGAACCTGTTTTTTGTTTAAACTGAGAGGTTGACAACTTATGTTCTTAACTAGAACTAGGCTGGTCAGCTAGCTAACAGGCTAAAAGAGCCAACAGCCCAAACAACTCCATCATTAATATCACTGGCTTGAATTAAAGTACCTACTGTATGATTAACTGTAAAACGGCAGTATAAAAGTGAAAAAATGTAAAAATGTCACATTTCAAATGTTGTTTTCAGTGTTTCGATAAGAAGTAGTGTCAAACCCAGGCTGGTTCCGTACTCCCCAAATAGTGTGGTAGCTATGAAAGTTTAGAAATTCTGCCTCTACAGCCAAATAGTGCATCATTTATTGAGTATGGATGGAGATGTGGAGTCCCAAGCGTCTATGTCTTAGCTATATGTTGCACCGTTGGGCTGCAGGATCCAGTATTAAATTTCCTACGTAGTGCACTATGTAGGGAGCAGGGAGCCATTTTCTGTTGGCTGCTGTTTTATAAAAGCAATAAGCCACTTGAGGCTGTGCGTTACTGCGATTTTATCACAGGGAAGGGAGTTTTAGGCACTTCGCTTCGCATCGTGTCTAAGAACAAAATTCCCATGATAAAATCGCATTTTCAGCACTGCAGTCAGAGTGTTGCTGGAGTTTTCAAACACTGTACACTTGCAGACCACTTTACTAGAAACCCCTTTCTTGTAGCATCACCTTGCTGGTGTACAGTTAGAGACTGTAGCCATTCTGTTGATGCAGTATTGTGTTAGTCATCCTCTACCTGAGGGATTCCCAACATTTTGCAACTCAAGGCCCACACAACTGACCACAAAAGCTTTCATGCCGCCACAAGCACATTTAACCAGTGCAAATGCAACCAATATAACACAACAATCAATAGTAGCCAATTGAATTCCATTTTACGTTATAATCCCATTAAATTAACTTCAAAAAGTGCCATTTGTCCATGCTGGGTGAAATTCTTATAATCAAGAGGAACATTTGGCACTAAAAAACAAACATGTCTTGCTACCTATGCCTGTCATGCATTTTGCTCACTAATCACTGTGTTCCACTCAAATATTTAGGCATTTTGATGTTTTATTATTGCGAATAACTATCACAACAATCATATTTGTCATATTTAATATTATTAGTTGGTTAAACATCTATACATTCTAATAAGGTTTTTCAATTTAAAATAATGAAAATTACTGCCAATGGCCCCCTAGTAGTACCAGCATGTGGCCCTCAGGTTGAAAACCACTTCGTCAAAGGCCAGTTTCTGACTACAGAGCCACTCTCAGATGAACTAAGGCACTGTTGGCACTGGTGAAATGGTTATTCAGATTGATGGAAAATGTATTGTAGATAGTTCCATATACAGAACCAAAAAAGGGTTCTTCTATTGTTACATCAAGCATGTTACAATAGAAGAACCCTTTTTAGTGCTATACAGAACCCTTTTCACATTCTCCATCAATCTGAAGAACAAGTTCATGATGCAAAGAACCCTTTAATCGTGCAAAGGGTTCTTTGAGTGTTCATGGTTCTATACAGAACCATTTTCTTTACTAATGAACCCTTAAAACTTTAAGAGTGCAGTCTGTGAATGTAGACAACTACAAAATGCACTTGTATGGTAGGTGTTCCTGGGAAAATGGCCTATAAGTGTAGATGTTTCTAATGGACTGGCAACTCACTGTATTGCCATACTTCTCAATGAATGGCATGTCAGGAAGGTGACAAGTAGTGTCCATCCAATACATTACCAGATCATCCTGCCATGAGGGTTGTGGCCTCTGAACATGGCGAGTATCCTCTGGGGAGTCCTAAAAGAAAAATGAAACAATAATAAACTGACTATGCAAAGTATTTATCTAGGCTATGAAAAGTTTCAAAGCTCACACACTCGTTTCAAAGTTTCAGATACTTGATTGTAGGAAAAGAAATCTCGTTCGATACAAGCCCCTATCACTCACGCCTGTCTTTATCTTGATGTACTGGGAACCACTGAGAAAGGAAAATGGAATATTTTCTTTTTTTCCTCTTCTAACAGGTCTTCACAGGAGATTGATGATATAAAAAATTAGGTTCCTGGTTACCAGGGCAACATTTAAGACCTTTCATACAATATACATGTCCCCGAGCGGAGGGCGTGGAAGCGGATGAGACTAAAATGAAACACTTATTCAACACTTATTCTCCAATATTATCACACACGCGCTCTGCAAGCATCCGCACTCCCCCTCGGGTTTCTTATTTTGGGGGGGGCGAGTGGCAAAGTCTGCGCAAAGGCCTTGAATAATGCAGCATCATAGAGTGAGAAATGAAGAGAGAGAGAGAGAGAGAGAGAGGGGAGCGCATTCAGAGGTGGGAGAGATGCAGTAAATGAAAAATGGAAATGGGCTGCAGAGCGACAAAGGGGAGTGTCGCGATGGAAAACAGGTCACACCAGTCAGCCATTTTCCGAAAGCCATCTGGGGAATTATGTTGATATGAAATAGGAGGGGGGAAGCAGGGGCTGGCTTGCCTCGTGCCTCCGTACTCACTAAGTAAACGTCAATCCTCCGGTCCCAGCCGACAGAAATTATGAATCTGCCAAAACAAATGAAAGAAATGACTCAGCAGAAAAGGTGAGAGAAATAAATAAGCGAATAAATAAACAATAATACCCCCCCCCACCCAAAAAAGGAAGGAAGCATAGGCTCACGCATTCCTGTGCACTTGCAGATAGGAGCAGTCGCAGATCTCTGCACCCCCATTTTCTGTCGAAAGACGAAAATGAGCAATTCAATATAAGACAACGTAGATTTTTCAGTAAACAATCTGTCCAAGGTCCCATATGTGAGTCTCACAGCTCTCACAATTACAGCCTTAACAAGGACACACAGGGCTTGATGTACTGAGCCTTTTGTGGCAGTTTCAGTTGCAAATAGGATGGATTTTGCCCACGTGTTATATACGTAAGTGATGTGTGGTAAAACACAAAATGCGCTTCTCTTACTCGTGCATGCTTTAGAGGAACGTGCAAAAGAAGGTGGAGATATTACACATGCAGCTGATCACACATTCCTCTCGATTTACTAAAGTTTGAGCAACTTGCAGTGGCTGGTTTTGCATCAGCTTTTTTAAAGCAGGCCTATTCGCATTAGGGTCTCAGAAGACGTACTGAGTGACCTCTTTTAACAATGGCAGCAGATGCAGTGGTTAAATGGAAGCACAAGCCTTAAACATGTGGTAAAAGAGTATTTACCATCAGAATAACACTGGTTAAACTAGGGATGTGCATCCTGATTCAAGTATCCGTAAGAGTTCATGAACGGATACCCAGGTTAACTGTGGACCGTACAACGCTGGATGCTGATGGAGGCTTGTCGTCTTCTACAGGTGTTTTTCTACTTTTCAGAGGATGGTGTGCCAACATGAGAAAAATATTTAAACTGTCTATGGCCCAAACATCAGCATAGCCTATTTGGTGATAAAAGCTGTGCCAAAAAGCAGCTCTCTCAGTCATGTCCTTAACAACACTCCCTTGGCAACGCACCCACGTTAAGGCGCTCATGTTTTGAAGAAGCAGAGTATGACATGCTTTCGTGCTTTACAGTTCTGTTAAAGCATAAAATTGTTGTTTCACTAAATTATTGGTCTTTATATTTTCTCCATTTTTTTTCTCAATTTTATCCATTTTCTTCATTTTCCCAACAAACAGTGCTGCACAATTAGCAATTTCAGTATTCGAATACTGGCACCTTCATCAGTTATCAAGGTGTAGGCTACATGTGCACTATTAGAAAATAAAGGTGCTGTGCAGGTACATTTTTTGTTCAAGATACAAACAGAGTAAATGTTCCCTCAAAGGTACAACAGTGGTTTTAAGGTCCAGTTGTGAACCTTAAATAAGTTTTTCCAGGTGAAAACTACGTATTTGTACCTTTTCATAACCTAAAGTTTTAAAACAGAACAGTAAAATAAAAGCCTGGAGACGAGACGGGGAGTGTGGAGTCATTACAACTTAGAAAATATTATTTCAGTGGATTATGGTACAATTATGTTCCCTGACTAAAGGTACTCCCACCCCAGTGACAAGAGGGGTCCTGCCCCAGGGATGGTTTCATCTCTTTTTTCTGAGAGTGTGAGAAGATTTACCAAATGCTACTCATTCTTAGCTGAAGTGGAATAATAGCTGTAGAAGGATTTGGTGGAAAAAAACGTTATTTATTATCAACGTGATCTCGTAATCAAAGAACTTTCATTTTCTATTTTCCCTCATGCTTTTTGGCAGCTTCATTATTTCACAAACGCTGTGCCTCATGAGCTGGCAGTTAGTCGGCGGGGTTACGCACAGTTGCGTGATGAGTAAACTGAATGTTAAATTCAAACACATTGTGGCTGCGTGTTGAGGCTGTATCAGGGCACATTTTGTGCTGTGCCTGCACTCGAACAAAAGTAAGCGAGTGGAGTGGAGCAGCAGACATTTCCTTGCTCAAAGTGAGGAGATTACTCCTATTTCCCATCCTGCCTCACTCCTCGCTCACATGTCAGAGAAATCTCGCTCCGTGTCTGCTCCACCTGATCCATTCTTATCATGTTTATGTCTCGAATGTATGGACAAGACACATTTTATTTTATTAATTATAGAATTTATTTATTGATTTATTAAATGAAAACCTAGTTCAACATTCTGTGCTACACAGGCGTTTTCAGAAGGTACAGGCTCGAAGTGTCAGCCCAAGCATAAGCTAGAAAACTGCCGAAGGTAAACAAACACATGCTTTTAGCACCATCTTCATCATTCGCGCAGCAAAATGAATGACACGAGATGATCAGCCCTGATGAGTGAATTTCCAGTATGTAGGTTTGTTGAACAGCTCTGCAGCTCAGACACTGTGCATTAAAGGCCATGGCTTGCGAGCTGTAACAGTCACTGCCTCATCACTCATGTGACACAGGGGTAGTCAGTAAGGAAAATGGTCTGTCTGGCTCATGGAAGGATACTGGAGCAATTTCAGAGAGAGAGAATGAGCTCCACTGATGCTCCAACTTTCTGAAAATCCGCTCCAAGCGCCGAGCAAAATCACATCACTCCGCTCCCACTTTGCACCGCTCACATATTCTGGCTCATACATACACCTGACCCGCAGTGTCACTGCTCTCATGAAGCATCAAAGATACCTGACTGCTAATGACACCCCCTTGTGGAGAATATGTAGCCTGTTAAATGTGAGTGAGTGAGTTACAAGTCAGTTCCATGGGGTCATTTGCATCTAAAAAAGGGGTTCTTCAAGCGTTCTTTGGTGAGTATAGAGTATTGGTGAGCTATTTGAAAGCATTTAAATGGTTCTCTGCATGGTTAATTATGGATTTCAAATAATGGAGAACCTGTTATTTACACCCTTTAAAAAGGAGGTCTTCATAAGTTCTTTAGAAAAGCAATTAAAAAAAAATATATATAGAACCATGACTAATCAAAGAACCATTTATGTTATTAAATGGTCCTTTGCAAGCTAAATGGTTCTTTCTATGATAAAGAAACTGTTAAATATGGTTCTTTAAAGACACCACATAGTAACAAACCAGGGTTCCACTATTATCACAAGTCAAAGAACTTTTTACTTTTCCTAGTACTATATAGAACAATTTGCCAAGAGTACTGTGGTCCTTAAAGCAATAGTCCTAAAACTGGTCCTAAGGGACCCCCAGATGGTTCACATTTTTGATGCAACCTTACTCTCAACACATACGGACAGAGAACCACCTAAAAGAACATCTTGAAAAATGGTTCTGTGTAGCATTAAAAAGGCTTCTGCTATTGTTACAAAGTCATAGAACTTTCTTTGGTACTATACAGAACCCTTTTTGCAAGGAATGTACATAACTTACATAATATTTTCAAAGTAGCTACTAAATAATTCATAATATTTGCAGAATCATAATCATAATCATAATCAGAATCAGATTAATAAGCTTGCAGTTACAGGACCAAAGCTGTTTCCGAAAAAAAGACCTTGTGCTTTTTCTCTTAGTTTTATTGCAAATACGAGGCGTCACAGATCTCATCGCCCCCACCTTCTGCAGAGAGACATACAGCCTTTCTATGAGCATTAGATAAACACGCATTGCAGTGCCTGAAGAAACCTCTGAGTAAACTTACTGCACCTCGACTGAGGGTCTTCAGGCAGTGGCCGTTGTTGAAGTTCCAGATCTTGAGGCAGCCATCTCTACCACCTGTGACAAGTCTTTGGATACATACAACAAAAGCAAAAAAGGAAAGAAAGAGATGAAGAAGGATGATGTATTGGCCTGTATGTGTACCATTTTGGCTAAGTCACTTTGAAAAAGAAGCCTTGAAATCCAATCAGACCTTCTTCCTTTCGGGTCAAACGTCATACAGGTTATGGCGGAGAGTCCGTGAGCACCTCCATATTCAAACACTTGATTTCCTGTGTCCACGTCCCAGATTTTAATCACCTAGAAAAAAAGATATTCACTTAAACCTGTTTTTGAGAGAAAGCCTCAGTTAATTAACTATGTAAAACATAATGCAGTAATGATTATATATATATATATATATATAAAAAGTTTCATTCCAAAATACCCGTTGTAACAAATTTATATTTTTCTTATAAATGTGGTTTTAAATGTGATCAGTGATTTTTTAAAATGTGATCTCAGTGATATTAACCATGACATGATTGTTAGTGTCAGATAGGCTGGTTTGAGTAATTCTATAACTGATCTCCTGAGATTTTCACACAAAACAGTCTTTAGAGTTCACTCAGAATGGTGCAATAATGGCCTGGTATAATAATGACTTGTTCAAGACTGTTTGTTGTCCTAAGACCTAATAATTCTTTGATTCATACCAACTTTTCTCCATCCATATTGACACTAATTGTGGCAAATGCTTTTATCCAGAGAGACTTAGAGTTGTATTGATGAAGGTGAATATAGTGTTAGGCCTTTTGCTTAGGGACTCTTTTTGGTGTAGCTGGCATACAGTTGGCAGCAGTGTTAGCCACTATGCTACACTAACCCCTGCATAAAAAAAAAAAAATACATCACTGGGTCATTTAGTGCAGGATATATAAATTACTCACCATGTCCTACATGGTACAGAAATTGACATGCTAAAAACAGGCCATGTGACTTTTGCACTCTTTAGCATGTCAATATCTGTGCTATACTATGAGGGGTTGGTGTGGTGTAGTGGTTAACACTGCTTCTTATTACAAAGCAGACCAGGGTTCAGAGTCCTTCAGCAAGATGCCTAGCACCACATCTGCCAGTCTCTGTAACATGATTTAAACTTTACATCACTCTGAATAAAAGTATCTGCCTAATAGCACGAATGTGAAAGGAGAAGAGTTGGTTTTGACTAGTTGTACTACTTAGGACAACAAACATCCTTTACTTGCTTAAATAATTATTTCTTTCAGTGCTTATAATAGATTGTCAGTCAGTAGAACTACACTGCAAAAAATAGTATCTTGTTAAGTGAAATTATCTTAATTCTAGTCAATATATCTAATATTTCTCAGTTTGAGATGGTTGTGCACTTATTATATCGCTGTTGTCAGAAGAAAACCTCATATCTCCAAAATGATAACCTACACACTTTAATGTAAGTCAATGGAACCAGACTTTTTTCCAGGTCATTTTGGGTCATTTCATCTAGTCCATCATGAAATTTACACACAGTGTAAAGGGCAACAGACATTTTCAAATTATGTCAAAAACTGAAAAATGAAGAGGCAAGGTTTTCTTCCGACAGCAGCGATATGATTATTTAACTTATTTCTAGACATTTCGTACCTGTTTTAAGTCATTTTATTAAGTAAAATTATCTCACTGTACTGGCAGATAATTTAGCTTGTTTCAAGCAAATGTCTTAAAATGAACAAAATGATCAATATAATGAGATAATTTTACTTAATAAAATAACTTAAAACAAGTAAAAAATGTTTGGAAATAACTGAAATAATCTTAAAATAAGCTTACAACAATCTCAACAACAGAAATTGGATATCGCACAAGACCTAAGATTATTTTACTTGACAATACAATATTTTTGCAGTGTAATCATTTACAGAAGTTGAGTTCATTAAAAAGAAGGTTTATTTTGTTGTATGAATAAGACAAAGCCTAAACGTTACTGGTAAAAGTATCCTGTCCTTGGTTGTGAGTATGAAAAGGGCTTAAGAGTCCTTGGGCAAGACTCCTGACGCCTCATTTACCTCTGTAGTATGCTTAAATTGTAAGCCTCTGGGTATGTTTTAGAAATGACTTGAAAAGGATGGTGTCCCCAAACTTTTGACAGGCAGTGAGTCCATGTTTCAATGTAAGCAAACTAAAACTCCTAAATCCAAAATGGTTAATATGACGGTTAGGGATGCGCATGCGAACTCTAATACTCGGTTAACCGGTTCAGTTGTCAGTATCTGAATACTGAAATCACTAAACAGCATTAGGTGCCATTAGGTTTCAGCAGCGGATGAGTATTAATGAAATGCATAGTCACACACCGCTGAGGTCCAGGACTGAGCTTCAAAGAGCCAGCAGCGCTCTCACAGGGCGGACAGCAGCACTTTAAACACCTCCCCAGAGTGCTGCGTGCTTTGTGACAGGCAGCGTTCAAAGCGTCCACTCACCGAGCCTTCGGTGCAGCTCACCACCTGCCGAAACTCCACGCTGTAACCACAGCACAGCACTGCCTCCTTATGGGACATAATGTAGCAGCCCTGTGGCTCTGCTCTGGGACGCAGGGAGGAAACATGCACGGAAATTAATGGAAAATATCACTCGCATTGGCTTCACTCCTACACAGTCCAACCAGTCAGCTTTGCATGAATAAATATTACCCTGAAGGACAATGTTTATATTCTTGAAAGCAGTCCAGAATAGTCACTTTCACTCGTTTATGGTGTAATAAATGCAGAAACACACAGTTTTAATATGAGAAATTTAACAAAGCAGTTTGCACTGAGTTGCTGGTTTATCAGAAACATCTATACTCATTGGCCTTTTTATCAGAACCAGAGTGTAACCCATGTGTTACAGCAAAAATTATCACCCCCTCTTTACCCCACCCATCGATGGAAAGGGACCACCGTAAGGTCACAACTGACCAGCTATTATTTAGGTGGTGGTCTCATTATAGAAGTGACTCTCACATGGTAGTGTGTTTGGTGCTGGTATGAGTTTATCAGACACAGCAGTTTTTACACATGCCAGCATCACTGCTAGGTTGAGAGCGGACCACCACCCAAAAATATCCAGACAACGGCAGCTCTGTGGTCACTGATGATAAAGGGCTGGAGGATGGAAAACGCAAATTGTGCATGAAAAGGATGAGCTATAGCCGGGGTGCCCTGATCTTTTGACTTGTGCAGCCAAAGGTCAATGTTTGTTGTTATCAAAAAAACATTAAAACAAACATGATAAAATGGTACATATTTTTTAGGAATGTATTTTGCAGGGGTGGGTAGTAACTAGTTTTACTAAAGTACATGTACTTAAGTGAAATATTGATGCATTTGTACAGTCCTGAGTATTTTCAAACCACAAACTTTTACTCTTACTTCAGTATTTTAGTAAATAAAGGAATCTTCTTTTACTGAGTTATATTTTTAGCCATTTAGAGCATCTGCACTGCTTTGAGATTGGTTACATTGATTGTATCTCTGACTTTGGAGCTTTAGCAGTTTATTTTAGAACAAAAGAATCCTGAAAACAGAAGAATAAAGTCTAACAAACTTCAATTTCTATGCTGACAGATACTGGATGGTCCAAGAAGTGTCACTGCAAGACTACGTCAAATTCTGAACCTGTCGTTGCTCCTCAGTAAGCTTTTTGTTTGGCAGCTGTGAACAACTAAACAAATTGGAATTAGCCAGAAACTAACAGAACACAATTCAGCAAACAAGACAGGCTGTGAAACGCTTTATAGATGTACTAAAACAAGACGGCATTCAGGTTCAGCTGGCAAATACTGAAAAAGCTGAGCTGAACCTGATATTGCGACAGTTTTATGGCTCTATTCGTAACACAAAGCGTACTACTTATTTGGTGGAATTAATTTTTCTGTGTTAAAACACATTTGGTACAATGTTTAGAACTTGGTCTACAATTTTCTTTATTTTGCAGAACTGTTGTATAAACACTTGAGGTCACGTGTTATCGCGAATAACATCAAGGCTGTGATGATCTACTCTGTTCACCTCCAGTTTGTGCCTGCGGCTGAATCTCAGCTGTGATGTTATTCGCAATAACACACTCTATTGTTTAAATACACAACTGAGAGTATAGAACAGCCTGATGTATCCAGTACATCAATGCTTCAGTCTCATCATTAAGTGGCACCTACTTGGTTTTGAGGGACAGCAGTGCGAGCGAATCAGTGGCAATGTAGAGTCCCTTGACTGCTGAAGAGTACAGGCAGGCAGAGAGGTCACCATGCAGAAGACTGGCCTTTGGGTGAGCAGCAAAAAGGCACGCCTGATCCTGGATGTCCCATATCTAAAGAAGAACACAAAGAAACCACAGACAATCTTAGAGTTTCAGAACATTTTTTATTTTTTCTTTTCCTGGAAAAATTCCAGTTTTCTGCTACGGTTATATTAACCTTCATCAACAATGCAGCTAATCCATCAAAGTGACAACCGAGAGCAAAATCACTGCAGTTTCTCATCTACTGTTGCCAAACCAAAATAAAGATCATTATTCATTATGTTTTGAAAACCTTTCCTCACACTTTATCAGTCTGGTATATTTCTTCATTTGAGAGAGGATGCAGATTAGCATTCCGGAAACAACAAATAAACAACCATAAGTCCTGAATACATAAATGCCACAAGCTTTGAAAAATAGCTTCACTTTGAACATTGGTTATCATTTTTATGGTAAGTTCTGCTACTTTGTAGCCAGGATATGAAGCAAGGTAAGTGTCTTACTGAGGATTTTGAAATGTTTTTTGTTGTAAAAATGCTCTAATTCGGGCTGAACATGCTGTGCATATTGTTTGACCCTACTTGATACTACCAGTGTGTATTATTATGCTTTACACAGCCTTTCTTTTTAGATTTTACTCATATTACCATAATCTGAAGATTAAGTATTTTACTTAATTGGCCATATCAACCAATCAGTGTGTCTTTTCAGCCATGTAATTTCCCTACATTTTTAGGATTTCATGGTTTCTTAAATGTCTTTAATGTAATCCTTGAAGTCTCCTTACTATGCTTTACTATTAAGCAGATCATCGCTGTCATATCAAAACCTCATAACAGGTTCACTGTATTGCCATCTGGCTGTTATATTGTGTGAACATTTCCTGATGAAGAGGAAATGACTTGAACTAAAATCCCATTGCATAGAGTATATTAATCATTATTGATAACAGCCATTAAAATTGTAAAAACGAGTAGAATTGATAGTCTTTTCTTTTTATTTTGTATGCATAAGCACTTTACATACTGATCTACCATCCCAAACTCCAGTCCTGGGCTTACTTCTTTTACATACAGAGCAGTGAGTTGCCCTGTATGCCAGTATATAACAGTATTTTTCACGCTTCGTTATAGTTCAGTGTTTGACTGCTGTGAGGTTTTTTTCGCTTTGACTGGATTTCATGCACTGAAACCTTCGCATCAAGTCCAATGTGGTTTTTATTAAACACTGGAAGATGAAGAGGATACATCGAGTAATAAAGGCAACAAAGTTGTCAAACACATCAGCAGCCATAATCCCTGATGTAGAGGTCTGAGCGGGACTGTTTTTTCAGTCCTGCTCCTGCAAGATTTCATCCTGAATCTAAAAAATCTGAAGCATTTGTCCCGCTCCCGCCCGCAGCCAAAACGTTTTGGCCTGTTCCCACCCACACAATTCCATCAAGGCAAACTGACATCCAATATCTGACACAGTCTATTCACAAACATATTATTCTCTGCTGAAATAACACAGCCGTCATGGCCATCAGACTGACTGTGAGTAACTTTACCAAATGCTGTTCATTCCCAGTAAGCAGGAATTAAAAACCACAGAATGGTTATTTTTGGTGTTTTTTGGGCTCGGCAGCTGCGGCCGTCGGACTGAAGGCTCTGCGTCTGTGTAAAGCTACGAGAATTTGTATGTTGTCCGTGTGATCAGTTGCTTCACGACTCTTTAGAATGACTTCATTTTAACTGTTTTACTGTCTTCATTGTATATTGATTATGTATATATGATTTTGTAATCGCTCAACTTTATTTAGGCTATTCATTAATTTGCAGGATTTCTCTTCATGTGTGCTTCGGCCCACTCCCGCCTACAGTGGGCTGGTTTCCCGCCCACTCTTGTGCGAAAACACTGAAAATTAGCTACATGCCGCAAGATGGGTCCCATGGGTCCCGTGGGAGTGCAGACCTCTATTCTGATGTAAAAGATGACCTTAGTGTTAATGTGTACATTTTAAAACAGTGATATTCCTTTTTTTATGTCTTTTTGTTTTGCCTGTGTAATTTGGATGGAAAAGACCGGTTTTCTCACCCCTCTCTGGCACAAATGGAAACTGTCCTACGTATACCAAATATGACTAACATACCTGTAGTTTTAAATAATTGAAAAAATGATACTACAATCAATAACTCTGTTCTGATTTATCATTTTCTCAAAACAGTTTATTGCCCCAGTCCTATCATTGCATTAACATTCATTAAAGTTCTCCTACCCAGAAGTCAATTTGAAGATCCAAGTTTTTTTTAACAATAGCAATGATATGGGGCAAAAAGTTTGAACACAGCCAAATTACATGTTTTGTAGTTTTTTTTAAGTGATAATAAGTTAACACATCCTCTACAGAGAAAACACTTAAATATGACATTTTTCTGCAAGTTTGTATTTTGAGTTAACCTATTGGAAAAATAAAGTGCCATAACTTCTTTACAGGCCACATTTTATGTTTTATTTTTTTTTCCAATGGTTAAATTGATCAAATAAGCAGTAACTGTGTGTTAAAATGTGCAGAACTTTGTTCTCTGCACTCTCAGAAAAAAGGGGTGGTTCCTTCAAGGGTACATATTAGTACCTTTAGTCAGGGAACATAATTGTATCATAATCCACTGAAATGATATTTTCTAAGTTGTACTGACTCCACACCCTGTCTCGCCTCCAGGCTTTTTATTTTACCGTTCTGTTTTAAAACATTTGGTTATGAAAAGGTACAAATATGTACTTTTTACCTGGAAAAAACTTATTTAAGGTTCACAACTGGACCTTAAAACCTCTGTTGTACCTTTGAGGGAACACTTACATTGTTTGTACCTTGATGAACCAAAAATGTACCTGCACAGAACCTTTATTTCCAACAGTGTGTAGAAGCTGGGGTAACTCACTTTTGAAAATCAACACCACATGTCGTTTAACCAGGGGTGCCCAAACTTCTGCATACGACTATAGCTGTTTACTCACCCTAGCAGTGTTGTCTGTGGAGACTGAGAAAATGCGGCTGTCCTCTGTGGAGATGTGGAGGTAGAAGATGGGAGCTGAGTGACCTTTCAGAATCCCCGTAGGCCTCCTGTCATTAGCAGATCATTAGGAAATTGTTATACAAACACAGACGTACCATGGCTATTTACAGTATCAGAGGATCATCAGATATGCCGCTGCCTCTGATGAGAGTGAGGAAGTCACGCAGACATTTTTATAATATTTTCCTGAACTACACAGAGGCAGAGAGACCCCCCTCTGCTTCGTGACGCTAATGAGCAACGCAGCCTCTGGGAGCTCAGCTTCTGTCATCCAAAAATAATTACTTCCATTCAGGAGGTGTTCTTCGAGGAGACAAGAAGTGCAGAAGAAGGATGTTATTGCAAAAGATAAAGGGACACCCATTGGCCAGATCATGGCAGGAGAAGAATATGAGCCAGGGTTTTATTTTGCTGCAATTGGGAGAAGCTTGAGCTCTAGCTGTAATGAGATTACTGGTACAGTTTTTATATGCAGTCCAGCAGTTACACGCAGTGAAGCTGTCGGCCTCAGAACCTACTGAATGGTCTATAATCACTTTAATGAAAGTCCTAGCAGCAATGGATCATGAAGTACATTTCGGGTCATAAGTAATTGGACAGTGACACCATTTTTGTTGTTTTGGCTCTGAGGTTCTGCAGCTTGGATTTGAAATCATAAAAAAGATTATGGGGCAGATTTACTAACGTTTTGCACAAACGCAAACCTTGTTTTGGCATTAAAAAGTGATTCACTTGGTTCGTTATCTTGTTTACAGATGTTACAGAGGTGTCCCAGCCATGGTTTTATGCACTGCACATGCACAGCTAAGGACACGCCCACCACAAGTTAAAACGATAAAGTTCCCAATCATTCAGGAAACGCTCGGTGAAATTACACACAAATTTTAAATGCACTCAGTGCAAAACTCAAATTTAGCTCAAACCACCTGCCGAAAACAAACGTTTTGAAACAAAGTTAAATTACTTAGTCTAATTTTTTTTATTTATAATGAGAAAATATCTTACTTTCTTAAAGTAATGACATATTATATCGAAATAATCAAAACCTTTTTTTAGTTATTAGTCATTATTTTGACCAACTAATTCACAATCTCAAGAACACAAGTCAACATTTCAACCTAACGACCTAATTTGAACCAGAGTCAGAGGATAAAAACTGTTCAGGCTGCATCCCAAACCACTCACTTCTATACTTTACGTGTTTTTGTACTGAATGCACTTCTGATGGTGGTGCACTATTTTTAATACACTAGTGCTGTAGTATGTGGTTTGGGATGCAGCCTTTTTCTCCTACATGGCAGAAATGAGCTTCCACACAAAAAACATGTGAGTCAAACAGTTTCACAGGTAATATAGTGATTACAAAGTTGCACCTGTGGTCATTTGCAATTGTAAAGTCTTTGTAGATAATCTGATAAAGTGGCCACACCCACCAGCGCAAAATGTCTGCAGACTGTTCCTTTTTTAGTAAATCTGTCTCTAAGAGGTTAAAGTGCAGAATGGCAGCTTTAATTTGAGGGTATTTGCCGCCATATTGGGTTAATCATATAAGACTCATAACCCATGTTATACACAGTCCCTCCATTTTAAGGAACCAAAAGTATTTGGACAACCCCCTAAGGGTCCGAATGTGAGCCACACTTCAATTCTTCACTCTGATTATTTTCAAACATACACATAAGAAGTGCTTCATTACGGAGCCCTGCTGGTGACATCCTGTATAAATAAAAATAATGCGAGGCCATGACTTAGTAAAGGCTTAATTATCTCATTCCCATGCCTTGCTATGTCGTGACCACACATTAGAATCTTATCCCCACGCGTTACTAAGTCATGGCAACGTGTCATTTTAATTTATACGGGATGTCACCAGCAGGGCTGCTTACTTCACAGTAGTTACTGAATAAGTCAAAGTATTATTTAAATTATTATTTAAAAAATCCTGCATAATTTAACCATCCAAATGTAAACAACACCGTTCAGAGTGGTTCGATGCAAAATGATCTGTTCTAGAGAAACTTGTTGAGTCAGAACTGTTCACAATGGAGGTGATAAGAACTAGATGTCTGAAGAGAAATGCCTCTCAAAGCTCCCTCACAGAAAGTTATTACGTTGAAATTGTTAGAAAAATGCTGCCTGATGTTTGAGACACTGTTTTATGATAGTCCTGAAATAAAGCTTTGCTGTAAGATGTGTTTTATTAAATCCATTGATGGCAGAGAGGGGTATGCAGTGTGTTGTAAGGCAAAATAGTACCTAAATAAAAGATACCAAATTCATCACAATTTAACCTAATTTACAAAATTACATATATAAACTCTGAACACACATGTAGGTTCACTAGTTGCTTTGGATAGTAAATAAAAAGGCTATATTTGTATTGTAAACTTGGCGACCCCTGGTTCCTATCACCACCACTGTAAAGAGATCTGTATGATTCTCCTTCTCTGAAGTTTCATATCAAACCACTATGAATGACTTTGTTTACATCTCAACGATGGATTTATGCAGAAATTATGATTATTAATTAAACAATAAGCCTTGGGTTCAAAGAGTTCATATTCATATTCAGTTCTTGGTTTGCCAATGATATCTGCCTACACAAGTCTGTGACCCCTACACATCACTGGACACTGGGTGTCTTCCTTGCTGCTGATTTGATCAGGCTGCTTGTTTTGGTGGCTTTTCGTTCCCAGCCTTGTCTGAAATGCAGCTCAGCAGGGTTCAGGTCAGGTGAATGACTTGGCCAGTCAAAAACATTCCACTTTTTGGACCTGACAGGCTCCATTGTTGCTTTAGTAGTGTGATTCGGGTTGTTGTCCTGCTGCAAGGTGAAGCCTCAAGCCTGAGCACTGAAGAATTCTTGTATCTCAGGAAATATGATTTTTCTGCACACTGAAGAATTTATTCTGCTGCTTCCATTGCCAGACACATCATTGTTTCAGACAAGTGATTCAGTTCCACTGTTCTAACCTGGCCTTTCAGTCCTTCAGGCTTTACCAGCGGTTTGCATCATGCTCCTTTATTCTTCTCTTTATGGTAGTCTTTGACACATCTATGCCAAGATGTTTGAGAAAGAAACTGATTTGTTTTAAAGGGAAGACGTTTTTCTCCATAATTGAAAGTTCTCTTTTGTCATCCACTGCTGCAGAGATGATACTGATCCGGCACCAGGCATTAGTATCAGGCCAATGTTAGCAGAAAATGCTGGATCAGATATTGGAGGGAAAACACACTGGGCCTCATTCTCCAATATCTTCCTATTTTTTTCTTAAATATGTACTTCAGGAAGGTCCCAAGAAAAAGTCTACGTCAGATTCACGACGTGTTCTTAAACTGCAGAACTGTTCACACCTTTGTGCTTTTGAGTGTGTGTAGATTCTGTTCTTACCTAAGAACAAATCCCCAAAAAGAAAACATTAAATGTCAGAATCTTTGTGAAAACTGCAAAAGTGTATTTTAAGTAGAAATTTCTTCTTAAGAATGGCTGGTGAATGAGGCCCATTGTGAGCATGATAGCTGACTTGTAAATGCTGATCTTAAAGCTACACTATGTAAGTTTTGGGGCCCTCTCTGGTGGAAGTGTGTCATTACATGCAACGTACAGAGGAACATTTTGTAGCATGGGTCGCGCTTCGGACCCCTTCCCCGAGAGGATGAATCTGATGATTGCATGATGAAAGAGTATTCAAAGAGAACTCAGTCAAAACTTGGTGAAGGACGTGTCTTTTGAGGACGTGAGTGACTGATCTACTATTGTCATCATATCTTCATCAGTATAATGTTAATTTTGTGGATAGGATCTTAACATGGAGCTGGACCTTCTTTCTGAGCCTGTGTGTGCGACGTTAGTATGTAAAGACATACGATGTGGTCCAAGAAAATCTCCTCCAAAACCCAAAGAGCAGACACACCATATTTTAGCATGTTTTTTCCTCCTGGTTCGTAACGTGACTTCAATTTTAACAAAAAATCTTAGTAGTGCAGCTTTAAGTGAAGTGCTTCAATTGAAAAGATCTCATTTTAAAGCTCAGTAGTTTTTTTTTAAAGAAGAAATATTAGATGTGTATTGTTATAAGTCCCATTTTTAGGAGTCTTATATAAAATACTCAAGGTTTCAATATCAATATGGTAAAAGAAAAAGTGGTATCATGCCATCTCTGGTGGTCTACCAATTTGTTTGCTTTTGCAAACCCTACCTGTGAGTTTTTACTCCTGACTTGATCAATTTAAGCAAGGTAACATATTCTTTTATTCATTTTGGCTACGTTTCTGGTTTATTTTCCAGGCTTGTCTACTGGTATCAACATGTCCTTGCTTCTTATTTTAACTCCAGATACAAGTGCCACATGTAGAATAATTGAGAACAATCTCAAACTTATAATTAGCTCTTATGCAAGAATTCATGATGTAACCTCATACAAAATCACTGTCCAATAACTTTTGGTCCTCTAAAATGAGGGGACTACATATAAAAGTAAAAGGCTGAAACTCCTATTTAGTTCACTCAGTGGAGTGTACAAACCCCCCAATTAAAGCTGACAATCTGCGCTGCATTGTTAATTAAAACAGTTCCAGAGCTCTGAGTCAAAGCAACAAAAGTCGTAACAATGTTACTTACAGATCTCACTGTGTAATCTAAAAGGGAAGTCCACCAAAATTTTCAAAAATTCTATACAATCACGTTTTCAGATTTAAACCAGCAACTATGTTTGGGTCCATGGGGGTCCTGACCACTGAAGAACAGGGTAAAAGGGGGCTAACAAAGTATGCAGAGAAACAGATGGACTAAAGTCTGTGATCGTAGAACTACAAAGTGCACCTATATAGTAAGTGGAGCTGTTAAAATGGACAGTGAGCGTAGAAACAAGGAGGTGGTCATAATGTTATGCCTGATCGGTGTATATATATATATGTATATATATATATATATGTGTGTGTGTGTGTGTGTATGTTTTTTGTTTTGGATAATAAATATGAGATTGTACAGATAATAAATATAATGTTGTAGAGATTGCAACTCCTAGTTCAACTACATTTCTGAATGACTCTGTTTACATGTTTACACCTGAATTATGAGAAAATTTTGGAAAAAAAAAAAACAGTGGAGTTTCTCTTCAACAACAAGAAGCTACTTTTTAGTTGTTATGTGGTTTAAAAAATAGCTCACCCAGGAACATAAGGATTCCACATGCGTATTAGCCTGTCCATCCCTCCAGTGACCAGCAGGTTATGTGTCTTACAGAGGTCAAAAGTCATGACTCCTTTATAAATGGGAAAGACAGTCTGGTCGCAGGCTGCTCTTTGCTGAGGGCTACCGAGGCCAAATGCCACTTTTTTGGGCTTCCCCTCCCGGCAGACCTCCTTAATCTCCCTCATCTGCTGCTCGATGTTGGTGGATGGAAGTATGCAGCCTTGCAAAGAGAGACAATTACGTATTAGAGAAAAAAAGGGGTAACAATTCACTTGAATCCTGCTACATAACACTGACATAATCATGCCATAAACACATCATATTTTATATGCTGTCCTGACAAATAATGTCCAGTAGTATAACAGTGTCATGTTCCCATTACCAGTAATCGTCGATGTTATAAACCATGACATCATGACCGCTAACTAGAGCAGATTTAGCTAAAATGATCATGTGACATAAGCTGTCATAACATCAAACATTCAGCATCTGTCTGTCATGACAGTTACTGAAGTGGTAACCACACATTGTTATATTACTGAACAAAATCTGCCATGACAAGTAAATTGTTACCAAAATATCTTCTTCTCCATGTGATGTAACTAAATGTAAATTCGGTTTTGTAAGCATAATTAAACCCTGACATTGTAACCCCACCCACAACCCACATAGAAAAAGACAGACCCGCACACAAGCGCACACATCCACAGACACATGGGACCAGCTGACAGATGACTCACAGCCCTTTTCCCCTTCCCTTTTTGGTCACTGCGTGCTATTCAGATCAGATTAACTGGAATTTCATTACATTGAGGGCTTTGACAGATCCCTCCACTGGCATTAACTATGCTGAATAAATTGCTGTTTTCCTCTTTAGCCTGCTCCACAGACCTTTCCTCTGAGAGGAGACTGAAGATACGTACTATTTTCAGATTTTAATGAGGAAAAAAAGCGAGATAATGATCATTTTGCCTCTGTTCCCCCATGCAGCGAAGTGCAAGGAGACCTTCCTGTCCTTGATAGATTCTGCCGGCCCACTCGATATGAAAGCTTTTACTAATTGATGGAACAGAACAACAGGAGAGAAGCTAATTTCACACGTTACCGATAACAAGGGCAGAGGCTTCGTGGTTCGATGTGGAGGCAACGGCAGGAATGCTTTTGAAATATTTCACCTGAAATGACAGAATGTTATGAGGGTTTTGTGTAAAAATATTTTTAGCATCCCAGTTTTAAACTGTTTCTAACAAAGTAAATCATGACTTACCATTAATAATACTGGAAAAGGCTTAAATGTTGTACCACATTATAGACAGTACTGTGCAAAAGTCACCGTCCCATTTCATTTCCAGTCAAAACAGCCATTACAAGTTTATTTTTCAGTGATAGGAAGAAGAAAACATATTTAACAAAACATTACACAGAAGACTCAACAACTAAATTTAGTATAATTTTTTAGTATTTATTTATTTTTTTTCAGGAGATATGAGTTCAGTTTTTACACACCTCCAAAGTTCAGTCTTAGAAGTTGGTTACACACCAACACCAGCAGCTTTGAACACCAGCAACTTGTTTTTACTTATTTTCTGTCTATTTCCTTTTCACAGTGAGGCTCCTTGACAGCTACACATCCTTTCAGACTCATAGTGTTGAGTCGTCTTCTCACAGTGGAAGGATGAACAGAAACAGCTGTGGATTTTTTCAGATCTGAAGCAAAGTGGAGCTTGATTTTCTCCTGTCTTTCAACAATGAAAGCTTTAAATGCTTAAACTCGTTTTCTTCCTGTAACAGAACAGAACCAGCCAGACGCGAGTGGTAAAAAAAAAAACAAGAAATGAGGCTTTCTTTAAAAGTACAGAGCCCTGCTGGTGACCCCCCATATAAATAAAAATAACGTGTAAGTTTGGTAAGTATAATTTAGTTTAGTAGTAAGTTTAGCAATTTAGTAAGGCATGGGAATGAGATAATTAAGTCGTGGCCATAACGTAGTAAGGCGTGGGAATGAGATCATGCTTTACTAAGTCGTGGCATTAGGATCTCATTCCCATGCCTTACTAAGTCGTGCCCACGCATTAGGACCTCATTCCCATGACTTACTAAGTCGTGGCCACAGCTTAATTACTTGTTCCCACACCTTACTAGGTCGTGGCCGCGCATTATTTTTTATTTATACAGGATGTCACCAGCAGGTCTCCATAGAAAAGGGCTGGACAATTCTCACAGTGATAAGACAATGGGCAGTGGTCAAATCCAAAAAGGCCAAAATACAGAAAAAGACAAAGGTAACTAACAATTTCAGGCAACCGGATCAAAAAGGGCAAAGACAAAAAGGCAAAAACACAGTCAGGAAACACAACAGCAGATATAACAGACAGAAACACTCAGTGGCTCTGCAGAGAGAAGCAATACCTCACAAAGATCCTGGACTAAAGCCCGGGCGTGTATACTAAGCTAAATCTAGTCATATGACATACATCACAGGTGAAACAGGTTGGTATTCAGGTGAACTGGGACGGTGATTGGTGGATTGTGGAAGTTCATGGGTCATGTGATGTCTCGGGGTTCTGGGAAATGGAGTCTTTATGAATGTCAAAGCTGGGAGGATGTGTGACACTTCCTTTGACTTTTCCCTTCTTTACGAAAGTGGATTATCTTATATGTAATTTCCTATAAAATGTCTCCTGAAAATGAATAACTCGATGACTTTCCAATATCGTAATCGTAAATTGATTAAATAAAGGTTGGTCTCTGGACTTTTGCACAGCACTGTATTTGCCACAAAAAATAGCTAAATAAATAAACAAAATGAAAGGTCTAACCTCTGTTACCCAGTCTTGGTGGACCTTCCATCTAATGTAAGTCATGTTTGGAGACTGGACTGCATGATCGATACCAATGCTGGGCACATTCTCGACCTTTGGTAACTTCTTCCACAATCTAAAGAAAAATGCATCTTACAGAGCTTCTTAAAGGAAACATAAATAAATCATATTTTTCTTCATTGTGTCAAATATAACTCAGATTCTGCTTTGCTTCTGGAAAATATATATATATATATATATGCATAGGTGCTGTTGGTCTTGGCTATCTATCTATCTATCTATCTATCTATATATGTATATATACATCAATATGTGATTAGATTTCTCATTTCACTCCAGACCAAATAATCACGAAATCTGTGACTGTAATGCAAACCATGTAATGCTTTTCTGCTACATGAATCCACATGTGTAGTATTTCTCCGCTGAACCGCGTCAGCGTTTATCTCAAACATTCATTTATTAAAATAAGTATCATGCATGCATGACTTCCTTCAGTAATTTAGTTCTGAAAGGAAGCATGAGGAAAATGAGAATTATTAAAAAGCTTGTTTACCTCAGAGTCTCCCCCACCGATGTCATTAGTATGATGTTCACACAGCCCTAGGATACCAAAAGTCTCATAATTAATCAGATGAATGCCATGAACCGTCATGCTTATCTGCTTGAATCAGTAGCCACTGGGCGCATGGTTACCTGAACATCACCATACACAATAGTGCATTCATCAGGGCCGGTGTAGCTATGAAGAGAGAACAGAAGTCACCAATCTCTCCAGAAGGAAAAGGCTTTCATGAAACTATCGCTGAGATGGACAGTAGCTTCACCAAGAGAGACCATATATATTTCAACAGTTTGATCCTTTAAAATCCTCAAGGCTGCTTTAATAACCTTTTGATCTCAGGTTCTCGGGCAAATTATTCAATGAAGTCCAGGGTTCTGAAAGAGCTCTCACCAGTAGTCTAATTTCAGAGGCACTGTTTCCAGGGAGTTTAGCTGACAGTAAGGCTCCAGCGAGGAGAGCTCGTACAGCTGGATTTCTCTGTCCCTGAGACACAGAAAGTGGGGTGAACATCTCAACATTAACCCTTTAAATGGCCGTTCAAATGTAAATTACACATTCCTTTAACTTGTATATATACTGAAATACTGTAGTTCAGGTATATCATTCAAAACGGCTTCTTCGAGGATTCTTTAATAAAGGCAATTTTTGCACATGGTCATATGCAAAGGTTTTGGCATCCCTGGTCAAATGACGTCTTGTTGATGTTGATTAATACACAATTGCTGAACGTCTCAACATTAACCCTAAATGCCCCTTCAAATGTCCATTACCCATTCCTTTAACTTGTATATAGTCACTGTCCAAAGCAAAACAACTATCCCCAAAATAGTAACTTTACAGGAGAGGGCAAAAACACGCTTACCCTTCAATGTAAGTTAATGTAAAGAGATTTCATTCCAAGTGATTTTAGAGCATTTCTATTGGTCCATTCATCATGAAATTTTCACACAATGTAAAGGACAGCTGGTGCGTTAAAATGATGTAGAAAAATAAAAATCGAGAAAAATGGAGCTAAATAGTTTTCTTTGGACATTGACGATGTATACTGAAATATTGCAGCTCATATGTATATATGAAATATGAAATATGCCATAATTTTGATACAACATTTTTGTACAGTAAACAAAAACAAATAGAAGCACTAAAATTGGCAGAGTTTGTTTCATGTAGAGGATGAGTTCACGTTCTAATTTCCCACTTAAAAATCAACAAAACGTACATTAACTGAGATGTGGGATTAATTTTACATAAGGAAGTGGGGTGATGTAATTTTGCAACAAGAAGTCTGTAATGTTTACGACAAGAAATAAGAAATATTGGTATAAATTACAGAGAGGGGACTCGCTACCCTATTTACACACTGCCATCAAACCAAAATGTTCCATTTGCAATAGAATTTCCTTTATTCTAAACCAATCTTTAGAGGATGACATCAACATTTTCATTAGTTTGGGGATTTACAGTTTACAGTCAATATCGCCACATAAAATCTCTGGTTAAAAACTCTTTTTCGGTCATTTTTCGTGTTTTAATGTCTGTACACTGGGATAGGACAGTACATATCAGCTTGTTTTGGGCCACAGACAATACAAGTGAAAGCTTCTTTGGGGGTCTTCATATTAAAGAAAAAATGCAACTCATTTTCTGCAGGATATGATCATAAGTCTGACTTGACATTAATATAACCTGGTTATATTTCTAAGGCTCATTTTATAGCACAGGAATATAAAATGGGGTTGTTCCTATGGCCAATTTATAGAAGGGGATTAATTTAACCTGTATGTAAAGCCCTTTAGTTACTGAATAGTAATTCTGGGATTTTCTGGGGTTAAATGATGGTTCAATTAAAAATGAGCAGACATGTTTTGTGTTTTAAGTTAAAAGTGGACAAAGATACGTTGCATAACTAAAAAACAGCTTGAAAACTCCAGCTGCACTGCTGTGTCTGATCCACTCAGACCAGCACAACACATACTAACACACCACCACCACGTGAGTGTTACTGCAGTGCTGAGAATGATCCACCACCCAAATAGTACCTGCTCTGTGAGGGTCCATGGGGGTTCTGACCACTGAAGAACAGGGTAAAAGGGGGCAAACAAAGTATGCAGAAAAACAGATGGACTACAGTCTGTAACTGTAGAACTACAAAGTGCACCTATACAGTAAGTGGAGCTGATAAAATGGACAATGAGCGTAGAAACAAGGAGGTGGTCATAATGTTACGCCTGATTGGTGTATAACGCATGAATTAGTTTTTTTTCTGAGGACATTTCACACAGCTATCAATACAGTAAGCTTCACAAAGAGCAGGAAACTCACTAAGCAAGCAAAGGGCATCAATCTCATGACTCTTATTTGACTGTCAAATGAAATCTCTGAAGTGCTGCTACAAAGCAAGCCTATAACACTGTTCTCAACTCTGTTTTTTTGCTGCCTCAGCACTTTTTTGTTGTCATGCAGCAGTAGCACACCTGATAATGATGAAACCTTCAGTAAAATAAATAAAGTCTGAATTTTATATGATACAACAAGAGAGTGTAGCTTAGGCAGTTACTCGAGGACTGGAGTTGAGCAGAACTCAAGAAGTCAACTCACCCCGTTCCAATGATCAGCTTGTTGTATTGAGGCATGATGGTGAAATCAGTGGCCCACTTTGGCGTTCGTCCAATTGGTCTTTCATTCTTGTTAGCATAAAAATAGAATAACATTAAACTACAATGAAATATACATCTAAACAATACCATAGACTGTAAAGCATTCCCTAAAATATTACAATAAACAACAGGCAGCATAAACTGGGTTTAACAACCTGTCATCCACTTGGCCTCGTCATTTCCCCTCAGACGAGTCCATGCACCAAGTAAAAGACTGTTCCACCACTTTGTTACCTCTAATAAAGTTTATTAGATGATCCCTTGGAGGGGTGAGAGATCGAGTGAACCCAAATGTTGACTTTAAAAGCAGAACTTGTCCTGAAATCAGTGCAATCTGATGCATTTTCCTTTTCAAACTCGAAAATAATGGCAGGCAAAACTGTTTATAAGCCACATAAGCGTATAAGCGTAAGCATACTGTTGTGACCCGCTACTGGAACTAGCTCAGAGAGATGTGTCTATGCAGATGGCCGCACGCAGAGACTCATGGTTTGCACTTACCCTCCGTCAAAGGGGCGTATTGTGTTGTTTAGTGTTGGTTGTTGTTAGTTTAAGTTGTGTATATGTGTTTGTTGTATGTGGGGGAGTGCAGGTAATGTGTGGGCATTTGTGTTGGGGGTTGGTCACCATCAGGGTGAAGCCTGTAATGGTGACCTACCCCACGGTTTAAGAGCTCTGTACGTGCCTTTCTGCTGGTGTGTCATTAAAGAGCACTTTCTCGCAGTAGATCATGGCTGCCTCTCTCTGCCGATGTCACAACAATAAATGCTTCACGGCTCAGAACAACAAAAATATAGACAACTGTACAAGTTTATAACCAAACAACGCAAATACTGTACACTTGTATTGTCAATTATGTTCAACCTTCTCAAAAAATGTTTTGCATGGCAAACTTGCATGGCTGGCTGACAATTTATTTTCTTAAAAAATATGCACACGTGGCTGAATCCCAAATGACAGTTGGTATTTTATATATATATATATATATATTTATATATATATTATGTAGCATTTGAAGGAAGAAGTCAATATTTCAAATTCTATCCAGTAGGGAGCCATTTGAAATGTAGCCCCGTGGAGGAAAATGGCTAAACAAGACTGGAAATTATATAAAGAAGCTAATGCTAATGCTCCTAAATTACCATTGTTGCCGGGATGGTTTCAGTCGTGCCTAAGTCAGTCGGCCTCTTGTGGCTTAATGCTTTATCTTAACCTTATTTACAAGTATCTGTGTCACCGAGAGTGTTAGAAATAAAGGTTCTGTGCAGATACCTTTTTTGGTTCAGTAAGGTGCAAACAATGTAAATATACCTTCAAAGGTAAAACAGTGGTTTAAACATCCAATTGTGTGCCTTAAATAAGTTAGTCCCCAGTGGAAAAGTACATATTTGTACCGTTTCATAATCTAATGTTTTAAAACAGAACAATAAAATAAAAAGCCTGGAGACGAGACGGGGTGTGTGGAGATAATGCAACTTAGAAAATATCTTTTCAATGGATTATGGTACAGTTATGTTCCCTGACTAAAGGTACTGAGATGTACCCTTGAGGGTACCACCCCAGTGACAGGAGGAGTGCTGCCCTTTTTTCTCTGAGAGTGCAGAGTGCACCATTTCACAGCAATCTGCTGTATTCCTGAAATACAGCATTTCTGCTGTAAATGTACAGCAATTCTTTGCAGTGTATATTACAAAATACTTTCTTTCTCGTCCTGGGTGCAGTCTTAAAAATAAAGGTTCCTAAGTGATTCTTGTCTTGGATCTGTGGCTCTAGAAACAGCCTTTAATTGGTATCGAACCTTTGAGCTTGTTAAAATGTTCACAAATCTCATTTACAAAAGTGGTTTTTTAAAGAAACTTTCAACTGAAAGGTTCTTTGTGAAAGTGCTTCTTCTATGGCAGGGGTGTCAAACTCAACCAGTAAAAGGGCCATATTAAAAATCTCAACAAATCTGCGGGCCAGATTTTCAATTAATGTTGTGCTTTAAACCAAACTGGCCATTGTTAATTCAAAATATGCAAAAACTTAAGCAGTAAGATACAGACACTGGTTGTAGACGTGGACATATTACATGGGCATTTGAAATATTCAAAATTTCAATGTCCCCAGAAGTTCGGTCTATTAAACCTACCTATTTGCTTGAACGAGACACTTGGCATCCTTACTTTGCTGCAAGTTCATCAAGACTTGGGCTCAATTTCTGAGCTGCTAAGCTGATGTTAGGTGTTTATATTGGTTGAAGTGCAGCCAAAATGCATTTGGTGATATGACTGGTTTGGAATTGCATATAATTGTGTAGAACTGAGGTGTAACCACTGTCTCATAGATTGTTGTTGGGGTAGGAGAGTCAGAGAGCACATTACGTTGCAGTGCATGCTGGGGACTGTAGTGCAGCGTATTGAGAAATGGGCTAATATTAACAAAAAAAATGAAAATACTTTTGTAGGCCGGATAGGATCGTGTCGCGGGCCTTGTGTTTGACACATGGGTTCTATGGCATCGCACTACAGAATCCTTTCTGGTTCTGTTTGGATCCCTTATTGTCAAGAGTCTATTTACTGGAGAGTGTTACTCACAAATACACTTTTGCTCTTCCTCAGTTGAAGTTTGGAGCTCCAGTAGTTCACTGTCCCATCTTCTCTAACGGTCACTATCGTCCCATCAGGAGTGGGGTGGATGCGTAGAATGGGTTCTCCGTGACTCAGCGGCTTTATACTAGCCGGCAGCGCAAAGGCCGCCTGCTTGCTGCGGATCACTGACTCCTCCTTTTCAGTGTACTCCAGCTGCATATATGTGCAGAACTCATCCTACATGTGCACACAGTAAATATACCAGTGTTAAATAAACTCCTGCAGAGTTACAGTCAACTCAACATTTGCTCTGTATGTGCAAATTCAATTGAGTGGTTTTACTCTATAGAGACAAGATGCAAACACCAGCATCACTCATGCCTAAGAAGAGTTCAGAGTGGTTTATTCAGCACAGCTGGTTTCAGTATTGCTAATTGTGCTTTTTTTCTTTATTTGTCCCAATAAATTATGCAAATCTTAGACAATCCTTTTATAACAGCCAGTAAAGCTTTTAATTAAAGAAAATTTGTGTGTCGTTCTAATAGCCCTCTAATGAGATTTTCACCAAAAATTGGTGCAAGTCCTGAAAAGAACACAAAAATTTCTCATGAACAAACAAAAGTTTCAAGATTTTGATCAGCAGTCACTAGAGTGAGATTTTCTGATATAAAGTCTGGGAAAATCCCCTATGAACCCCTTTAAGATGAAGCATCTTGATGGAACTTATGAAAAACTCTTGATGGGGTGGATTTTTGGGGTGTGGGGCTGTTTAAAATGTTTTTAGTTTTTTTTTCCCCTTGCTGGTGAATGTTATGAAGGCAGATAGGAAGCCAGATATATTATTGCAGTTGTAATAACGGCAGTAACTCTCTTTAAATTATAATTACAATGGAGAATATGGATTGACAGAAATGACTTTTCCATTGGAAAGGAAAATCTAAAAAGGGCTCTCCTTAAAGGGGAATTACACAAATTTGCTAATCTAAGGTACAGATAAAGTCATTCAGAGTGGTTTGATGTGAAATTCATCATTCCAGAGAAACTTGCCGAGTCAAAATTGTTCACAGTGGTGGTGATAGGACAGACATCAGTGGAGAGGTACATTCATGGCATTGCATGGGAAAATAGTGGGAAAATTTCATATATATATAAAATCTCCTGCTGCTTAGCTACTTTTCCTGAGCCAAACAGGAGTTTGATGAATAAAGACTGAACTGTTATTTTCTTTGCAGTTGTGTTCAACGATTGAGCGTAACATCCTGTCTTGCTGTGCCTTTGTCTTTGTCTGTTTCTCATCTCTTGTTTATCTTCCCTCATGTCTTTGGCCACATGCTTCTGTTTGGTTTGGTACACTTGCTCAACCCTTGCTCTGCCCCTTTGCCTTGCCCCTCACCTGTTTTAAGCCTGTAGCCCTGCCCTCTTATTAGCCCCAGGTGTTTCTCATTTGTTCTCTGTGTAATTTATACCCCTTGTTTGTGACCTGCTCCTCGTTTGGTGTTGTTTGTTATTTGTTATCGAGTGCTTTCAGATTCCTGCTGTGCATATTTATTCCTAGTGCTTTGTTATCATTTCACTTGCATCACGGACACCAATCAAACTTCCAGCTCACACTTGCATCTTGCTTCCTCGTCTCCTTCGTCTCCCACCCCGTTACAATGGCTGTGTTTACATGCAAAGATTTTTTCCAATCCAATAGAATACATTCCCGTTATAGATTAAAGACAGAGGTGTTTATATGCTCACTCTACTCAACAATCTGACAGATGATTAAACACATGCATACAGTACCACTTAGTGTAGACGTTACCATGACAACGAGCATCATGAGTCCAGTCAGAGTGAGATGAGCAGCAGTGAGCAGTGCTTGTGTTTTTTAATTGCTTTAAAATGATGTCAGACTCAGGAAAATGTACTTGTACTTATTTAAGAAGGCCGAGAGGAAGACGTCGTGTTCTGAGACACATAAACCTGATGTCCGTCCCACCGCCGTCTTTTAAAGCTCAAAGCATAAACTTCATCTCCTCTGCAGACCAGTTTCTGCTTCTGCCATGTTGAACATTATAAACTTTCGCTATGACGTGACGCACATGATCAAAACATACTTAAACTTTCCGATTGGGAATGTAATCAGATACGGGCGTTTACATGGTTATTTTTCTTCTATTTAATATATTAGTTTCAGGATTAACGGCACGGTGGCGCAGTGGGTAGCGCTGTCGCCTCACAGCAAGAATGGCCTGGGTTCGATTCCCAGCCGGGTGACCAGGGTCATTTCTATGTGGAGTTTGTGTGTTCTCCCCGTGTCTGCGTGGGTTTCCTCCGGGTACTCCGGTTTCCTCCCACAGTCCAAAAACATGCAGTCAGGCCAATTGGACATGCTAAAATTGCCCTTAGGTGTGAGTGAATGTGTATGTCTGTCTGTCTGCCCTGCGACGGACTGGCGACCTGTCCAGGGTGTATCCTGCCTTCCGCCCAGTGACAGCTGGGATAGGCTCCAGCGACCCAGAAGGATAAGCGGTTTAGATGATGTATGTATGTATGTATTTTCAGGATTAACCACCTCGTTCAATCACATAGAAATTGTATTCCGAATGGCCTCAATCGGACTAGCCTATTCCGACTGAGGTGTATACATGGACGTATTCTATTCTGATTGAGCTATTAGTCGGATTATTAACAGATCATCAGGCTGTATTTAAATGTTGAGGTAAGAGTTACACTAATACTGGCTTGCTTGTATTTATAAGCCTGTAGCTCAGTGGCTAGGCTAGCAGGCAGGATTGGGGGACACCACAGGGATTCTTAATAGTTGTATGATGTATTTGAACAATGCATGCAGGGTACTGAAGTAAGAGAACACTGATAAACAATATAATATCATGAATTCTGTTAAACCAGTAAGGCTGAGGGATATATCACTGCTGTACAGAATCCTGCTAGTATTACTCGTTTTTCCCACTTTATCGGTTAAAGGTTTTTCATTTTCTGAAATTGGACCAAAAGCCTTCTGAGTTTCATTTCTGTGCCAGCATGAGGGGTTTGTGGCTGATTGGAGACTTTCACACCAGGAAGGTTTTGGCTCTTATCGTGTCTATTTAGCTGTCAGGGTGCTCGAGACTTGTTCATTATGAGAGAGCGTGTGGAATAGGCAACAGTGCATTAGCCAAAATGGTCAATTTCTTGATTGAGCGAGGTGGAGTTTTGACTTATAATGTCTGTATTATTCATACCCATTCAACGCTGCCTTGTCCAGAGTAATCGATCTTCATGAAGAGCTCGTGAATTTGAGCATCACTCTGTGACATTTAGAGAGATGTCAGAGGGAAACAGAGAGTGAAAGAGCAGACACAGCGCAAGGGTCATTATCATACGGCAAACAGTCGAGGTCTGGCACCTCTTCTAATTCATCTGCATACACAAACGATACGCTCTAATTAAGCACACTCAGACCATTAAGGACGAAACGTCTGAAATGTAATTATCTTTTCGAGCAATGGACTGATTGCATTATGACTTACAATGTCACGCAAACCCAAACACTTCCTGATGATGAGCCTGAACTGAGGGAGGCCGAGAGATCTGGTGCCAGCCTTTTCAAAATCCTGCCCAAGAAAGACATTTGCAGAAGACAGCTCTATTATAATGCTAAAATATTAAGCACAGTGTGGTGATATTTCGACTGCTCACCTCAAAGGCCTGTTTCAGCTTTTTGAGATGTTCAAGGGACACCCTCTGCTCAATCTGTGGCGAGGAAAGAAATTTTATATTGCACAGATGATGTGAAACAATCAAATAAGCCCCTCACAAACTTACTACACTGAAAGGTAATTACATTTGATTGTTGGTTGAGCTTAAATGGAATTCATCTGGATTTATCTGGATTTCCACATGAATAAAATATACAGATGGGTGACAAATTAAAGGAAAAACCTGAATAAATGAGTGGAGAAATACAAGTGCAAACACAAGGCTGCAGTGCTTAATGCAGCATTGCAAATTTGAGACTTCAGTAGTGTAAAAATTATCAGCACTGGTCTACAGAAAATGCTCAACCTCTATAGTAGGGGGTCTGGTGGCTCTGTTATACTTGGGGCATTTTACTGACGGTTTGTGTTCACTTATCCGCTCAGAGGGAAGAGTCACGTAAATACATGCAAAGTTATTCTGACCGATCACCTTTAGGATGACAATGTCCACCTACCGAGGGGTCACTGAATGGTTTGATGAGAATGAAAATGATGTAAATCATATTCTACGGCCTCCACGGTGACCGTGGGAGATTTTGGACTGATGTGTTACCGTTGCTCACAGGCATCATCAAAACAATAAGTCATTTCAATTTCTTTAGATAAAAGGTGTTCTGTCCCTCTAGTAAAGTTCTGGAGACTAATAAATGCCAAGCTGTTTTGCTAGCTTAGGGTGTCCTAACATCCAGAGCCAGCTCTACATATGAAGCGACATAAGTGGCTGCTTAGGGCCCCGTGGCCTTCAGGGGGGCCCCTAAGAAATTCTGGGTTAATACTGTCTACGATGCTTGAGTTAGGGGAAAAAGTGATGGTTTAATCATGTCTCAGAAAAGAATGGGCCTCATTCACCAACCGTTCTGAAGAAGAAATTTCTTCTTAAAACCCATTTATACAGTTTTTACAAAGATTCTGACAATCACCAAGGTTTTCTTATTTGGGATTTGCTCTTAGGTAAGAACAGAATCTACACACACTTAAGAGCACAAAGCCGTGAAGAATTCTGTGGTTTAAGAACACGTCATGAATCTGATGTAGACTTTTTCCTAGAACCTTTCTCAAGAACATATTTAAGAAAAAACTTGGGTAGATATTGGTGAATGAGGCCCAGTGTGTGCATTTGGAGCCTAAACAAATAGTTGATCTGGACAGATAATGCGGGGACAGTCATCTGTATAACAGTTTCAGGATCCACTATCTCAGCATTCTCTATCAGGAGTGGGCTTTACACACACACAAGAAATATTAACTCTATATTATGATTAATGACACCTTTATTAGAGAAATAAATGTTTTCCATTATACGTCTGTTTTCAAAACCGCATTATATTTGGAATTGTTATAAATGGACATACAGTGTTTCAGAATGAAACTCCTCATTCTGTATTATTATGGTATTACTTGGTCTAATTTACCTGTTTTGGTTTATTTGGTTTGTTATATATTTTATATATAAATAATTTGGAATTTATATTGGAAATTTGTTTTGTTATTCTTATTATTGAAGTTTGTGACATTAAGTTGATTTGAAAAAATTCTCCCAAAATGTTTACTTTTAAGTTTGTAATGCACATGCTCACCCCCTAAGAAAACTTGCTTAGGGCCCCCAATATGGTTGGCCCTGCCAACACCTTACTAGGACACAATGTAGGTTTTTCCTCTATTTTTTTTTACCCGTCTGTATTACATCAACACTATGTTGTCTTTCTGTTTATTCACTTTGAGAAAATGTTTGGGTGGCCCTGGTCAAATTACGTTTTGTCGATTTTCTAGGTAAAAATAAGTGAACGCATCCTCTGAATAGAACACATTTCTGCACATTTTAATGCACAATTACTGTTTATTTGTTGAATTTAACAACATGGGGGCATATAATATGGCCTAAGCAAAAGCTATGGCACATTTTTCCCTTTACTTTTTATCCAATATAAACTCAGTAAATAGGTCTGATCCATGTAAATGATGAGTTAACTTATTTTTACTTGTTGAAAAACAACAAAACATGCAATTTGACCAGGGCTGTTCAAAGTTTTGCATAGGACTATAATATTTTATTTTTGTGGAAGTGATGTATATTCAGTGCATCGCATTTTTCAGTGTCCAGCTAAATAAACTATCACATAATGAGTTCAAAATAAACACCATAAGAGTTTATTCACAGATGCAGATCTGACAGATCCAGTTCTAAGAGGACAGCAGTTCATGCAGCAGCACACACAACATGCACTAAGTCACATCTTTGATCTCCACCAATTATCTTCTCCCTGCCTCTGTTCACACTTAATGAGCTTAGATTTATTTCGGGTTATTTCCAGCCAAAGGTGAGTGGGAGTAGAGCACTGCAAAAAGAAATAAAACATACTCCAAATTGGCACGCCAAACATAGATCTTCACTTACCAGCCAATTAATAAATTCTGAGCGCTACCGAGCAAGACAGGAGGGGGGGGGCGGAAACGAACAAGCATGAGAGAGGCTGAGTTGGTTTAAATGAGAGCACATCAAGGAGACCACTGTGCGTGTAAATTGGATGTGATGTGAAGGCAGCTGGTCCAGGTAGGAACATCCTGCTAGCACGGATACAAAAGAAGCAAGGCAGGCTGCTGAGACGAGTTCCTTATGTTAATGGGGCTTCTTCAATTTGACTTGGTTTCTTAGCAACGTGCCATTCAATTTTACCTGCGAGAAGCAATCGGGTAGCAAAGAAAGGACTGCAGTGGTGGATCTGGGGTTTTAGATTTGTCTGTCAATACATTTTAGAAGTGAACTGCGGCGCTCTGAGCTGCAGATCGGTGAACGCGTATTCTGGAGCTGGGGGTTCGATTTCTGCCCACTGCTTCAGTGACATGTTGGTAAAATCACAGAACGCCCTACTTTACCAAGCCGCGCCATTCTACATCAAATTGTCAATTAAGAAGGGAGCGAGAAAAAGATTTACGGTAAGCTTTCTGTCATTTATAACCAAGTGACAGTACGACAGTGCAAGTGACACACTGTCAAATGACTAGTAGGATGCATGTCTTTTGCCTGTCATTCTTCTTGATCCTTGCACTCATCCAGGCAGCAGTACACTTTCATCACATTAGAGCATGCTGCTTTCTTGGCACGCACTCCGTATCATCCTGCCAGTCACCGTTCTATAAGACTTTACAGCTACAATTTGTAGTATTTTGGTTACTGCAGCTTGCATTCGTACAATTTTACAACTCGGAGGAAGATGATCATGCTTAATCCATCCATCCTGCTTTGATGAATAAACGGTGCATACAGCCTCGGCCCTTGAGGATGATAAATGCCCCCAACCTTATCCTCTGGATCAAGAGGCTAATAGCTTCATCAGTCAGTGTCGGGCAGGAATTGAGAGATTACAAGCAAGAAATGAAGTGCATGAGACTGAGGTCAAATCTCACAATGAGCAACATGTTTAGCACACAGAGTTAGAGACTGATGAAAACTGTAATTCTCACATTAATGCTCAGTTGCTCTGAGACTTATAAATAACTCAAAGCTTCATGTACAGCATGTGGGTTTATATCGACTTATATACTTTGAATGGCCTTAATTATACTGTCCAAATAAATGTTGAAAGCTGACATGAAAGGCTTTGCACTGACATGAGCCACACTTCACTTCTACACTCTTAAACAAAGGTTTTTAAAGCGTTCTTGGCTTTGGCATATAGTGTCAGGTAAAACCTGTAAATGGTAAAGGTAAGTGGTATCATTTGGCTTTTACCTGTATTGAAGGGCCCCCCGAAACCTGCCTGTTGACAAGTGCTACAGTATGTGAAATGCTAATAAAGATAGGAAGCAGTAAGTATTAAAGTATCAAATTGGAAAATGGTATAAAAACATGCTTTTTTCTTTAATAAAATTTATTTTTAATAACAATGGTTTGGGAACTGAAAACACCTACTGATCGAGTTTTGAAAGCAGTTTTTTTTTCTAATCTGAGACAGGTCTGGACTGCAGGGAGGTCAGTCTAGCACTCTGATTAGGCAACCATGCTGTTGTAGCACTTGCAGAATGTGGCTTGGCATGGTCATGTTGAAATAAACACAGACATCCCTGAAAAAATGTTGTCTATAAGGCAGTATATGTGGCTCCAAAATATGCCCCCAAACCATGACACATCCTGGCTTTTGAACTTTACACTGGTAACAATCTGGATGGTCCTTTTGTTCTTTGGCCCAGAGAATATCATATCCATTATTTCTATAAACATTCTCAATGTTGGACTTTTCAAACCACAGCATATTTTCACTGAGCATCAGTCCATTTCAGATGAGCCGAGAAGAAGTCGGGGGCATTTCTGGACATTGTGGACATACAGCTTCTGCTGTGCAAAGAACATACTGGTGTATATGTGTATTTAGAGTCTAATGTGTATATATTTAAAAAAATATTTTTTATATTTTGTATTTAAGTACTACAAGGGGGCTATGCACCTAAGATTTTCACTCACCTTCACACCTGTATTAATGTGATGTGACAATAAACATGATTTGATTTGATTTGAACAGTCTTAAATTTGTGGGTGCAGTGAGGAATGGTGTTTATTGACCGGTTTGTCAAAGTATTCTCGAACCCATGTTGGGATATCCACCACAGAGACATGCCGGTTTTTAAGATATTATTGTCCTAGGGATCAAAGGTCAGATGTTTTTAGCCTTGACCTTTACATGCACAGATTTCTCAGGATTCAGTGTTTCACATACTGTCCCAAGTTTCTTGGATTTGAGGTTTGTAAAGTAAATTACTTGAGAAAAGATAGGCCATTAAACATACATGCTGATAAGTCTTCTTGCCTGCCATTGGCAAGATGGCTTGACTTTTTTGTTTGTTTGTTTGTTTTTCTTCTTTCTTTTTCAGGTTTGTCTTATTCGCTGAGAAGCAGACAGTCATAGCCGGAACATGTCATCAACAATTAATGCAGACACCTCACAATACACTTTGTAAGTAGCCTTTATCACTGCTGGCATTACGCTAATTTCTGTTAGCACCCAGATGGGATTCCCTATGCCATGTTAGCACCAAACTAATTTATTCAAAAATACTTAAGATTGGGTGTCACTGGGAAATAATTAAGCAATAGAACATGGGAGAATAATATATGTTTGCAAAAATATGTTTGATGTACTTATAATTACTATGTTTTATTTACTTATTTATTTGACAAGCGTTCATTTCCTACCTCTACAGCCCCCCACTTTGTACATTTTCACATATGGATTGTAAACAAAACATTCCCCTATGACAATTTACACTTTTATCTTATGTGATTTTCAATCACCATCCATTGAAAGGTTCTTTAGAGAACCAAAAGAGGTTCTTCTAAGGCACCACTGCAAAGAATCCTTTTTTTACACATTTAAGAGTGTAAATATTTAACACAAGGTCACAATGTTCCTGTAATTCAGGAAATCCAGGAACATATAAAGCTCTAAATGAAATCAATGCCAATTAATGACCCTGTCATAATATTAGAATGAAAAATGATGAAAAGAGCAGGGTAAGATCATTCATTAATTCTTCATTACCCTGGCAAATGTGCGCTCCTCAGACGCTATGTAATACCATAATACTATAATACCATAATGCGTCCCATTTGTCAGCTAATTACAAATCCAAGTTACATAAAACATGCAGGGAAACCAGCTGGAACCAGTGCCTTGTCTGCTGCACTGACCTGCTACAAAATGCATGCACAAGCATTACACATGCATAAAAATGAATAAATAAAAACAAATTAATTTTAAATGAATTTCTTAAAGAATATTGCAACACCGACCTACTCTCAGACCGTGTGCCGCAACACATTACGGGGGAATAGGTTCTGGGAAGCGTTGTTGATTACGCACTTAAAAGATTCCAGATAAGGAGACGAATTTGAATGTCCGCGGCAGACGCACGGCAAAACTTTCAAACCCATTTCAGTGCGCAGTCAGGTGGCAAATTGCCTCTAGTATAAACAGAATTGCTTTAATCAAAGAAGGGCCACTGTACCTGATGTGGTACAAGCTCAAGCACTCTGCTAAATAAATAATGCAAATGTATCGTGTCAATTGTTCCAATCAGTGGTCATGACAGATTACTCCTCCTTGGCTGCCAGTCCTGAGGCCCGTCAGGCTAATGAATTAATGGATTCCACACTTGATTCAAAATGTCATTTCTGGCAACCCCCCCGGCTTGTCCTCCAGAGGCTTCTGGGTGGAACTGGAGCTTTAATAAAGGCAGTTTTTCAAGAATGGCTGTATGAGTGCTCTTTTGACCCAGGGAGAATATACCTAGCGCTCCAGTGACACCTTGAGGTTAGAACCATTCAAAGGCATGCTAAGATACATTGTCCTCAGACCAGGATTTGGAGATCGGCAGAGGTCTTTGAAGACATGATTTGTCTCTTTATTATTTAAATACTTACAATAAAGTTCATTGTTTGTATAGTGAAAGAGCAATACTTTTTTTATTAACTTTTTTTAACTATTAATTACTCATTTTTCTGTTCATTTCTATTATCCATTCATTTCTTTTATGAAAAATCACTCCAAAAAATTGAACAGGTCTACACAATGACTGCAATGTGTTCACTAGAAATATGTGTAAGTTAGAAAAAGTGTTAGTAAAAGAGTTTGTCTCATGGAACAACATCAGCTATGGAGCTGTTGGTGCCAATAACATACAAACCTTTGTTCCAAAAAGGTTTGAACAGTGTGTAAAATGCAAATAAAAACAGATAGCAGTCATTTGTAAATCCATTATAACCTGTATTTAAATGAAAACAATACAAGGACAAGATATTTACTGTTGACCTTATCACCATTATTTTTTTACACATCCATATTTTTACACATACATATATACATGTATATGTTGGGGTAATTTAAGACTAGAAACATTATAAAATGCTTAAAAATGTGATGGCATCATGCTCAGGTATAGAAGGAGCATCCATGAAAGGCCTCATCCTTAATAAGCAAGGATGAGTCGAGGCTCGCCATGTTGCCAAACATGCATCAGCAAAAATCCAACAGTTCAAGATCAACATCCCTCGACAAGTGATTGCAAGGATTTTAGGTATTTCACTCTATACAGTGCATAATATCATCAAATGATTCAGAAAATCTGAAGAAACCTCTGTGCGTAAAGGTTAACGCCAAAAACAACAACTGAAGGCTCGTGACCTTTGACCGCTCAGATGGCAGTATATTAAAAACCAGCACAATTCTGTGACGAATGTCACCTCATGGGCTTGAGAATAAACACTGTTTATTATTGCACCCACAAATGTAAGTTACGACTCTTCTGTGTACAGTGGAAGCCACATCTTAACCATGTTCAGAAACGCTGTCGTCTTCTCTGGGCTCACGCTCTTCTGAAACTGATTGAAAAATGTGTGTGGGTCAGATGGAAATAACAGACATTGTGTTCTCCATCCCAAAGAAGAAAAATAACTGGCTTGTTACCAATGTAAAGTTCAAACGCCAGAGTCTGTCATAGTATATGGGTATATGTAACTCATGGCATGGGTAACTTGCACATCTGTGAAGCACCATTAACGCTCAAAGATATAAAAACTTTAAGGCAACTATCCCCTGTAGATGATGACTTTTTCAGGGTTGTCCATGCCTATTTCAACATGGCAGTGCCAAGTCACATTCTGCCTGTTTTGTAACAGCATGGTTGCACAATCAGAAGGTCCAGGTGCTAGACTGGCCTGTCTGCAGTCCAGAACTGTCCTCCATTGAAAATCATTATAAAGCGCAAAGCACAACAACGAAGGCCCCGTATGGTTGCACAGCTGAAGACTTGTATAACAGACGAATGCTGAACAATTCTGCTTTCAAAACTGGATGAATTTGTGTCTTCAGTCCCCAAAGATTATGAAGTGCTGTTAAAAGAAAAGGTGATGTAACACAGTGGTAAACGTGCTCCCGTCCTAATTTTTAATGTGTTACCGGTATCAAATTTGAAATGGGGAAAAAAGGTTCATAAGCTAAAATATCAAGTACCATGTTTTTGTAGTTTTTACTTTAATACGGGTCAAACAGAATCCACAAATTACTGCTTTCTGATTTTATTAGCATTTCACATACTGCGTCAACTTCTGAGGAATTAAGGTTTTCACTATATATAGATATCTATCTTTCTATCTATCTATCTATATATATATATATATATATATATATATATATATATATATATATATATATATATATATATATATAGATTGATAGATAGATAGTTAAATATATACAACTAACTTCACCCAAAAATTCTAACATGCTTCACTGCGTACACAGATAGCTCAAAAACACCAAGGACATGTGGAACAGGCAAATCTGCTTCACTCTATTCACAACTGTTTCTACACAACCTGAGGTATTTTTCAATCAACACTTAACAGATGCTGACGAACACAAGCATGATGAAGATAGCTCTGCTTGGCTGAAAAACAGAAGGTGCTATAAAACCAACTTTACCTTCAGCTTAGACAGTGAGGAGGTGGGGTATCTGATGTTGTACTGTTGGGTGGTCAGTTTTGTGTCTCCGAGAGCAAAAGAGTGTCGTCTGTACTTTTGCCTCAGGAGTTCTGTCTCCAGCCAGTCCGGGTTTGGGCTTTTCTCTGTATGATCATCGCCCAGCTCAGATCCTCCAGTATAGGGGACCTCACAACTCAGACGCCTCTGTCCAGTCTGCCTCAGCAGGCTGTGTCCAGTGGCTCCACGCACCGGCTCAGTCTCAGTCAGAATACTGCAAAGGAGGAAGCGGTGTTACTACAGCAGCTTTGTGTAGATTCTAGCTAAAGTCTTTCAAATTCTGTATATTTTATAGCTCCTAATATATGCATGATTTGCAGAGTTCTGTTGATGCTATGACTCTGCATTATTTGAGAATTTATCACTCTTAAAGATAAAATGTGCCCTAAAGGGTTCTTTACACAGTGCCTTAGAACAGGGACACCAAAATGCAGTGTTTGTGGTGGACTGAGAGCCAAAAGCACAAAGTTTTATAAAGATAACATTTTCTCAAAGCATTTTTTGGAAATATAACACTGTATTTTGTTACCAGAATACTTAAACACAATTTTAAAAAGAAAATAAGAATTTAATAAGTTAGATTTAGCATAAAAATCTGTTTATTCTCTCATTGGTTAGGGGTTGGGGTTTCACTGACTTTCTAGTGGGCACCCCTGCCACAGATAAACCACTTTTGGTTCTCCCTGATAAAGATGTGAGTCTGAAGAACCTATTTGAAATTTCCAGAATCTTATCATAATGTATCGTTTATATGAACAACCCATAAACTGGTATAAAGCCCTTACATTATGTGACAGATCTTTAAAACTACATGGAATATACTCATAGCAAAAAGAACGTAAACGGTGTTTATTCATTTTCTTTAGCAGTTCAGTAGAGATTAGATTAGGCCTTTGATTACTTGATATAGTGGTGACAAAAGTGAAGAATTACTTTCCGACTATTTTTCTGAGAATTAACAGGAACAAACACTAATAAGTCAAAACAGATCCTAGGGTACTGAGTTCCTCTTGAGAACAAAGCTTCTAAATGGCTCTTAGCCTGGATGTAATGTTTTAGGAATGTTTTAGGAACAATGGTTCTTCAAGGGATCTTTAGAAATGGTTCTATATACAACCGTGAACTCTGAATGCATACATGGTTCTTCTCTATGATGGAAAACTTGGGTTATATGTTTTTTAAAGAACCATTTTTAAAAAATGGTTCTACATATCACCATTGTTTCAAGTCACAGAACTATTTTTGGTACCATAGAACCCTTTTTCCTGATTTGCAGAGCTCTGTTGATGCTATCCATCACTCTTAAAAAGTACCATAAAGGGTTCTTTGCACAATGCCTTAGAGCATGCAGTGTTTGTGATGGACCGAGAGCCAAAAACACAAAACAATATACAAATAAGGAAAAAAGGTAGGTAGGCAGGTAGGAAAACTAAGGTTACTGAGTTACACTCTTAAAAAATAAAGGTTCTAAATGGTTCTTAGCTTGGATGTAATGCTTAAGGAAAACCTTTGCTTAGTATAGAACCTTTACCAGTAACCTTTAAAGTACCAGCACACCTACTGCAGTGTATATACTTGTATTTATTTTCTGTATTTATTGTTCTATGTCCCTGCACTATGTCCTGTCTTGCACTATGTTGTCTGTAATTGCACTGGAGATCTAGCCTAAAAGTGTTTCGTTGTACTGTACAACCCTGTTTCAGTATAATGACAATAATGTTGAATTGAATTGAATTGAATTGAGTTGAATTGAATTGAATTTACATGATCTGGAGGTTCTCTAAATTTTAAAAGGTTCCTCACATGCACATCTCACTTACAAAAATGGTAGTTTGGAGAGGTTCTTTAGGGAATAAATGTGGTTCTTTTAAACACCATTAACAATGGTTCTTCAAGGGATCTTTAGAAAAAACAATGGATATATATACAACCACGAACACTGAATGCATACATGGCTCTTCTCTAGGATGGAAAACTTGGGTTATACGTTTTTTAAAGAACTTTTTAAAAAATGGTTCTACATATCACCATTGCTCCAAGTCACAGAACCATTTTTGGTAGTTTTTAAGAGTGTTCTCATTGAAAATAAAGCATTAGGATATAATAAGCCTCAGATTGTATGGGGTTAAATGATGGCTCGGTCAAAAAACAGTGAATACAGTATCGCTCCAAAGAACCTCTTTGGGAACCTTTCTTTATTGTAGTACTATTTACCCTGAAAACATAACAAACCCATATAGAAGTGGTATATACCACGTTTCTGAGATTAATTACAGTGATATTTACAACTGAAGAAAGCAATCGAATCAATAGTGGGAACACTGGAGCTCTAACACTGTAAGTAAACTCCATTTAATTGTGCCAGAACACCAGAGGAAACTTCACACAGCACAAATTACATTTATTCAGCCCAATGATATCCAGGGGGGGTCAAGGCTAACCAAATAAGTCAACAGAGCTCATCATACTCTTTTGTCAAAGCACAAATTAATTAGTCCTCAAGGATACACGCTGATGCAGTCGGTGGGCATCTTCCTGCAAGGCGCCGCAGTGAGATACGACTGCGTTCTCCTGGCAACAGTAAACAGTCTCCAAACACAAGAGAGCACGACAAGCAGTGGCTCCTAATGCCTGAATACAAATGTGTTACCAGCTCTGGCCCTCACCTTGAGATGAAAGCAAAGTGGGGCTACACAGCAGCGCAAATTAGGCTGTGCAGCAGGAGCTGGGAAACAATGCCAAGGACCTGACCTGCCTGAGGATGAGAGCAGGAATCCTTGTCTGGATGAATTCTACAAAGGTAGCCAGCGAAAACAGGGTACCTGGGTACATTCTGGGTCTCGATTTTGCCTTGAGCAGAGGTGGGACGGTTTTTCTTTCCCAGTGGCATCCTTGAAGCACTTAGGATGAGGTGTTTCTCGCCTGTGTCCTCTCAGCTGGCACAGCTTCCGTGCTCATGTTGTTGGTAAGCAGCAGCTATGGTTGCACGCAGTCCAACCCACAGCTCACCTGAGTCTCATATTACTTGATATTCAAGCTACTCACCTGCCTCAATAATGTGCCCCGCTGTGTGCATTTGAAACCACTCAGTGGGGAGGCTGCCTTGTCCTACACTGCAAAAAATATCTTAGCAAAAGAAAGCAGGGGAATTTCAACATGTCTGCATAATTAAATAGGTAAAAAAAAAATTAAACACATTCATGGCAGAGAGGTACATGAAGGGTGTTGTAAGGTCTCCAACAATGACCTGCATGTGCCCAACCTTAATTTTTTAAGTTTATCCGTTTTGCCATTATCAACATTGCAAGACGAGGTTCACAGGTGGTTTTGTATAGTAAAGAAAATGCCAATATTTTATTATTTATTATTTTATTGTAGTCATGGCAACCCGATTTCTATCAACACCACTGTAAAGAAATCCGAGACGGTAAGAGTTTTTTTTGGTAACACTTTATTTGGATAATCCACTTCAGATGCTTTGTAGATACTTAATCTACTTTCAAATTACATTCAACGAAATTTCTACTAAACTGACCATCATTTTCTTTATCTCTAAACCTGCTCTAATCCTAACCCTAACCTTAACCTCAACCCAAAACCTAAACCCAACCCTCACCCTCGTCCTAGCCCTAATCCTGGTCCAAATCCTAATCCTAACCCCACCACTGTTCAGAATTGACTGAGTTTCAACAGTTTGTGGACAATTTGAGCATCTGTAATTTATAAGGGACTATAGTGGATTATCAAATAGAGTGAGACGTTTTTTTCAATACAATGAACCATTTCACATCAAACCACTCTGAAATTTTACAACATTCCTAAAACCCATAATGAGACCTGATATGTTTACATTTAAGATGCTTTCTTTTATTTATTTTTTTTATTATTATTTATTTTTTTGGCAATCCATCAGACTAAGACAAAATTTTAGATGTACTTAGGGTCACTACAGAAAAGAGAGGGCTGATTGTATGTATTCAAAGTGTTCAAGGTTGCTTTTTTGAGTTGGCATACGTCTTTACAGACAAAAATGGCTTATAAAAGCAAGCCACAATGTTATCTGCTGTTTTGTGAGCTGAGCTTAAGCAGCACTGAAGCTGAAAGGACTGTTTTCTAATCTCTCACAAAACAAAAAACACTTTCTTCATATATACAGTACTGTGCAAAATGTCAAAACAGCCATTAAGTTTCATGCAGAAACATTTATTTGACAATTACACATATGCCTCAACAAATAAATAGAAAATCAATATTTTTCAATATTTAGTGTTCCCACTCTTTGCCTATGTTACAGCTTCCACTCTTTTCAGGAGACTTAATTTCAGTTTTTCAAAGAAATCTGCAGGAATATTTTCCCACACCTCCAAAGTTCAGTCTTAGAAGTTGGTTGTACTTTCTATTAATCCATGTAATCCCAAAAACTTTTCATGATTTTGAAGTCTGGACTCTGGAGTGGTCAGTCCATTGTTCTGAGAACATCAGCTGCTTCTTTGTTTGATGTCTATTTTTCTTTTTTTTTGTGTTTCCTTTTCTCACTGAGGGCTTCTTTAACAGCTACACATCCTTTCAGACTCATAGTGCTGAGTTGTCTTCTCACAGCGGAAAGATGGACAGAAATTCCTGTGGATTTTTCAGATCTCAAGCAAGTTGGAGCTTGATTTTCTCCTCTCTCTCAAAGATGAAAGCTTTAAAGACTGTTTAACAGATGAAGATAGTTTTGGTGGTCTACCAGTTTGCGAGGAGTCCATTTTTTCTGTATCTCTATTTATCCTTCCTTATGCAAGTGGATTATCTTATATCTTATCTCTTCAGAAATATCTTCTATAAAAATGAATAACTTTGACTCAAAATGGAGAAAAAAATGGGCGGACCCTGACTTTTGCACAGTACTGTAGACTTTATTAAAATGCACTAAACGTTGATGTTAACTATGATGTGACTTACGTAAGAATAACAATTATCTTCTTCACAGCTATGTGAACAACAAGGTTCATCACACTGGTGCAGTGTATTGCTTTTATTATATGCACACATACAGCCATAAATGTATCACAACAATGAGTATCACATTCACAGAGGCCCAGGCCAGACTGACACCCTGTCTAGCACTGGAAGACAATGCGACACCCCCACTGAGTGCTTCGTTTTCTTCATTTGACCAGGGGGACTGGGGGCTCTCTGCAAAAACGCCTGCACCTCCACCTTCTCTGCACATCAACAAAATAAAAAAAAAGTCAAGCACTGTTGCTTTGTGGTTTTATGTATGTTATTCTCCCTTACAACCAATGTAAATGGCTTACTGCATACCACACACAGTGTACATTAAACATTTATACATGATTTGTATCATGAACTACGAATATGACCGGGAATTAACCACATGTAGGTGCCTGGGAGGCCACTCGCGATGGCTTTTCACCACAGCTTTTACTTAAGAAACAGTGATGTAATCATTGACTAATGTGTTATTTACCTTTTTCAGGTAAATGCTTGTAGAAGTGCTGGAGTTCCTCTGGCTGGAGGGACTTGAGTGTCGATGACAGGTCCGTGGATTTACCTCCAAAATGCCTGTCATATGTGGTCAGCTGCTTCCTGCTCTCCTGGTTAGTGACGTGTTTGTGAACTACTGAGGGGACTAAAAATATGGAACATAGTTGTGAACTTCATACAAAGTGAAACAACTGAATCACAGCACATCAAATGCTGAAACTGAGAAATTTCAGTTTTTTTTTTAAAATATATGCCCACTTTGAATTTGATATTGGTAACTTTTTTTGGATTCTGGGTTGTAAAAACATGTAAAACTGCACTGATTCACTGTGATACATTCATCTGAAGGTGGTAATTACATAGATTCTGGAATGTTATAATCAATATAACTCATTCAAGGATAAGGATATTCAATGAAATATCTTTGGTGAAAATTTTTGGGCTATTTTCAAACATAAAAATCCACAAAAATTTCTGTTTTATTGTCTATATTACATTACAGGGTAAATAGTTCCTCCCGTCACTTGTGTATTCAGTACATTTGTTGAATTTTTCTGAATCATACAAAAATAATCAAAACAAATCAAGTTGAGTTTTTTTTTTTATATACTGGATTGTTTCCTAAAGAATCATTAGGTCAAAGATTTACATCCTAGCTAGTCAAGTAGTAAAATTACCAACTTTTCCTAAATGTACTACAATTAAAAAACTAAATGCGAGGTAAAATATTCACATCTCAAGTACTATTTGAATGGAATTAGATTGACATGGAGATATATAAATATTACTGGAGTTTCTCAGTGACTTCATTTCTGCCTGAATAAGTCACGTCTCACATCAGCAAAGTTTCCGGAGACTTTTATCTACTATAAAGCAAACTGTAGAAGTAACCCCAGGTTATATTAATCCTGTGCACCTTGCAATGTTGGTAGAAATTACAATAATATTCTGTTATAAAGTTTTATAATTTTTTATCTTACAGCTACACCAAGTGAGATTTGGATCCTCTCTAGTGGAAATGTGTAATCACGTGCAACATGTGGAAGAACATTTTGTTACGTGGGTTGTGTTTAGGACCCCTTCCTTGAGCGGATGAATCTGAAGATTGCAAGCGTGTTGGAAGAGAATTCAAAGAGAACTCCAAACTTGGTGAAGGACGCGTCCTCTGAGGATGTGAATTATCTACTATTGTCATCACATCTTCATTAGTATAATAGTGATTTTGCAGTTGAGACCTAAACGTTGAGCCGGACCTTCTTTTTGAGGCTGCGTGCATGACATTAATACATAAAGACATATGCAAAGTCTGAAAAATTCCCTGAAATCTAACCTGATGTCTCAGATTTTATTATTATTTGAGATTTTATAGGATGCATGCACTAGTGTGAGTCATAACATATTTTAGAATGTATTTATTTTTCTGACTCAGTAATGCTATTTCTTTCAATTGGGGGAAAAACCTTCCATTGTGTGTTTAGTATGGAGGCACTCACAGAAGCATTTACTCTTATTCGTTTTGGCTCAAATCAAGCTGATGTGTTTTGGTCCTCAAGTGTAAAACTCCAAACATTATAACATGTAAAATAACAGGAAAAGGTTTGATTTTATTTGGCAATGTTGCCTGTGGTCTTTAGATTTCCGAGCTACAACAGCTAGGTAGAGGGGGAGGGTAAATGAAATAAAGGTTAAATATTTTAACTTTTTTTGAGTAAAGGCAGTGTGTAAATGGACTAGCCACTCCCATTTCTGTCATTTGTACCAAGATCCCATGCAAATCAGTCACAGACATTACAGACGTCCAGTGATCAATAACTACACCTCCCACTATAAAACTAATCCCACCTGAGTGGCTCTTTATTTATTGTTCATTTGTCCGAATATGAAAGCTGAACTTTCCACTTTCACATGATTATCTGGCTGTTCTCCACATAATCCCTTTAGATTTAAAACGAAGTGCACTAAAGCTTACCTATGCCCTTTGGTGCCACACTATGCAAGCCATTGCACCCATAGCGGGATATATTTCCCTGAAGTTCAGCTTTCAGAACAGGCTTGCGGTAGTTATACCTCATCTCGGTCTGAAGAGCATCGGCACTGTGCTTAACAGGAGCAAGGACTGTCCGGTTCATAACCATCCCTGCAGTTTAACCAGAAACAGCAGGCTAGACAGCAGGGTTTCTGACTGAGCTAAAAATAATACAGCAGTTGTAGTACAGAACACAGGTGCATTGTCAAACAACCGGTCATGTTACAGGATTTGAAAAAGGTCAGTGTTTTGCATTCATAAATCCCTTTGCATGCAAACAGCCTTGTCATAAAAATACAGCATAAAGCTTTTTTAGTCCATGTAGACCCACCTTTAGGCATACCCAGAAAGTCAGTACTGTAGGTGGACTTGTACTGGGCAGACAGCACCTTTCTGACTTCTTCCTCAGAAGGGGGGTTTTTACACAGCTTCAGTCCAGGAGGGAGCCTCCACACCAAAAATGCCTACAGGGGAGAAACAGGAAACAATAAGACACTGATGATTTTACAAACACAAACGCAAACAGCCAGTCTGCTCACAAACCATAAAACCTCCTACTGTAAGTGCAGGTTATGCCTAATATGTATCTGAGAATTAGACAATATTATAAGCACACGCATTCAGAAGAGACTATACCACATGAATGTTTTCTTGAACGTTTCTATATCAAAGCTGCAGTTTGAAAGAGTGATTTTCAAATTGAGAACACTGTGTTTTTATTATATCTTGCATTATTCAATGTTGTCTTAAGTTTAAATGAAACAGTTTATTCTAACAACACACAGCTCATGTACTGGCAGTGTGGCAGACTGCATTCAGTGTTTAAGTCTCAAGCCTGTGGATGTGCTAGTCTTCTTGAGGACAAAAAAGGCCTGGAGCTTAATATATAGAAAATAATGGCAATTTAAATAAATCACAGTCAGAATACTGGTGAGGAAAATTGCAAGATTTTTAAAACATTTTCCCCCAAATCATTCAGCCCTATTATATCACTGATTTGGCCCACCAGAAAGCTACCCTAACGAGACCTCCTCAACCACTGAGAGAACATAAACATATTTTAATGATAATGTTTGATCTTATTAAATTCTTATTTTGCTTTCAATTTTGTATTTTTTTATTTTGGTAGTATGATTTAAAACCTACCTATCTTCCTTATTTGTACATTTTTGTTTCTTTGGTCCTCAGCCCACCATAAACATTGCACCCTTTTTTACAGGTTATTGTAGATTTACAATTACTGACTGTATTCCTCCTGTCGCTGCAATTGTCAGCCACTCTCTAACCCTATCCATCAATGGAAAAGGACTATCGTTTACTGGGAGTGCAGCACCAGCGCCACCTAATAAGTGACATAAGCAGAAACCCTGGGCCCCTCGGCCACCAGTGGGCCCCCTAATGACTTCTGGGTTATTTCTGTACCACTACATTGTCTAAGATGCTTGAGTGAGGAGAAAAAAAGCAACTGATTAATCATGTCTCAAAAAAGAACATACGTATCTGGAGCTGAAAAACTGAGAAGAAAAATAGAAGATTAGGAGACGAACTGTAAAGATAAAAGTACTTTTTGTGGTGTTAACTTTACGCCATTTGTTTTTGCTTGTAGTTGGACAATAAAAAGCAGTCAATTTAGGTTCTGTCTAACAAAGCAGGTTCAGTGTAGAGAGGCTTTCTGACTTTCAGCTTTACAAAATCTAACAAACACAGATGCAGTTAATTAGTTTTACAACAGCAGTTAACAACTTTATCTTTAAATCCAGGCTTAGATACTCAGACTGTCATTAATCCTCGTTCACATGCACATAAAAGAGTGATGTTTGGTGAACTGCCAATGGTGTGAACCATGAGGAGGGGTCGCACTACTTAAATACAAAAAAAAAACAAAATAATAATAATAAAAAAAAACAACACTGTCATCATGACCACCAGGATTAGATCCAGCTAAGCTTAAAGTTAGCTGAATAAGCAAGAAATTAGCCAGTTATACATGTATATAAATGAGGCAGCTGGTGGTCATCATGGTCATTAGTTAGCCTCGGTTTAGGCCCCACAAAAGGCTACAGCTGGCCCTGTGAGAATGGTCCACCACCCAGATAATGAGTCAGTGGTGGCGCTATGGTGGACCCTTTCTACTGATGGACAGAGTAGGAGGAGGCTGATAAATTGTGCAGCAACAGAGGCTACAGTCAGTGACTGTAAACCTATAAGGTGCACCTATATGGTAGGTGTACTTCAGTTGTGCTACATTAATTGGTCAATAAATGTAGTTAAAAGACATACCTAATAAACTGGCAACTTCAATTAAATATCTAAATGTATTCTTTTCACCTGGCTTGGGTGTGGGTTGTTCTTCCTGTTGCCAGAAGCAGATCCAGTCCGAATGCAGGCAGGCTTAGATTGAGGCTTCCAACAGAAGTCGTCACTATATGCAGTTCGACCCACAGGATCAGCCAGGTCATATGAATTTCTATAGGCCTTTGATGTCAGGGGTCTTGAGTCATGAGGAGAGGGTAACACTTTAAATATTTACCACAACACTTTCCATTTTAACAGTCACAACTACTGTGATGTGAATTTCCCTTTACAAAACAGATAACATCTACAGTCATGTTCCTAATACTGAGAGGAGAGGCCAAATGAATCATTTGTGCATAAACACTTCTAGACAGAAAGGCCTACCGTAAAACTGGAGGCGATGAGTTGGGTCTATAAACAAACTCCCTTCTCTGTGAGGTCTCATATGGGTCCCAGTTTTTGTCTTAAAAATGAAAATTAATACACCACATGTTAACTGAGACACTTCAAAAAGTCATAGCGTGTTATTGATAGGGTTGCCGCCTGTTCAAGGTTATCCTGGAACGTCCTTGATTTTGGTCCCGGAAAAAGGGAAATGCATTACTGAAAACAAAAACCTTCTGAAATCTAGGTATATTCATATGTTATCGTTTCTAATGGAGTTTAAACTGCTTTTGGTTCTTTTTATCCAATCAAACTGTTTCCATACAGAAAATGGGTTTAAATCACCCCAGAAAGGTATGTTTTTGGGGATAACCAGAATTGACAGAACTGAGAGGATTAGGTTCTGTAGCTAAACCCACACCTGTCCACATCAAAGTGTGTCATAAGCATAGCTATCCATCCAATAAATGTAGCCAAAATTGCCACCAAACTAGGGGGTGGGTCCTCATAATAACTTCAAAATATGAAATGGGCAACTGAGCATCAAAATGGGTACTTACTCCAATCCCCAAATCATCAAGTGGGTGTCAGGAACCTTACAATACTGAGGAGGCAACCCTAGATATTAAACACTTTACCACCAACATTCTGTTCTGAGATTTAACAACAGTGAAACCACTGCAAAATATACATTTTTAAGCCCAAAAAGTTGATGAGCGTAGCTAAAGTTCTCTCACACACACACAAACACTTACAGACTTGTTCAGACACAGCAGCAGTGATGTGTCTGATCCACTCATATCGGCACAACACACACTAATACACAACCACCATGTCAGTGTCACTGCGGTGCTGAGAATGATCCACCACGGAAATAATACCTGCTCTGTGGTGGTCCATGGGGATTCTGACCAATGAAGAACAGGGTAAAAGGGGGCTAACAAAGTATGCAGAGAAACAGATGGACTACAGTCTGTAATTGTAGAACTACAAAGTGCACCTATATAGTAAGTGGAGCTGATAAAATGGACAATGAGCGTAGAAACAAGGAGGTGGTTTCAATGAAGTGGCTCGTTGGTGTGTGTGTGTGTATGAATAAATGTGTGTATGTGCACACACACACTTTGTAGGTTTAACATTACTAATTGTAGTCCATCTGCTGCTGCACAACTTATAGAAAAGGACCACTATAGAACCAACACTGAGCAGGTATTATTTACACAGCAGCACTGCTGGGATCCAATGCTGTAAAGGCTTAGACTGAATAGTATATAAGGGTTAAAGTGGAATTTAACCAATTTTCCAAAAAGCCTGCATAATTAAATAGATAAGATGTAAAGTCATTCAGAATAATTTGGTGTGAAATGCTTCGTTTCCAAGAAACAGAATTGTTCACAGTGGTGGTGATAGGAACCAGACATCTAAACAGTATAATGCCTCTTAAAGCTACCTCAAACATATTGTACAAAATGGTTATGAATATGCTGCCTAATGGCTGAAACATTTATGCATTTAACATTTATTTTACAACAAAGCTTTGGCTTTTATTTTAAAAGGTATTCATGGTGGAGGGGTACATGCAGTAGTGCGTTTTATTTTTTTTCAAATTTACCACTATTTTGCCATCATCACCATTACATATAAAACCTCTGAAGGCACATATAGATTCACTGGTGGTTTGGGCTAGTACATTAAATGGTTAGGTAACACTGGTCTTTTGTAGATGCTTAATAAACCCTTAACAAACTTTAAGTAACACATCAACAGCATATCAGCAAAGTAGCAGTAGTGAAGCATCTGAATACACTGAAGTAAATATCTTGTAGATGTTCTGTTGATACATTACTTACATTAAGTAGATGTGTTGTTAATATGTTACTTCCATTACGCAAAACCTAACTTTACCCAAATCCTAACTCTAACCCTGGCTCTAATCCTAACCCTCATATGTTTTTGACATGTGTCACCAATGGTTTTGGGTCAGTCTACAGAAACGTCCACTTTTTTATCTGTCCATAGAAGTCACTGGTGTTACACATAGAAAAGGTGACACCAGAGACATTTTTAATGAAAAATGCATTTTACAAAATGGCTGCTACACAGCATCAAACCACATGATGTCAGTCATGGAATATCCACTAAAATATGTAAATTAATCCATTTGTATTCTTTTTTTTTCCCACAATTACCTAAGAATAAAGTGGGTCACACCAGTGACTTCAGCTAAAAGCTTCATATGAAATCATGAACTGAATGAGAAAATCTCTGATAAGTGAAAAGACTCAGCGGACTCACCATGTGCTTTTCTTCATAGATCCTCAGAAAATAGGTAAAAGGAAGTTAAATAATGTCATCAGTGTGATTTTTATTTCAAAATAAGAGATTTCTGTAATGTAACAGAAAACAGTAACACCAGTGACACTCCTGGGGACAACTTTCATTATATATTTTATAATATTTATTTATCATTTGTTTTCTTTAACTTATTTAAATCATATTTCACAGTCATGTAGAGATTATTGCAGTTAAAATTGCAGAAAAAATCAATCCTCAAAATATGGCCTCACTCTTTACACATGACTGTGAGGACGAGCTCTTCTGTGGTGCTTTGAATTCTATATGATTGATTTTAAAACCAATATTGCTGGACTGACGGCTCAAGAAGGTGTAATTGTTAAAATAACATGTTTTATTTTAAAATGTAAATAAATTGTAACCCTGACATGTTTTTCAAGCGTAATATATCTGTAAACGCTAGGGACACAAAAATGGACGTTTCCGTAGAATGACTTATATTTGTGTTGTAGACATGGTGACCCCTGGTTCCCATCACCACCACTGTAGATAACTTTGTCAGTATGTTTATCTACAGTGAACCACTCTGAATGTCTTGTGTACAAATTTTGAAACATCCTAAAAATTTCGAATTCCCCTTTAAGTAGCAATAAAAGTGGCTCAAACCTGTAAAGACGGGTAAAATAGCTGAGAGCTACTAACCACAGCTGGCCATGTCCAGGTCCCTGGGTGAAGCGTCTGGTCCTCTAACAGCACAGACCTAAAGGCGCCTCTGCGAGGAAACCAACGATGGATGACGAGTTTGAGGATTTGTTTCTTCAAAAACCCGATAAACGAGTTGAAAAGTGAACGTTCTGATTCTTAATTGTGACGCAGTTTATATGGTTACATTTTAATCGTTAAAATTCCTTCTCTTTATTGGTGGCTTGGTGTCCGCGGCGCAGCCAGAGCGCAGAGAGAGAGAGAGAAGGACGGCGTTGTTATAGGAGACACACAACAACACTGAGGTCAGCAAAGAGTGGACGTCTGTCAGTGTGTGTGTCTAATAGCGTGTCGGCCTCATTAAAGTGACCAAACACGACTTACAGCATGTAACATGGTTTAAACGTTAAACTGAAGCGTGAAACCAACACCATCAAATCAACTTGTCATTCTTCCTTCATGACAGTGTCAAGGCAGCGATGCGATTCAGGCCCGACTGTGTGAGTGCAGCGCCGCTCGGTGGTAAACACTGAAAATTACACTCTATTTACTTCAAGTGCGTAGAGAAGCCCCTGCAGGAATGAAAGGATAATTAGAACAATTAGGATTAAGCCTGATGCTTTTGCTTTCTAATGGGAATTGGCTTAAGGGTTACCGTCAGAGACCATTAGTTTCCTGTAGGACACCTTTAGATCCCATTTGGAAACTATCAACTGCATCTGGAATCAGTCCCAGAGCACCTGTTAACCCATTAGAGTCCTTTAAACTGTGATATCAGACCATCAGGAAAACACAGTGACTACTGGACTCCACCAGAAACCAGCGCTTTATGGTTTCTATGATTATTTTTTCAGCAGGGGCCTAAAAGCATAGTCAAGAAATGGTATTATTACTACTGTAATACAGTGACTCTTAAATAAAAGTAGCTTTCTATTAAACAACTTGAGTAGAAGCAGAAAAGTAGGCCAAAAATTACAGAGTGACTCATAGAACTGCACTGAAACGTCCAGCATCTATCAGCATAAACAGAAGTTTATTAGACTCTATTCTTCTCTTTCTGGTGCAGCCTTGGTCTAAAATGAATAAATATTATACTGATATATTAGACTTGTCTTCTTACATTATGCTCTTTTTATGTTTGTGGTTTTAACTTTTTTTTCTATTTATTTTTTCTCATGCGGCTGTAGTTGGCTTTTCATTTAACCCCTTAAATCCCAGGCTTATTACACACTAAGGCTTATTATTCAGTAACTACAGGGACTTCAATGCAAACTGGTTGAACTATTCTTAGGTTATAGCAGTGTGTGATACAAATATTATGTGCTTGTGTTTCTTTGGTAATCACTTTACCAACTGCTCTAGAATATGGAACGTTATTATTATAGCATTATTACACATAATAAACCTCAAAAATCAGAGGTGTGAGCAATTGAAAAGCAGTAGAGATGATTTCACCAACATAGTTCAATTAAACATAAATACAGGAATTAGTATTTCAAATATAATTGAAGTGAAAGCAGTCCAAAAAGTAGCACCACTTGAAAATCCTTTTTAACAAAGTATGTGTAAGTGAGTAAATGTATAACTTACTAGCCACCTCTGTTGTTACTAACAAGCATTTGTCAACAAATAATTTTGCTTTTCTTCCCAGTATTATGAATGCAGCTCTGGATGTGTCTATTTTGTTAGGGCAAATTCAAATGGCTCTCAGACACGACCACTAAAATGGTTCTTGAAGGCCAAGTCTAGTACAGTTTGATGATTTATGTCGGCACTTTAATGGATGCTTCCATTATCCATCTACAGCCATTCAACTTCACCAATGCCCATCACTTATTCAGGTTCACTAACAAAGAGTTCTAGTTTAAAGCCTTGCTGCTAGGTATGGCACTTACTATCAAGATTCTTAACCAAAATCTCCAGTAAGAGGCTGAACAGTAAGAGAACCTAGCTGTGGTTGTGTTGATACCACTACACTGAGCTTAATCTTAAATTTTACACTCGTCATTGTTTTAAGGAATAAAATATTTTTTATAATTGAATCCTATTAAACAGCCATTGTCCCACCAGAGACAGCCGCTTAGGGTCGTTTTACCATAAGTTTGATTTCTGTGTCCTTCCAGCAGGAAAAAAAAACAGGTCACTGAGCAGTTTACAGCACCTTAATGATGGCAGTGATGGATTATTCATTCCTCACAGAACATATTGCAGAATAATAAACCTGGGAGGCCAAATTAGAAACATTTCTCCTCTGTCCTTTGGACTCAGAATCAGTAAAATATCAATATTTAGCATTACTGAATTGTGAAAATACTAAAGGAAATTGAATTTTATTAAACACAAATGTATTTATACACTCTTAAAAATTCTTTCTTTAGTAAAGAAAACGGTTCTATACAGAACCATGAACACTCAAAAACTCTTTGCATGATTAATGATCATCTCCTTCCACTCCTCAAGCACACACACACACACACACAGTCAGAATGTATTTCACACCAGTAAACGGTCCATTTTTAATATAAGGGTTTTAAAAAATGAGAGGTTGATACATCCATTGCAATTTTGTATCACAGCTTATCTTTGTACAGGATCGAAAATAAAAGTAGTTGTATCGCTTCAAACTTCTTTGCTGAAATAGCACATATAAACAAACTGGCATCAGGTAACACATGAAGTCAAAGTCTACGTGAATCGGAAAGCAGAACGTTTTTTCCTTCTGTACTACGACGCATTCCGGAGTGAGGGTCTCCGAGCCAGCTGAGTGTTTTCTCTCAGTGATAGGTAGCAGCAGCCAAGTACGGAGCCCCTGAGATGACATGGTGATTATTTTTTTAAATAATTAGTCAAGTTTCTCATAATTCATGGCCTCAATATAGTAATTTGAGGCCCCAGTATAGAAAATTGCTGTCTTATTAGAGTAATTTGTGGCTTCTGTATATTAATTTGTGGCCTCAATATAATAAATTGTGGCCTCAATATAACTATTTGTGGACTCAATATAGTAATATGTTGCCTCAATATAGAAATTTGTGGCCTCAGTACAGTAAACTGCGGCCTCGATATATTAATTTGTTGCCTCACTATGGTAAATTGTGGCCTCAATATGTTAATTTGTGGCCTCAGTATATTAATTTGTGGTCAGGCCTTATTGAAAATCACCATGTCACCTCAGGGGCTCCGGAGCCCAGAACCAGTTCTGAGAGCTGTTTCATTCATGTTTTCAGTATATAATTACATATTTACTATGATCACACATTTCACACATCTCCTTTGTTGCTGGCGGTTCACTCGTCCTTTTTAGACCCCCCTCTATCACCAGCCAGTGTCTCAGTCTGTCAGCAAACTCGCCAACAGCACTCACTGTTTTCCTCTTCTCTCATTTCATATTAACGCGCCATTCGGAAAATATGACGTTTCTTCCCGAACCGACCAATCCCGTCTCGCCTCCGCTGTGTGCTATAGACGCGGCCGGAGCCAATCAGAAGCGCGGCAGACTTGGCGGCAGCCAATAGGATCCGCGGCTGCGCTGCCGTTTCTCTGTCGGGGCAGAAGGACGTGCGCGCCACTGTGTTTATTGTGCTTCCAATCCGTGTTTATCCATCAATTGATCTCCACACGGGAGCTGCGGACCGGATCAGGGGCTTTTTTCCTTGGTGAGTCTGTCAGAAAATACATCCATTTCATCCGTCAGTCACCGTAAAACACGGAAACGCTGCAGTTCGGAGGAGATTTTCTTTCTTTGTTAGCCGCATATTTGATTTTCCACACATACAGCCGGCCCGTCTCAGTAAGCCTCTGTCCGTTTCTGTTAAAAGTCAGAATTTCCCCTCTTTTCTTTTCTGGGACTGACTGCGAAATAACGTCTGGGGGGGGTATTTACTTAATCACATCCAACAAAGCAAGCTGATAGTGATGCTGCTGCTGAGCCTCGCCGTGCTAACGGTGCTACTGCTAAAGCTATTGTGTGGAAGCCAATGTCACCTCGTATTCGCGAGCGTCTTGTTCGAATTTTTCCGTTCCACCTTAAATGGTGCAGCAGTTCCATTCTGAATGGAACTGCTGCACCATTTAAGGTGGAACGGAAAAATTCGAACAAGACGCTGGCGAAGCGGTTTAAAACGAAGGTGGATGTTGGAGAACGGCTCACAAGCCATGGCGCAGACTAGGGCTTTACCCCTGTGAAAGCACTTAGCCAGAAAAAAATAACGGTTAATGTAAAATGGCTGATGTTTGGGTGTTTTAAGTGAGAGTGGCGGGGGATGGGAGCGCCGGTCAACCGTCATTTTTATTCGTATTGACCGTGAGCTACGTTTAATCTCTCCAAATCGTACCTTTTCGGCTCTGTAGCTGCTTTCTGAAAGGTTAAAATGCGCAAAAATGTCCGTTTGAGTGCTCACCAGTCCTAACCGGCGCCGTGGCCTCTCTCTCACTCTGTCTCTCTGTGTGGAGACATAAAGGCAGCAGCGGGGGGGGGAGCCATGTTTGTTAGCTAGCTAGCTGCTTTTCAGCGCTGTCTCGCCTCTCAGACAGACCACGAAGCCCCTTTTAAGAGCTGATAAAGTAGCCGCAGGTGTGTCACGAGTCGCAGAATGCAGTGAAATGTGAGTAATGAGGTTTGGGACACGCGTTTTTGTGGCCGGAATGAACTGCGACGCGGCCATTCAGCGACTGAGGAGGGCTGCTGCTGCTAACCGCCTCTCTCACTCACACACCAGTTCGTATTCCTGTCTTTGTGGGGACGTTTCTACTGCGTTCTGCAGTGCTGTAGCTATTTGATAACCGTGTCCCCGTATCTAAACCCTAACCTTTACCTCAGGAATGAAAGCAAACATTTTACAACCTTTATAAGAAAAGCTGACATTTTGTGTAAAAAAAAAAACGTGGATTATAACTACAATGTTAAAGCCGTCATAGGGAGGTTTGGTCCCCACAAAGCGATGAATACGTGCGCGCGCACACACACTCCCTCTCACACTGTCGATATGGACCGTGTTCATAGTAAGACGTGATAAAATCTGAAGGGAAAGCGGACCGAGTAGGGGAAAAAATCGCATAAGCCCGTTTGTTTTAGCTCCCCCAAACGCCTTAGGAATGCGGGAGGGGTGGAAAGAGGGGGACTTTCTCTCATGAAGATGTTCTTTTTGTCCTCCAAAATGGAAGAAGGAAATAATTATTGTTAGCGTTTGGTAAGTCTGTGTGGTCTGCCTCTGTTAGCTGATCCCCAGCCCGTCCTCTAATGTGTAACTGTGTTATATGGGTGAAGTCAAAAAATACTCTACATGAATATCTAGTCGTAATAAAAGGGTTTGTTTTGGTGAGTTTGGAGGTCGTCCTTGGCTTCTCTATGTCCTCAAGGGGTAGTTAAGGCCGGTGTTGCCCACCTCGTAAGTATTGTCAGCTTGAAATGGGTTGCTGTGACTGAATATTAGAAAATGAACACTTGTCCCACCTGAATTCATTACATCTTTTAGCTCTAAAACAATGACTTGCTGTCCTTTGAACATTTACATATTTATATTATTGAAATGTCAATCATATCATGACTTTTTTTTTCCAAGACTCGGCAAAATGGTGAAAGATCCAAGGAAAGCCGCGAGGAAAAATGTCCTCGTATGCATATTTCGTGCAAACCTGTCGTGAGGAGCACAAGAAGAAGCACCCGGAAGCTACCGTTAACTTCTCTGAGTTCTCCAAGAAGTGCTCAGAGCGATGGAAGGTAGGCTGTTTGCTGTTTTTCATACTCTGAATTTAATATGTCTTTTATAGATTGTCCTCCTCTTTTCAAACCTCAAGCATATCTTAAGTCACCTTCTTTCCACACCTGCCTGTTTTCTCCACCAGACAATGTCACCCAAGGAGAAGGCCAAGTTTGAGGACATGGCGAAGCAGGATAAGGTCCGCTATGAGAGAGAAATGAAGAACTACATTCCTCCTAAAGGTGAAAAGAAGAAGCGGTTTAGGGACCCTAATGCTCCCAAGAGACCTCCGTAAGTGTCCCTATTCATACAGATGCCTAGCGTTCCTCTCTTTAGAACTAATGAGCGTTGTAGAAACTCATGTCGTCTTATTGTCCAGGTCAGCGTTCTTCATATTCTGCGGTGACTACCGCCCTAAGATTAAGGGCGAGAACCCGGGCCTGTCCATTGGAGACATAGCGAAGAAGCTTGGAGAGATGTGGAACAGCTCATCAGCAGAAGTGAAGCAGCCTTATGAGAGAAAGGCGGCCAAGTTGAAGGAGAAGTATGACAAGGTGAGTCCCCCCCACCCCTCCCCAAAGGTTCACAATGAGAGCATGAAGTGTTTATAAGCCTTTGTATTGTACATTAAGTATAACCTGCCTATTTAAGCAAAGCCTGCTTTGATTTGAATCCCTGTGTAGGACATTGCTGTATACCGCACCAAGGGAGTTGCAGGATTGTCCAAAAAGGCCGCAGGCGAGGACGATGACGACGAGGAGGAAGACGACGATGAGGAGGATGAGGACGACGACGAGGAGGAGGATGAGTAGATTAGCTACTGATGGAGCCTAGATTCTTGTTCATGCCATAAGCCCAAGTGTACACGATACACATCTTCAAACGTAATACAGCAGAAACAAGGATTGTTAGGCTGTGTATAGGAGACGTTTTTAAGATGTACAGTGTTATTCTCCTTTTGTAAAGTTAACACTATGTGTCTTCAGTTTGTCTTTCCTTTTTTTGTTAGTGGTAGTTCTTTGCCTGGAACAGTTCAAGGTGGAGGAGAACGACTGTTTCTCTGAAGGTGCATAGCACAATTATCTGGTTTATGTAGATCTGTAGTGCGTTATATTAGTTTTTAAAAATATTTTTCGTATTTGCTGTCATAAGGTCCTTTAACTGTACTTTGAATACCACTCTAATTACAAGAATGCAGCTTTGTTTGACATTCAAGAATGTGTCTGAAATAAACATTTTTCTTTTTTTAGAAAAATGCCTTGTCTTTGATTTATTGACTGCATGAAGTAGAGGAGAAAGATCCTGAGCTTTTGGCCTAGAGGCTTTTCTGACGTAACAAGCCATAATTGAAGTTTTGATATTATATGTGACAGTTAGACTTTTAGTGATTAGTGTTAGTAAAGCAGTAAAACCGATGTTGCCTGGTTTTGAAAGATATAATGGGATAATAAATAAGGTTCAGCTGAAACAGGTACCGTAATCTGGCACAGCCTAATTTCGTTCAGATGATTTTTATCCAGATTACAAACGTGGATTATGTAAATATGATTTATATGTCCATACAGTATGGTGGGGTTTTGTATTGACTGAGTTATTGAGGAAAGCCAAACTTCATTCTTTTCAAAGAGCCAGAAATATAAGGCCCAGTGGTTGAGATGTCATGTACAGCGACATCTAGTGGAAGTAATCCATAATAACATGACAGCTTCTTGCAGCAATGATGTCATCATATTTTGACTGATGTATTATTCATTCATTCATTAATTCACTCCTTTTACTTATGTATTTTTACAATGCCATGATGAAGGATATTTACATAATAACTAAAACAAGTTCAGTATTTCCAGTGGAGAGGAATGATGTGTATCCTACTGTATTACTGATTTATGCCCTATCTTGTATACTTTTTGGTTTTAATCATTCTCTTCACACAATATATATATATATATATATATATATATATATATATATATATATATATATAATATATGTGTGGTGTGTGTGTGTGTGTGTGTGTGTGTGGATGTTTTCACCTGTTGTAGAAGTGGCTGAATTGCTCCCTTACCTCAGAGTTGATCCCCTTATCACAGTGGGACAGTTCTTTTTTTGTTTTTTGTTTTTTTTCATTCTTACATACTATAGACTACTAGCAGTCCAGTAAGTTCCTATGTAGAGCGAAAAACATTCAATCACATTTGGCTAAACAAGCCTGTCATTCACTGGGCAATTACTACAGTCAATACTTTTTTCCCATTCCTTTATTCTGTCTTGTTCCTGGTGCCATTAGCTAAAAGTGATAAAACAATAGATTTTTCTTTAATTAGGTCTATGAATCCACTTGATTCCACACAAAGCCTGTAGGCCTAAAAAGAAGAATATCGCTGCTGTTTCAGATTTTGACATAATTTGAAAATACCTGTTGTCTTTTACATTGTTCATAAATTTCATGATGAATGGACCAAAAGAAACGGCCAAAAGACTTGAAAAATATTCTGGTTCCTTTAACTTACATTTACATCCTGTAAAGTTATCTTTTTGGAGATACAAGGTTTTGTTCCAACAACAGCGATTTTGTTTGCTTTCAGTGCCTGTAGGTTTCTGTACCACACCATACGATACATCATCTACCACTAATGTTGGTACCCGCTTACATATGTAATTAAGCCAGTTATGAAATATCCTGGCTCAAATACATAGATCTTTGATGTGGTCGGCTATTAAACATGAGATAATAAGTTACAATAAATCACAATAGCTTTAACCCCTTAAATGGCCAGGGTCTGCCTGTGTTATTACGCACTTGTATAACCTAAGTATGGTTCAACCAGTTTGCATTAAAATAGCTGTAGTCACTGGATAATCAGCCATAGAATGTAATAAGCCTGGGATTTGAAGGGGTTAAATGTTGTCCTACTTTACCTAGCATGATCAATAAAAGTGGGACAGAACTTAAAACCTGCTTCAAAAATAATTAAATAGAATTTTGTAGCAATATATGTTTTACGTTGGCCAACCGTTCCCCTTTTAAAATACAGAACTGGTTTCTCTGTTTCTTTTTTAGACATCCTTCTGTACAAAAAACATTCTGATTTAAGCATGTTTTAGTGGACCAGTTTCAAATTATGGCCCACTGTGGTGTCTCCAGGTCAGTGAAAACAAACGCCCCAAAATGCATATAACTCATCCCATATAAAGGATAACTGTGAGGATTTGTGAATCTTTATCCCATGTGTTGGGGTGGGGGGTTTGATGACCAAGGGGACATGTGCCCTCCACTTTTTGAAATTATACACAATAATTTTCAGGGGTGGTGGGATGGTTGTTGAAAAAAAAGTACATAGCTGAGTTACAAAAGCTGTCGGATATGAATAAATGTACAGCTGTCAACTGAAACTAATTAAAGCCAGAATAGATTAATGTTTTGTTTAGTTGTAGTAACAGCAAAGCAAAGAAGCACTAACTTGACCTGGAACAACTGGCAAAACAGTTATTAATAATACTTCATTTTTCTTCTTAACATCATGTTTATCATTATTGGCAGAGGGGTGGCCAATGGCACCTTGGAGTGAAGCCAAGCTTCTGGCCACCCCAGATATGGGAAGTTAGACAGTCAGCTTAGGCTAGTGAAAAAGCTGATGTAATGAGTCTTTCTGTTATACAGTCAGGCACTTTTTAAAGATATTGTGCCAGTGTTACACATATGATAAAGTATATATACGTTAATGGTGTAACGATTTTACAATGTAGCGAAAAATCAAATTTCAAACAGTGTATCAAATGTGAAACTGCATCTCTCAGGTCTTTTCTGAGGATTGTTCATTTATCAGTTATCAAAACTAGCCGTCACTGTGCATCCTACCAGATTAAAGTGGGTGGGAAGGGGGGAGGGGCTTGAATGACTGGGCTTTTTATATGTCAGTTGTAAATAATGGGTGGCATGGTTGGTATTGAAAACGTTCTGTTTATGTGAGCAAAACCAGACTGTGTAGTTCATAATAGACATGAACAGCCCTGTAGAATAATTTGTGCTGTGCGCATAATGCAAACATTAACATATTAACATTTGAACGCAAGGGACATATTCAGTCACTGTCACAGTTATTTTTGCTGTGTTCTGTCTTTAGCATTCATGTTTTAAGACAGTTTGCCTCTCATGATAATGGAGGCCTTGTGAAGTTTCATTACTGCTCTGTGGCAGGTTCAGTGGAGCCTCGCTCAATTTGTCTTCTCACACAGGCTGATTTCTATGGAGATGTCAAATTCAAACCTCCTTTTTGTTCATGTATCTGGTGCCTGCTGTTGCAACAAAAAGCAAAAAAAAAAATAACCCTTTTCACATGTTGCCTGTCAAATACTGGGAAATGAACTACATATTCAAAGACTATGGAAGCATCTCTATGAAAACCTCCTAATGCTGATATAAGGCAAATTAATATTCTCCACCATTGTGCGTGTCCTTCGGAGAAGTGTCCAAAGCCCATCTGCTGAGTCCCTTTTCACACCAGGCCTCTCCATTCACCTTCTGGGTGAGTGCCATGCTGGCGTCCGGTGAATTGAAACGAGGTAAAAGACTGCCATGTGAGAAAGAGAAAATGTTTGAATAGATCTTTGTCACTTTGTCACTTCACATTACTTGTGGACAGACACAGGAGACCGTTAGTGGATGAAGCACCAAATCTGCAAAAGAAACGACAAAGTGCTGGAGTCTGGGCTTTAAAAAACAGAGACTGGAAAGTTTGGGGGTAGGCCTTAAAGTACAAATGTGCACATGTCAGCTATTTCATAGAATAATGTGTAACTGATGTGAAAAAATGACTACCATTCAACAGCATAACATATCCTTGAAAATGACACCTGTCATCTCTGTCAGGACAAAAGCATGTATGTTTATATATATATTTAGTATATTGTGTATATATATGCAGGGAGATTCACTCAAAAGAGGCCCTGAATATTCTGTAATAACTCTCACTAGGATGAAGCAATCTGAACGAAACAGTGTGCAATGAGCTCTTCAGTATATGGAGCTTTGAACAAGCCGGGATGCCCCTGCGTCAGAGCGATGAGGTAGGCGCCGGACAGCCGTTGCGACGTTTAACCTCTCTAATGCTTGACGATACGTTCAAGAACGTGGAGCACCGCATGTGTCTGGCAGAAAACAGAGATCACTTCCAGCATCGCATGTAATGCAATCAATTACACATACGTCAAGGTATGTAGCGTATGTTTCTGGTTCAGATTACTTCATCCTAACGGGAGTTACAACAGAATATTCGGGGCCTCTTTCGAGTGAATCTCCCTGTATATACATAGTACCCTGAGGAAACCCATGCAGACAGAGGGAGAACATGCAAACTCATGCAAACATGTACAGTTTCACAGTTGATAGAGCAATGGAAGTGCTGCAAAACGTACTTGTAAAAAATCTTCTTACATTATGTTTATGCGTAAGAGTTTGGGAGCCCCAGTCAAATGACATGTTTTGTTGACTTTCTAAGTGAAAAAGTTACACGTTCTCGACAGAGAACACACTTCTGCATACGTTAATGCAGAATTACTGTTTATTTGCTGAAATGAACATATTGGGGAAAAATAAAACAAAATGTTATGGCACATTTTATATTTTATATCTAAAAATATTATATGTTAATATACAGATGTGTAGAAATTGTAAACTAAAATATGCAGAAAAAATTTCAACAAAATGGAATTTGTCCAGGGGTGTTCAAACTTTTGCACTGTAACATTAAAAGTTCAAATGGATTGATTGATTGATTGATTGATTGATTGATTGATTGATTGCAGATTTCTTTCTTCGCCCACAAACACACAGATCTTACAGTGGGCTATTTTTGGGATATTATGGGTATCATATGGACAGTGTGTCATAAATTCTGACTCTGGTTTCTGCCACTATAAAGAAAGATAAAGCCATTTCATAAGTCATAAGAATGAGAAAGTTTCCCAAAATAATGACTCAGTATCTCATCATAAAAATGCAGCATCTCATAATTATGAGAAACACTCTCACTATTATGAGACACTAAGTCATTGTTATGAGATACTGAGTCATAATTATGAGATTGTACCACATACTTATGACAAAGTAAGTCATAATTATGAGAAACTCATTATTATAACATACCGTATGGCCTTGTTTAAACAGGCTTCCATGTAATCCACTAGTAAGCATCTGCTAAAATTGCGAAAAATTGATTGTCTGAAAGTGTCCCCCATTACCTGATGG